ACACAACTATCTCAATGCATGTATTATATCATAGGGATTCTTGGAGGCACAGATCTTGAAATAATGCACCAACTTAAAGGCAACCATTTAAAATTAAGAAATAATATATGAAGAGCTATGGATCTTTATCTTCTGTGGGGTGGCAGGAGTTGGTGAGCAGTTTTGCAGTTTTCAGACATCCTTTTGCTAACGCTTGCAGATGAATCCTAAAAAAAGGAATGTATTTTGAGAATCAGAGACATTACAAGGGTAAGGAAGATAGCTTTAAAAATCATGTTCAACTCAATGGTGCTCCAGAGGAAGAGGGATGCTTGTAAGACAAGAAGAGATCGCCTACCTGCTGCACAACATAGCATTACTAACTGAGGAAAAACTAGGTAAAGTGAGGAATGATCACTGTACTATATATAAGTGTGGCAGTTTTTGTGCATTCAGCCAATAACAGTAGTAGTAGTTCCTTGAAAGTTAATACTGTGTTACTTGTCAGTAATATGATGTTTAGGATTGAGATATATATTGGGATTTTATATTAGTATTCTTTTTTTAATTCATTCATTGTAAAGGCTATTTAGTACAATTGTATGCTGTTTCATTATCTGCGGAGTTTACAATACCTACAGTATAAAAACAATTTAAATAGAAAAATACGAGAGAAGATCATAGATCAAGAGCAACACACTTGCAACAACAGAAAACAAAACTGACAGCAGGCTCAGAATTAAAACCCAGATTTCAAGATAAAGAGTCTTGAACTTTATGAGGTATTTAGAAGTCCTGAGTAAATAAGAAAGTTTCATGTGTTCCTGAAGTGACCACAAGAATGGCACCAGGCAAATCATTCTGGGAGGGCTGTTTCATAAGCCTCCAGTAAGACCTGCTCCCTGGTAATCACCTACCTCAACTGCATCTGATGGGGCACCCATAGCAGGGCTGAAAAGACTGCACAGTTCCACAAGCTACCTACAGCAAAAAGTGGTCCTTCAGGTAACCTGGTCCCAAGTTTTATATCAACAATTAAATTGTTCCTGCTATAGCTTTGATAAGTACATTAACAGTTAGGCTTTTTTGACAATTTGTGCATTTCCCATCACTTGCATCCTGCTTTTTGAGGTCCATTCACTCAAAATCCACACCTAATAACTCTCCATTCACTAGAATACCTCTAGTGGCTTATTACATGAAGGAAATTAAAAACCAGCACTTGATCTCCACTTCAGCTGTGGCTACATACTAGTTGCCAAACAGTTTTATTTCCACCCATATTAAAAGATTCATCCAGTTATTTTGGTGACGATCAGATAAGCATCAATAATTGTTGTGGCAATGACTTTTAGTGAGAACAGATACCTCTAAATTTGGAGAGAAGGTTCAGATTGCCAGGTACAATCCAATCTTTGAATGGAAATGTCCTATCATCTTGACTTGCCTTGTAAAAGGAAGGCCCCTTTCCAAAGCACAGCAGCTGCAGTGAGGAATGGACAACCAGATTGATTTTTGGCATCAGCCACTACAGGCGTAGCCCATGTTCCTATTTCCCCTGTGCTGGCGCTGCATGAAACCACCTGCTTGGGTTTAATGGTTCCTTGATCCCAGCTGAGCGCTGAGAAACTGATTAAGATTGACTGGTGTGTGCCTGTCCTGGCTGTCCTTTGACACTGTTGATACAGCCTGGGGAGGTCAGAGGTTAACGTCACACTTAGTGCAGTGAAGGAGGGTGTCAGGTTTGTTAAACACTCTGGTAATGAAGTCAAGGCAGCTGCATTATTTTGTCATTTTCTTAGAGAGAGAGAGAGGGAGACTCCGGCACAGCCCAAACAGATCTATAAGGGCGTGCATTAGGAGGCCACAGTCTCAGGCATAGAGTTACAATGGCCCGAGCAGTAAGTGGAAGAGCGTCTGGGAAGCAGGGGCTAGAGGTCAACAGCTCCGCTAACGTGGAAGGTGGAGGTGGCGCCATGCCATCATGCAGACGGGTCAATCTAAGGCGTGCGCAGGTACTGCCCCCCCCCCACCCCAAGACACACATGCACATCCACACACAGCTCCTGTGGTCTTCTCTTGAGGGAGAAAGGTATTCTTAGTCCACCTAGGAAGCACCTTACTGCCTCCCCAAGCCCAGCTAAAATCCTCACTACCACCACTAGCTCTCTTCAGCATTTTCTCTTCTGGAGTCCGTGGTCACAAAGAGCAGAGTAGCAAAGTGAGCATAAGAGTTAGTTTGCCAGCTACTCCAGTGTACAAAGGTAACTGGGTCAGCTGCATTTACTCTGGAATGGGCACCCAAACACTTGTGCAGGAGCACATCTTTTCACTTGTGCCGGAGCACAATCCCAGCTTTAACACAGGCTGTGTTTTGGAGCTGGCATTGGTACTTTTTAATATCACCAAGAACCCAAAAAGTAAAGCCACAAAGAAGAGGGGAGGGGAGGGGAGGGAGCCCATGGCTAAGACAGTGGAAATCAGCTCCTTGTGCTGCCACTGTCTCCTGAAGTGGCTTTAGACAACTCACTTGCTTCACAAAGGGACGGTGCCCATAGATAACAAGGTGCAGATGAGCTGCTGAGGACAAAAGATCCACTCCACACTGCTGGTCAGAACCAGGAGGCTTGCAAATTGAGGTGATGGAAATAAATAATGAACCACTTCCTGCCCAGGCCAATGAGACCAAGCATGTAAGGTACTGAAGGGAGGGGGAGACATAAATCTCCATGATGGATCAGCTAATATTTTATTTAAAATATCTTCAAAAAGAGGAGAGAGATGATCTATCGAATGTATTGAGAAAATGCTAATGCATAATAGCACGTGTCAGGAGGCTCGTCCATCACTTTCTGCTGCCTTCCGGGAGATCCATATCTAATTAACGGTAATGAATGATCGAGCCACACTGACGACAAGCCACCAGTTTGTTATGGAAATCAGGCAAACCAATTAATTAAACAAACTGTCCCCACCATGGCAGCCTGGCCTCTGAGCTCTGACTTCAGTGCTGTTTTTATCTACCAGCCAAAGATGCGTGTGTAGAGGTAGGTGATCAACACTCAGGAATCTGATGCTGGTGCTATCCTGGCATGTAAAGGGAGCCTGTTCAGATTCTGCTTCCACCCAATATCCATTCCTTGGATTCTGGTCAAATCTTTCCACTACTCTGACCCACACACTCAGTTCATAGTTTGAGCAGGCTGTTCTCTCAAAGACAGCAAGGCAAAGTCTGACAGGACATCACTATTAATTGCTTTGGTGCTTATAAATCAGTCGGTCAGTTACTAGAGAGTTAGGTTTGTTCCAAGGGGAATGTGGCATGTATGTCCATATGCCTGTTATAACCGTGTGTTCTGATGGTTCATGATAAACCAGAAGGCAAAACAAAATCTAAAATGTGTTATATCAAGATTGAAACACTGATTTTATGATAGTAGCAGTGACGGACGAGGGGAGGTAACAATCTTGAATCCAGTAGTCACAGACCCAATTGTGAATCTCTTACTCAAGGATCAGGTTGTACTGAATTTCAGAAGTATTGATTTTTTTATTGCCTTGAGCCACTTTGGAAATACATTTCTAGCAAAAATTTGGAATAAGTTAGAGGTACTAATGGCTGGTAGTTTGTCAGGTTCAGAGTAGTGAGTGATACTGAAATCAGCAGCAAGAGAAGGACTTGTAACTGTCTCAGTAGGCAAGTCCTGCAAATCCCTACCCAGGCTGCCTTTCATTAAAGTGTACTTCCAAATTTAGGAAGGTCGACAAAGGAGTTGAAAAATCATGACAATGGAGCATAAAAAAGAAAAGTGGGAGCACATCCACAGTTCCCCACTTCCCCAGCTTGCAGAATGCCTCTCTTCTGTGTGCTGAGCACCAAATAGGAAAGAGAATCAGACTGCAAGTATAACAAATGAAAACAAGGGACGAATATTATGATATACTGGATTTTCCATAAAACAGCAGTCACATTCTACCTAGGTCATAACAAATCCTAAGGAAGCCACAGATACACTGAAGTGAGATGCAGGTCAGAAGGTGCTGTAGATCAGGGCAGTCCAACTTTTCATACCATGGGTACTGCATGAGGATGACATGGAATCTGGGTGCGGTGCAATGAATTACATTTCCATATCACAAATTAAAGGGTTTGAAATATATTAATATATACAGTTAATATATTTAACCATTAAACAAGATTTAATAATTTTAAGATGATTTTAGGACTAATTGAATGACAGGACCCCAATCTCTGGAGAGATCACAGGCAGCTCCTCTGTCCACAGCCCAAGCACAATGACCACTCCTCTGGGGTGGCCCATCCCCTTCTTCCCCGTTTCTCCCACCCAGAAAACCTCCCATGTGACCCCTCCGGCCCCTTCTTCCTTGGAACTGGCATGCTGAGCCTCTTTTACTTCAGCCAAGGAACTCTCCCCAGCATACCCTTCTGTTCCTGCTGGCGAGTAAAAAAGGACTCTGCTCCTGAGCACATTTGTGCTAATCAGCTGGAGCAGTGCAGGGCATGCTGGGGCAAGTTCTTGCAAGGCCATTGTACTGTCCCACTCTCTTCCTGAGCCTCCTGAGGATGCAGACTGGGGGTGGGGGTGGGGGGCTCTGAGCAGCAAGAGGGACACAGAACAAGGCCTTGGGGACCACATGCAGCTCACGGGTCACGTGGTGGACCACCCTGCTATAGAGGATCAAGTCTGCATATTCTGTTACATCTACAGAAATAGCTAGAATATAGGTCAGGTTTGTGCTAGACATCTCAGTCTCCTTTCTACTATTACATTAAAATAATGTTCTGCCTTCATCAGGGCATGGAAAACTTTGGAAAAGTGCAAGCAGCATTTCCTGACAGCTGAAAAAACAAACATGCAAGGGTTCAAGTGGATACAAGTCAGTGCCCTTGACTTTTTCCCATTGCTCCTATTGTCTTAACCTGGCCAATAGTTTGTCTTCCTTGTCTGTCAATACAGTTACTGCTGTAGTATCTAGTGGAAATCCAAATGAAACAAAGGTTTGAAAAATAATGACCATGTTTATTTACAGCTTTGCAAACTAATGGGACATGCATGGTATGAGAATATACCTCTCCTTACCTCACTGTAAAGATGTGAAGGCCTGGGAGGCAGGAAAGCCAATCCCTTTTCCCCCCTAAGGCTTATTTGGAGTTTTTTTCCCCTGAAAATTTGAACAGTTCCATATTATGAAATATTTTCTTTCAGAAGTTAAGACAAAGTGTTTATATGTTGTTAGTCAGCATTTACTCCCATCTAATGATTTCTAAAAGCTATAAAATAACACTCATAGAAAGACTAGAGTTTTAAAATGTCTGAAACTTATGAAGCCATGGTGGGAAATATTTCTTTAATCCTCACTATAGGGTTACCAGCATAGTTATTTCTTCTGTTCCTTATTAAAATTACTGAGTTAATGTTTCTTTTATTGAGTTTTTAGTGAAGTTTCAGATCATGTTCAATTTGAGTCACTATATCATAATATAGAAGAAAATATACAAAACCATTAATTCCTACTAGAAAACCCAGGAACAGAGTTAGGAAGTTCTCTGAACTTGTCACAAACAGAACAGATGCAGTGCAATTAGTCTTCCTTTGTCCCCAGTTCTTCTTGATTCTTTTGGTTTCTAGAATGATTCAGGTGTTTTGGAAGTTCCTTCTGGACAGACATAAAACAGGACCCTAAAATGTGTTATCTATAACTTAGTTTGCTCATAAAATACATTTGGAATGTTAAACTTAACTTATAGCTCATTCAAACAAAAATTTCAAATTATTTTTAGTTTACTTTAAAATGCTAATATAATGACATTTTTATGATCAAACCAAGCTACACATTATATAACTTTAGGGATATAATGTTTTATGTTCCTAAAACAGCCTTCCCAACTTGGTGTCCTCTAGATGTTTTGCACTACAAGACCCAGCATTCCTGATGTTGGCCATGCCTCTGGAGACTGATGGACGCTGACGTCCAAAACGTCTGGAGGGCACCATGTTGAGGAGGGCTGGCCTACAGCAACAAACAGTGCAGTCCTATGGCCACTGGACAGCATCTAGATGGCCATAGGATTTTTTGGAGACCAAGTCAGAAAATTGCTCAGCTCTTGTGGCTGGGTGTTTGTGCTCAGAGACACCATCCCTGCTTCACAACTAGCAGACAGAACTGTGCCAGCTATGTCTCCAAGGTCCCAGGAGCTGGTGTTTTAGGAGGCAAGGAGGAGAAGGGCATTGACAAGATACATGGTATCGTGGCTGTGCCTCAGTGTCCTTTCCTCGTACTCCCAGGTGTAACATGCAGCCACAATGAGCTAAATGTTTTGCAGGAGGTGACCTTTGCCTCCAACTCTTTCACACTACATAAGAGACCCATAATCCTCAACTCAGGGGATACAGGCATCTAGATTGAGTTGATTTAGATCCATAAAGAGCACCTTTGCTGGTTTTTCCATTGCCCCCTCAAAATTGCAATAGCAAGCAAAGTTTTCCCCCCATAGCTTCAAAATTTGTGGAAATTTTATCTCTTTCATTGTGAACAAATTTTGGAGTGAAGATCCTGGCTTGTATGAAAGGAAAGTTCCCCAGTGTACCAGCCAAGGGGATTCTACTTAACAATGGTTGATAAATCAGGATAATAAGCTAGGATCTTTAGTCGGATAAGGGTCTTCTACTTAATGCAAGCCAGGATCTTGCCAAAACAGCTGCACAAAGGGAAGGGTGTATCTCAATTGTGTTGCCACATTTTCATAAACCATGGTTTATGAAGCCATGAACAATTACGCAAACATGCCCAGTATAAGCAGGTTTGCAAATATTTCACTATAACATCTTATTTCAACATTCCAACACTTTCATTCCTAGTTATTTGCACATCAGGAGCCCTGAGTTTGCACTAGAATCTCTCTCTGAAGAGCTGTAGCCTGGGCATGCAGGACTTCATCTGCACACGCATCACACCAAGCTGGAATTCATGCCCTGCTTCCTTGCCCCCAGACCTTGGCTCTCTGTTTTTACATGTCAATAGCTTCTCAGGATCTCTGTGCACATACACAGATTTCCAATTGAAGGCGTGTATTTGGCTCCTGTGGTATTGACACTGAAGCAAGAAGGGCTCAAGGTTAATTCCTTATCAATACCTTATTGTCAGCTCGTTAATCAAAGTGAGAGGTCAGAGGCAACTAAGGTGTTCAGACAGCAAAGAGATGGACTCTAGCTCTGTCACAGTCCCTTAAGACTCTTATCACTATACTATTCCCAATTTAGGTTGAACATTCCAAGCTTTCTGATGGCCTTTGATCTTCTGCCCAGCAACATATCACTTTTACATTTCGTAGCTCTCTTTGGGTTGACTCCACATAATAGAATTGGCCCATTTTCTTGGGAATAACAAATCTATTCCTAACTAATGACCCTCTCAGTATCACCAGCCTGGTCTTCTTTGGTGCCTTTGATCTCCCACTTGTATTCTTTCTCCCCAAGACAAATGTTCTATGGCTAGTAGATATGAAACAACACATGAACTCATTTCTGTGCCATGTCTAGTAAAAAGTAGTCAGGAGTAGCCTTCATCAAATGCAAAAACCTTTTTAGATCAGAAGGAAGCCTGCCTAGTCCAGCAGCGTGTTTCCCAGGGGCCCAACCAGATGCCTCTGGGAGGTCCACAAACAGGACGTGAAAGCTACAGAGCTCAGAGATTAGTATTAAGTGCTTCTGCACATGGCAGATTCCACATAGTCATGATGACTAATAGCCAGTGACAGGCTTATTCCCTGTGAACTTGTCCAATTGCCTTTTAAAGCCATCTAACCTTCACGCCATCACCACATTGTGAAACAGTGAATTCCATTAATTAATTATACGCTGCATGGAAGTATCCTCTTTGTCCATCCTAGCTCTATTGTCAATCAGTTTCACTGGATAGCTCTCAGGTCTTTCATTTTCTAAAGGGAGAAAAACTTCTCCCTATACATTTTCTGTACACCATCCATCATTTTATAAGCCCCTATTAAGTCCTCCTCACTTTGTACTCTTTTTTCTAACCCAAAACAAGTCAAAACTCTAAAGAAGCTCTTGCAAGAAGTTGGGTTAATTGGGTTAATCTTAGTACAGAAGAAAGCTATATGATAATAGTGTTTTATGTGTTACTTTGGGCTATATCGCTCAGAATAACCAGTGCCGCAAGGTACATAACTTTAATTCTTAATAAATTAATTAGGACAGCCACTATTCAGTCTGAGGGCAAGGAAAGAGGAACAGCTAAAGAGTATTAGACGTGCTGCATGAACATGCTTTTAGGCAAGGGCCAGCTACATCTCGCTAATCCATGGGTAGGCAACCTTGGACCCTCCAGTTGTTTAGGACCATAGCTCCCATAATTCCTGATCTCTGGTTATGTTGGTTAGGACTGATGGGAGTTGTAGGCCAAAATAGTGGGCGGGCCCTAGGTTGCCTGTCCCAAGCTTTTTTCTGAATCTCTGTAACCAAAACTATAGTCAGGATAAAGCGGTTAGGACTGATACAGTCAAACATTTCCCGTTGCCTTATAAATGCCCATACGATTTCAGAGTCTTGCTTGTGCCTCTTAATTCATTTGGGCTGTACAGCACTGAGTTCCATACACTTCTCATATTCAAAAGCTCATTCTTTAAATGATTGAGTTCAGAGTGTCAATGGTAACACAACCTACTGCTATTAATCAAGCATTACACAGTTGCATAATACCACTCATATTTGTATAAACTGACATGAATTTCCAAATGTAGTTTATATTGTCAGATTATGACATAGGTACTGTGCATAACCAAACTGCAAAGTTATTTTTCTAATAAATTAGTTGAAAGATTTGACTGATCAATTAGATCAATTCACAAGTTGACCTTTGAACCCATCCCCATTGCTAGACACAAAAATTGGGTAGAAAGATTATAGTTATGAACTTCTCTAGCAGCTGTGTATAACAATTGTCTTCCTGCTGTACTAATGGGTGGTCAGATGTGGTCTTGTAGTCATGGGTACTATATTATCTCTGTTGTCAAAATAGTTGCAATTTTAAGGAGGAGTCTGTGGCCAGCTGTGAAAAAAAAAAAGCAATGCAACTGTTAGCTGAGCAAAGCAAGCCTATCTGCTCCCATGAAAAAAATAAATAATTTAAACAACAGGCATTCTAGCAAATGAGAATTATCTGTGTATTTGCTTTTTAATCTTGAAGCTTTTGTTGTTTTGACTTAGATCCACTAGAAAGTGGTCAGTCATACTTTTCCCCTGCAAGTTGGGAACTTTAAAAACACTTCTGCTAACCAATATTTTCTTTTAATAAAGAGGGAAATAATTTTAATCAGGAAAAGAGAACTTGGAGCTAGATGCTGCATCACTTACTCTCCAACTACTAAATCCATTTTGGGTAACTGACAATCCCTGTGCTTCCAATTCTCACCCAAGCTGTGTATATAACTTCTTCCAGGGCTGTATGTGTTTGGGCCTATAGCACTATGAACCTGTATGAATATACAGTAGTGAAATCAGAACAGAAACATATGCATTTCTACATGTTGAATGATTTCTATCAGAAATTAGATTACTTTGGGATTAATTGGTTTAATAATTCTTTTATCTGTTTTATTCTCTTTTAATGCTGCTTTCCTTTTTCATCTTTTACTGTGCTTGCATTTTATTTTTACTGTCTATGATTAAGTGCATTTCATTTTGGAAAGTGGGATATACATCTTCAAAATAAAAAAGCAGTGGACACTTCATATAGCTTCTAAAAAGCAACACAAAAGGCAGCATTTAAGTATCGTTCAAAGTGTTCTAACATAAAGCTTTGTGCACTACTGCTCAACTTGCACTGGATCACCAACACTTTATATCTCAGTCTTGTTCCACTGAGTTCAGGGTGATTTACGTAAGGTTTTTCCCATGTCATCCTCACAAAAACCTGTGGCAGACATTAGACTATAAGTTGTGGCTGACCCAAGACTACCAAGTACTTTTCATCACTGTGATGCAACTCTATGTAGTTACCTGGGAGCAAGTTCCAATATTGAGACTTGTTTTTCAGCAATGATGAAAGATTAAGGTGGGAGTAGGGATTGAAACCAAGGCTTGTTGGTTGAACTCCAATGCTGTTCACTCTACCAGAAAGAACAGAACACAAAACGCAAGACTGTGATGCCCATTTTGTTTTTTATTCCACATAGATGCAAGTGTATACATCAGTAAGTCCTCTTTTCAAGTAAGGGCTAAATTACCATTCCTGACCTTAATAATCAGTCTGCTTTTTTCTATAGAAGTGCTCCTTTCATCCTTCAACTCTGTGACAGTAATCTGAAAAAAAAAACCCCAGCGGTACAAGAACTTGTGTTCGCCTGAGGTGGTGGATGGGCAGCTTCCCTGATCTAATGCCCTCCACATGTCTTGGAGGACATGTTTCACAACTCTCAACTTTCCTTACCATGGGCCATGGTCCAAAACTTGTGGTGTCAGTGCAAAACTTCTGGAGGATAACAATTTGGAGAACCCAAACCCAAACCCAGTGGTAGGGAATTTCTATTGACAGAAAAGTGTATCATACAAAATCCGCTGGCTGGGGGAGATATGACTGCTCTCACCACAGATCTGTATTGAAGGCAACTAGGACCACGTTCCAGGGGGAATGCCAGTAGCCTTCTGAACTTGGAGAACAGAAGTGGCAGAGGAGCAAACATCACTTCTCTGCTCCTCCTGCCTTGAAAAAAAATCCTTCACCACTGGCTATGCTGGCTACAACTGATGGGAGTGGTAGCCTGGTGCACCACACAGCTCCTAGCCCTGGTTTACAAGATTCAAGCCCTTACAGTTGTTCAAGATTTATTCTTATTTAAGGTAGCTTCACAGAAAGCAACAGGACCTTAGTTGAAACTTAAGTTAACCAGGACTAAGTAACTCCCAGTGTTTTTTAACATAACTCCCAGAGTGTGCCTTTCTACATGAACTGGCCTGCTAACAAGTTGGGGACAGTTCCATGGCTGCCATGGAGTCCATGAAATCCTGAAATTCCACTGATAGGGTGCCCTCAGCATGGATGTTAACATTCCCCAGGACCAAAGTCTGGGGGACTTCAGCACTGTAGCCAAGGCAGCCTCTGTCAGCTCAGGTAGGGAGACTGTGGAGCAGTGGGGTTCATGGTACACCGACAAAATTATCTACTCTGGCATACTTGCCCAACACAAGATGCAAACCCTCCAGACAAGTAGTCAGTCTGGAAAGAGAGATATAACTCCTACAGACCACCGCATCCCTCCTCCAAATCCCTTAGGCCTTCTTTGGAGCTGGACCAAGTACTCCAGTATCTGAGAGAGAGAAGCTCTTCCCAGTTCACCACCAGGTCTCAGTGCTGCAGGCCATATCAGCTGCTTCATCCACTATTAAATCATGGATGAGGGAGTCTTGTTCTGCACTGACCTTGGGTTCAGAAGCAATAGCCAGAGAGAGGGCAGGCTGATAGTGATTCTTCAGATTCAGAACACTAGATACCTATTCTTTTTGAATAACTAGCCCAGAACACTTAGCACATCTGATGTTTTCCTCTCTGATTATTTTCACTACACAGTTCAACAAGGAACAAAACAGCTTGACTCACTGGATCATGGATGCAAAGGGATCTGTTTCAGAGTAAAAGACATCCAACGATGTAACAAACACACAGACTGAAAAGCCACCTAAGGTGAAAAAGGGAGACACATACACACAGATACCATGATGGACTTAATCTACCCTTTAATGCATATTAATTCAGTTATGACAGCTTGACTAATACTCCACTCAATAGCCTTCACTATTTTACAGCCTTCCTGCTATGGGCACATAAACAAGTTAATACTGACTAATTGCTACAAAACTCCCTCTAGCTACCCCTATTCTTAAAACAGGATAGTGAAAGAGTATTTTGTTCTGAACAACATCCTTTCAGTTCCAACTTTTTGGTACAGAATCCGATTTATGTCAGTACATAACATACAAAGATATGGGCATTATTTTAGGTGAATATGGATTTCAAGGAATCACTGTGTGCAGAATGCCCAACCACATAAGGGATATGAATTCGAAATGTTTCCTCTTAGTTCAGTTTTGCAGGCTGACTGTTGATAAACTGCTTTTTGCAAAGTAGCTTTGACTCCACAAGAAGTCTCCTTCTATCCTCAGTTTAAAAGTTGACAGACACAAAGGAAGTCTGTGAGGAAGAAAGTAGCCCAGATACAGTCATGGATCAAGGAGGATCCATAGCAGGATGGACACAGCAGCTCAGGAAGGAACTTTGTTTCACAGCCACAAAATAGACAATGACAAAAGGAGAAATGAGGAAGGAGGTGCTGCAAAAGAAGCTTTGTACTTAAGTGCTCTTGTCTACCAAAACCTCAGAAATCAAAGCTGAATAGGAAAAACTTTGGACAAAGCAGAGCTTTATGACTGGTAGAGCCAGTAGCTCCTTGACCCTTATAAGAAGCAGAAGCAGGACACAGTATATAAAATAAGGAAATATATATAAATCTGCTTAAATGGATACAGGAGATAGCACAAAGCCCACTTTGCAAAGCTTATTTAGAGAGCACTTTGTAAAGCTCACTTACAGGGCCAAGAATGAATGGATTGCAAAATACACTGGTTTGGTTGTTCCCACATTTATCCTGCAGTCCCACTTCCAACTGTTCAGCAATGTGACTATTTCAGATATTCAGTGTGCAAGAAGTACTTTGGTTTCACCAGCAAAATTGTATTGAGAGCAATTATGAACAGTGTACAGTATCAAACTATTAAGGGAAGGTGGAATATGCAGTCATGGCATCCTGGTGAGCCTAAGCATGCCCAATGCAACTGTACATGAAGGAGACGCAATGAGTTGCATATGAGGTGGGATACACCCGCAGATGGCTGACATGATCAGAGTCCACAAAGTCCACAGCCTGAACAAAGACCTGTTGCCGCCGCCGGGCCACTACCATGCTCTCCACATCACTTGCTAGGATAATGGAATCAGCCTTGGAGTATAGGTACAGCTCAGGCCATCTAGACAGTTGCTTCAACATGGCATCATAGTGGTTCTGATGTACAAAACGGGTCACAGGATACAACATGATCCGCAGTGTCATCACCATGACCGCAAACATCAGCAGAAGAAGGTACTTGACATATATACTGTATGGTGCTAAAACAAGTGACAGGGCACGGAGCCCACCCACCAGGTTCCTCCTGCCAGGAGCACTGTCAAACACAGTACCCACCACCCTCAGATGCTGGAACGGTTGCTGCGTGTGAAGGAGCTCCACAATGTAACGGTAGAGCATGACACCTCCATTGCTGAAGACATGAAAAAGCAGCGGCTTTGTCTCCACTTTGTAGTCAAAGAGGCACTCCAGTAGCTTCTTAGCCAAGTTCTGCAGGGACTTTATGCCCAAAGATTCTGAAAAGAACACCAGTCTCCAGGGAGCCGTATAGCGGATCACTACACATCCCTGTGAGGAATACACAAGTTTTAGTGTGGGCATGTAATACACAGAACAAGCAACTGACAAGATCTGTCAACAGGACTCATAATTAACTGCAGTTATTTACTGCAGTTATAAGATGCTGCACTTTACACAGGGAAAGGGCAGCATCTTAGAAGCAATACTGTTCTACAGATTATCATGGCTTGCAATGCCATACTTTAGGTAAACAACATGAGAAGCGCTATGGTTTCTAAGGACTTTATTGGTCAGAGGCCTAGACACAAGTCCCAACTAGTCCTGCTTCCAGTCATATTTAAACTGCATAAGAAAATATGAAATGACAGACTGATTTACCAAAGAATGGAAGACAGTGTGCTGGGTTCCCACAAAGCTAGAAAGCTGTGTACCTATAGGCCAGATCAGGTTCCCTTCCACCTTTCAATCTGGCATTTATGACTCCACCTTGGCTTCTTCCTGTGTGGTGTGTTGGCTCCACTGCCATCTCTCTTTGTTTGTAGACTCCACTGCTATCTTCATGATCCTTAACAGTTCCATGTGAGTGACACACTCAGGAAAAGTAGCAATGAAATAGAGGAGCATCCCTCCTTCCTCATGAACAGCTTCCTCCTTAGAGCTGTTCTGTACATATCCTAATTCAAGCTAGTACTAATGGGGCAACAGAAACTATGAGGTGTTGTACATGCTTCTATGTTATATACAAAAAGAAACTTTTTGAAATGAGCCCCAGGTTCATTTAAAATTGGCAACATATCCACATCGTATACAAAAATAATCTTCACTTGGAACCTATTGTGGGAATTTATACTGCCTAGCAACCACAAAATGCAACTTTTGGGATCCAGCTCTATAGAAGTACTGGACAAGAAATTATTACTATTAGAAAGCAGTCAGAGAAATACTACTGAGGAAAATCTTCCCTCTGTTATGATCTGATTCAATTTGTATCCACGTAACTGTAGGAAGAAAATGGCAGTAGGTGCATCCTATGGTAGGATCACAATAATTTTTCTGTATTTACTTAAGCAACAACTGTGGAAGCTGCCACACCAATCAGTGCAAAATTAGTTCTTTCCTACAAGATTTGACAGCAAATGCAATATTCAAATATTCAAACCATAGCCATCTATGGGACGATCTTCAAATTAAATCTGTAATTAAAAAATCACCAATATCAGACAATAAGAATGATCAAATTAAAATGCCACTTTATTTAATGCTATAAAGCAGCAACCCCACCAAAAAGGAGGGGACACAGGATAAATACAACAGAAGTAAAATAGCAGTAACTTAGTCCATACTTAAAGCTACATTTTTTCCATTGTGTCTAAAACAACTCAATAGTTGATCCAGATATACAACTGTAAGGTTTCACAAAGGTGGTGTGTCTATGTTACATGTGAATACTGGTAAACTGCAGTCAGTGGAGAATCCAGAAGAGTGTGAGATGTTGAACAAAGAACTCCCAGAGGAACACGTATGGGCAAGTGATCTTTATGGTATCCAAGCCATTTAGAAATGTAAAAAGTAAGAATTTTTAAAAGAAGGGTTTTGATAGTTGCTACGTCTATAATAATTTAACTTTGCATTAACACTCTTGCATATAGGAACCCTAACTGCAGCTATATATTTTTACAGTTTGGCCATGTTTAAATCATCATCATCACCCTCACTGTGGAAGAGGGTGCTTCAATGATGAGGAAAGTCTCTTGGGGCTGTCTATAACCCTGCATATTGTGTCAAATTGGTATCATTTTAGAGAACAAGAACCCAAATTAAAGTCAAGGGTAGACTGCTAGACACAGGAAGGAGGGATCACATGACACTTTTAACCTACAGTATGACATAAAGCACACAGTATGCGTTTAATGCATGAGGTCTCATAATGTAGCCAATGGATAACCAGGTACGCTGTGGACAGCAACCCCTTTGGTCCTTCAGTGGGTTTCCCAGAAGACACCCCAGAAGCAACGAGGTTTCCAACCCTCCCCACTATAATCACAAGCCTCTAACAGCAGACAGTGTGTAACTTGGGGGCACACTGCTACACCATGCCAAGCTTCTGCTTGTGACAGCAAGGGGGAATAGACCCCTGCCACTGGCTCAAGAAAAGACCTCTCAAGCCAGCAGCAGGGATCACCCCTCCCTGCCACCATCGCATGGAGCCCTGTGGGGACCAAACACAGCAGCAGTGAGAGCAGGGGCAGGGAGAGGGAATCCCTGCCACTGGCTTGAGAGGTTTCCTGTTGAGCCAGCAGCAGGAACGGCTCCTGCCTGACACCATGGCTCTCTGCTGCTGGCTCAAGAGGAAGTTTGTCTTGGAGCCCCACCTGCCTCTTTCACATAGGGGTGCTGAGAGATGATTCCTGCTACCAGCCCTCAATGTCTCCTCTCAAGCCAGAACTGTTCCTCCTCAGTAGCACAGTGCATGATGCAACACCGAGAAGTTCTCTGTAGCCAACTCAAAAGGAGAACTCTGAACTATACTCCCTGTCATAATTGTGAGAAGCCCTGTTGAATGAAACTCTGTGCAGCAGCAGTGATGGGGAATTGAGAGGCAATTCCTGCTGCATCCTGCCACTGTGAGCCCCAAGGTGCTGGTTCTCTCCTGAAACCCTAAACAAAGCATTAACTCCTAGATGTAGTTTACCCTCCAGTGTTTTTCACCCCCGACATAGGGCAAGTCTTTCTAATATAATTGGAGTCTCTGGGTATTAATTTTTAATCCAGATTTCACAAATAATTCTGAAAATAGCTTGCAAGAACAAAACCAGAGCTCAGTATTATCAACCTGATGAGTCAAAACCTAAGGAACTGAGAGGATGGTTCTGTTTTGAGAATAAGCCTATCTGTAAAGCCTCTCTCAAACCACTTCCTACTAGCAGCGATTCTTAGCAAAGAACTAGACAAGCAGTTTACAGTTATGATTGAGGAAGGGCAAAATTTTCTTTTCCTACAAAGTCTTGAAACCACCCTGGATTATATTCATAGACAAGTTATTTTGCTCTGGCTAGTAACCATCTAAAAGATAATGAGGATCTGTGCAAACGCTTTCAACTTAAAACCAAAATGAATGTATACCAACCCCCACCCCATAACAACTAGAAGAGAGATAATAATTAGGGGGGGAAATTCAGACAGGACCTTTGCACATCATTTAATTTTCAGAACCTCTGAAGAGAAAACAGGTAATAAACACAAAACTGTACCTCTTGAATGACCTATATAATACATTTTTAATCAACAATACTAAGCAATCCTGCACTGCTGAATTTGGTCCTTTCCTGCCTAGAAATAAAACCTACAGCCTTCAATTATTTCCTGTTTTTTTGTTAGGAAATTGAAAAACAAAGCCAGTTTTAGCAGTATGTTTAACACCAGTAGAGGATTTCATACTGGCAACATAATATTTTTGTTTGAATTAGACTTGGATCCCAATCAAGCTACTCATTGCAACTTAATACAGCTCATAGGACCCCATAGCCACAATATACTTTCAGTACATATGGATGTGTCAGAATCACACACTTCTAAATTCTGCCCTAGAATAGGGTAGATTTACTTTGAATAATTCAAGAAAAGCTCACAAAATGTTCATAGTTCTAGTGCTTTATTTCAAGAAATGAGGAATTCACACACTGGATCAGACCTAGAAAAGTACTGGTAGTCCTGTTTGCAAGTGGGTAAGCAGTACAACACAAAAATGTACAACATGCCACTTTAGGTTTTTCATAGCACAGATTTCTTTAACAAAATTCTTTCCAACTTTTTCCCCATTAAGACTGCGTGTACACCATGAGAGATGCTCCAAAACAAAATTCTGTCATAACTTCTTCACAGATTTCTGGGTGGGTCAAGAATTATCCTTGCATTTAAGTATAGAGGAGAAACTGAGTTGTACCAAAGCTAAAGTTAAGAATAGTCACTACTCACCTTTCGTAGATATATGGCGCTGTATTTCTCCAGATGCCTATCTTTGCAGCCAGCCCACCCAAGCAGTATCACCACAGGCAGGTTGACATTGTTTCCCTTCTCAGCACTAGCATCTGAAAAAGCAAGATTAAAGTCTGCCTTCCATCTTAATCATAGGGACTACAATGCCATTTCACAAAGACCCATACAATTTTGGCACTGCAGTCTTCTCTTCATACGATCCTTGAGCTAAATAAGAGAGCCCTCGATTATGTGCGCGTGCGCTTCATATCTACGCGATTAAGGTACTCGGACATTAGAAGTAGATACCGGCTTGGCCAAGGGCAATCAAGCCTCAAAGCTAACTCTCAAAAAGAAAAGGCAGCCTTCATTGACCTTCAGATTCCACCACATTCGGTGTGCCGGGATCTCGCCTTCTCCAGATCTGCCCCTCAAGATCCATATGAGAGACTTCACTCACCAGCACTTGGCTCCAGCGGGGTCGAAGGCAGTTCCACCACACACCCGGGCAGCTCCTCGACCCTCATGCCCATCCCTACGCCGGCTCTCTCAGAACTGCCGCTTCCGCCTTCCCCTTACCGGAAACACCCGCCTCTTGGACCCGCCTTCCCGGCAAAACTGGAGGAAGTGCCGAGCGCGGGCGCGGTAACTTTGTGTTCTCTCTTCGTCACTCAGTGGAACGTTGCTGAGCAACGCAACGGCCTTAGCGAACGACCTGCTGCTGCTTTCCCCGCGCTCTTTTCTACAAAGCGAGCAAAACAAAACCGAACTAAATTGTGTCATTGATTGAAATTTCGGAGGGGTTCCACTCGAACTTTTGAAACGGTCCAAGAAATTGGGGTTTCCGATTTCTGAGGTGCGGTCCGGGTGCTAGAGCATTTTGTATATACCGAAGGTAGGACAGCGGGTGTAAGGATAAACTGTGAGGCAAGGCAAATGACTTGCGGAAAAAGACGGACCAGGACTGTGATCGGACAGTGGTGCAGCTCGGACCAGAGTCCCGGCGGCCTCTAAACGGTCAGCCACAGTTTGTTGTTGCTTGTACCGTCAACTCGACTCACAGGTTATGGCGGCCCTGTGAACGAAAGTTCTCCAAAATGCCTTGACGTTGAGAGCCCTGCTCAGCGCCTGTAAACTCAAGGCTGTGGCTTCCTTTATGGAATCGCTCCATCTCATGTTTGCTCTTCCTCTTCTTCTGCCTTCGACTTTCCCCAGCGTTACCGTCTTCTCCTATGAGTCTTGCCTTCATCATTTTTGCTTCCAGGGCTAGTTCTGCCTGCCTAGGACCCACTTGTTCATCCTTCCGTTGGTCGAGGGTATTCACAAAACTTATCCAGCACCATGTTTCAAACTCATCGACTTTCTTCCTGTCAGCTTTCTTCACTTGTCTAGTTTCCACATCCCTTTATAGTGATCTGGAATACAATAGCATGGATAATCTTGGCCTTGGTCTCCAGTAAAACATCCTTATATTTGATCATCCTTTGCAGTTCCTTCATTACTGCCCTACCAGGTCTTTGCCTTCTTTTAAATTTCTTGACTGCAGCCTCCATTTCAATTGAAGATTAATACAAGATATGCAAAATCTTCCACAGTTTCAATTTCTTTGTTGTTAAACTTAAAGTCGTGTAATTCTTCTGTCATGATTTAGTTTTCTTAATGTTCAGCTGCAGTCCTGGTTTTGCATTGTCTTCTTTCACTTTAATCATAGTCTGTTTAGTTCAGTGGTTTTCTGTCAGTAATCATCTGCATATTTTACATTATTCATATATCTTCCATCAAATTTCACTTCTTTTCCCTCTGATCCTAACCCAGCCTTCCTTATGGTATACTCTGCTTACAGATTGAACAAATGAGATAAATTACACCCTTGTGTGATGGCTTTGTCAGAAGCTTTTGCAGATAGGAAATGATTCAATTTCTCCATGTTGTGTCCTAATAGTTGCTTCTTGTCCACATTACAGGTTCCATATCAGGACGCTCAAGAACTGAGGCACACCCATTTCTTTCAGAATGACCCATAGCTTCTCATGATCCACACAGTCAAAGGATTTGATGTAGTTTAAAAAGCATAGACTGATTTTTTAAAAAAAATATTTGGTGCATTCTAGTAGCCAACTGATAATAAATTCTTAAGTGCCTCTTCTTTTTCAGAATCCAGCTTGAAGGTCAGGCATTTCTTGCTCTTTATAGGGTAAAATTCTTTGCTACGTTCTTTGCGTGCATGAGAAATTAGTGCAGTGGTCCTACAGTTGGTGCATCTTCTTCTTGGGGACCAGAATGTATAGTGAATGTTTCCAGTCTGTGGGCCATTGTTTTGTTTTCCATATTTGTTGGTATATTCTTGTTAGGATTTGGAGACTGATTCAGTCACTACAGCTTGGAATAATTCTGTTGGTACCCTGTCTATTCTGGGTGCTGTTTATTCCTTCCAAGTGCTTTCAGAACAGCTTAATCTTAGCTTTCTAATATTTCAGGTTTTCCCTCAGAGAATGCCTCTTCAAAAATTCTGTTATTATCTCTTCTGTATAGTGTCTCTTCTTCTGAATAAGCAATTTATGTATAGCCAGAAACTGGGGGCGAGGGGGGGAAGGGTATTTACAAAGCCTAATCTACTGATATACTCTGACATTTTGATGATGAAAAAAATATGCCTGGCAGCTCAGAGTTGGTGGAAAGGCTCAACTTGTTTAGTTGAGTTTGTAATTTTTACTTCTTGGGATATGCCAAGGTTTTAATTTTGTTTATCCTAAGCAGAGTAAATATTATTTGATTTGTGCTTTTAAATGTAATCATTATTCTCTTTTCACTGCCTCAAAATGGAGGAGGGGGAATATAAGATTATTTACTTGATCCCCTTTTAAAGTTATTTAAAATAATGTATATTAGGTTTGAGAACCCCCTGCCATATTTTATTTCCTTGAAATTTATAACTGGAAACTTACCACAGACATTTTGTTTTATTGTTCTCGCCTATCTCAAAACTGAAATGAAGTTTTGGGGATTTTATGTTAACTGCATTATGGACAGCTGATTCAACAGATGAGCCTTCACCTGCATGGAAATGTTATAAAAGGAAAAGCATTGCTATGTTTTATGGTGCTACAAGCAAGCAGTCTGACTGGAGGCTAATGTCAACCCCAAGCATTGGAGCTCAATCTATAAAAAGACTCTCAGTCTTGCATAAACATTGCATTCTTTTATCTAGAGGTCTTTCCACTATTCCCTGAAGATAGAAGATAGTTATGATTAGTTAGTGTCAAGGAAAAGACTTTCTGCACAGAGTTGGCCTTGGCTTAAAATGGAAACTTTGGTCAAATGTAAAAAAGACTACAGTCCAGACCCAATTTATTCCATAATGGTCCTGTCAAAGGTAACCAAAGGCTCTGATCCAGAGTAATTAGACTGTATGTGGCAACCAAAGTATCACTTACTTTGTGTACATAGCAGACATTATGTAATAGAAATGTCCTATGTTTCCATGGTTTTAAAGTTTCCACTTAATTTGTATACAAGTTTAAACATGATGTAGTGGACAGAGAGTTCTTGGATCAGGAAAATCTTGGTTCAAATCCCTACTTAGTTATAAAGTTCATTGTATGGCTGTAAGCCAACCACTGTTTGCAAGCTAGCTAACATCTCAAACAGTTGCTCTGAGGTTAAACAAGAAAAAACAATGTCTACCATACTGAGCTCCTTCAAATAATGCTGGAATCAAAATGCAATAAGCAAGTAAAAAAATAGAAACTGTATACACAAGCAACCTTAGCTGCCTTTGGAATGTTAAAAATAAAAGAGTCACACAGCTTCTCAAACCTAATATACCTTATTTTTTTTATCAAAATCTGTCTTTTGCCTTTACCAGCCTCTGTACCTCTGTGTTCAGTGCTATAGTGACAGCATTCAGTGTTGGGTGCTATCAAAGAAATGACATTTGCCCTATCCTCAGCCTAAATAAAGAACAGGTGGGGATGAATTTAAATTGCCACCTTTTTCCCCCTCACAGGGCATCTGTGCCTTTAAAAAATGCATGTCAAGTGGAAATTCAACCATGAACTCTTATATTTATTTATGACATTTGTATGCTGTTCCATAATGAAGTTCTCTGGGTTGTTTACAATAAATGACATGTACATTTCATTATAAAATAAGACATACAATAACATTAAAAGCAGCATAAAATACAACAAAACAGCAACTTAAACATGGCGATTTCAAACTTGAGAGGTCCAGACTAGTTGAATTATTGAACAGCCCTGGTTGAACAGAAAGGTCTTCAGCTGGTGCTGAAAATATCATGGTGGAGTGATGCAGAAGGCTTCATCTACCTGTTACGTGATTGTTAAAGACTAAGGAACCCTGCCAGAAAAAGATGGGACCGTTACATTGGCAGCCTTTTTAGAGCACATTGCTTTAGCTCAGCTCAGAAGATGTGCCAATTTCATTTTTGGAGGAAGGTACCTCAGGTTGTTCTAACAGCTTGTGCCTTGACAGGTAACATAACTCTGTTAGTGCAGTGTTTCCACAATATTCTAAATAGAACTCCATGAAAACCCTAAGACTAGTTTCTAAATCACCAAAAAATATTTTGTGCTCAGTTTCCACTTTGTAATATTTAATATATTTATATGCCAAATCTACTGTATCAAAAAGTGGCATTCATGCCAGCTTTCACAGACAATTAAAATGGTTGCAATAATAAAAGAATGCAATTAAATACAAAAAATAGACCTCTTCAGAACTATTTTGAAGCTGTGCCTGTAGAAAATTAATGTTCTTTAGTGAAAGCTGGGAAGCTTTAACTTCTTTATATGAAGTATTAATACAGGTAAGTATCTTGGTAATAGATGGTACTGATGCATATTCAGGTAGAATCATTTTCCAGTATGATTGAAGATTTTTTAAAGTACTCCAAAGATTTATTGGTTTCTAGAGAAAAAAGGAGCTATTGCCTCCTTATAAATGAGGATATGTTAATTTAGACTGAACTTAAGATTGTTGCAGGTGGTAAAGTTCTTTTACATATACCAATGTTAAAGAAAGAGTTTCATGTCATAGCACAATAAATTTATCATGGATAGCCAGATGAAAAACAACTTTTCCTGAAACACAAATATCAGCTATGAGGCTAAAGTAACATACTACAAATTTTCTGTAAATCAGATAAATAAGCCTCCTGTTTCACTCTTTTCTCCAGAAGGCTGATACAGCTGTTCTCTTGTTAGTGCTAACATTTGTTATGGCTAATAACACTTTCAATCACAACTATTTGAGGAAAATTGATTTTGAACCTTCTCTGTACTGACATACTACCAAGGACAAAGGCTCCTACAGACCACAGGTTGTTAATTCCTTGATGGATTCCTATGCATTTCTCAGCAATGTGCATCTTTATCAAGTTTTGAAGGTGTTGCTTAAACTCCACCCCCCATAATAGGAGATACAGTTCTTCCAGAGATTTAATGTTGCTTCAGCTGTAATGATTATGTAAATGCTCCCCTTACACATAGACAAGATCTCTAGTTGTGAAACAAACCTGTAGGACATACAGTTAAGTGGTTCATAAATTTTCAAGCCAGAAACTATACAAACTACATTCTGGCTTGAAGAAGATTTGGAGCAATGTCTTGAAAATTCTGGAAGTCAAGATATGTGAGGAAGCTGTGAGCAAATGGAGTCTGTGTAGAGAAAAGAAGAAAAGTGGGCAAGTGATGACATCACTGCTTCTAATGAAATTAAAGCTCCAACTCTTGAAAAGCAGATGAAGAATATCAGGGCTAATCTTACCAATAGGCAGTGTGATGACTGATTTGAGGTTACTCCCCTAGAGAAGTGCTTGTGTAACTTTCTGTCTTGGATTGCAAAATAACTTGGCCAGCCTTGCTACTGTGCACCATCTCTTGTTTTGCAAAATGTTTTAAGCTGGCATTGCCTGAAAGAAAAGTTACGTAATTTAGGGTATGTCTTGATCCAATTTTGTCACTTGAGAACCAATTGACCTCAGCATCCAGAAGTGCCTTTTACTAGTTCACCAGCTACAACCATTTCTGGATGCAGACCAGGGTGGATAAAAATAAATGTTGTTGAATTGAATTTTTAAATTCTAAATTATTTTTTTAAATAAACGGCTTTTTGAAGAATACCTGTCTAAAGATAGTTTTCTGTTTAAGATACATTATAGTCCAAAGGTTATTCATCATGAAATAAGGATTAGTTTTTAATTATGTAGCATGAGGCTGTATATTCATACATGTATAATTTTTTTTGGTAAATGACTTCTAGTAATCCACTCACAATGTTGTGCTCTTCCAGAGGTTTCTGTAAGATTATTGGACAATTTTTCTATTCAGAAGATATCACAGATGCTCGGTTTTACAGTTCTCACAACTGAATGTGTGTTGGCAATGATCACATGTCTCTTCTTCACAGCAAAAATGTTATAAAATATACAGAGTTGCGAAAAAGACCTTAATCCCATTATTACTTTGCAAATCTATGTACACAGAATCAACCTCTTACCTCTTAAGTGCTAATTTTCAAAAAAAATCAATGAATAGAAGATTGTTGGGAGTGGAATAGATCTGCACAAGAAGTTAAGTGTCCGTGTGGGGGAGGAGCAAGCAATAAAAATGAAAGTGAAACCTTTTGAGCAGAATACTTCACAAGTCTTTGGATCTTTTTGTGTATAGCCAGAGGTTTATCACATTATTCTTTCCCTGGAGATAAAAAGCCAGTAATGACCCAACAGACTGTAAAAGAGACTCAGTTTGGGAATATTTTAATGAAGACCCAGTACCTACAGATAAGGCAGGCACACATGTAAATTATGAAAACCATGATTTAAATCTGGTCTTACTGACTAGTAACTTAAATTGTGATTTAAATCAAATCCACTCTGATGCAGGCCATCTGTTCATAGTGATTCATGGTTTGATCACTTGTAATGCATTTTTGAAGATAACTCCAAAGTTTCAGCTAGTTTTAACCAGTACACCTAGGTGGGGTCAAATTACACCAATTCTAAAAGAGTTGCACTGCTTCCCATTGGTTTCTGAGTCCAGTTTAAGATGTTGGTGTTTACCTTTAAAGTCCTACACCGCCTGCAACACAAATATCTGAAGGAATGCTTCTCTGTATACCAGTCTAGCCATATTTTAAGATAATCAGGGGAGGTTCTTCTCCAAGTAGCATTGGTAATTATGTGACAATTTTGGGTTTAATAGGCTGAATAGAGATTTAGGCATGTGCAACTGGGATGGCTGAAGCAGATTTTCCTACCCCCGCCTTTCCGTGGGATTCCACCCAAAATTGTACAGCCAGGTTTAGAATATCCTGCTTTTGTGGGGGAGGGGAAAGGATTCCTGAAAACTGAGAGGAGGCAACTTCTGTTAGTGGAGCCCTTCCCGTCACAGAAGGCAGAGCCTGGATCCCACACATCGTACCTAGAGCCACTGGAACAGGTTATGCTGCCCCTGAGCTTTCTGGGGTTCCCGCTTGTCTGTTCACTATATTTGGAAATATGTTTGTGGTAGCTTACTGAAATAACTCCAATATCTGAGGCCTGGTTACAAAAGAATTAGTCTCTAATGATATAGTGTTTTATATAACCAATTTTGCTGCCACTTTTCCATCAGTAATTTCTGAATTGGAAAAAATTGGAATGGCCTCTGGCTTGAAGGCTGCTTTATAGACTTAGAGCAGGTTTTCCCCTTTGCAAGATGGGGGACCTCTTAGGATGGTCTGTCGCCAGTGGTTAATGGATCCTGGTAGCTTCCAGGCAGCTCTGGAGGCTTTTTCAGTTCATATGGCTGACCTTCTTGTTGAAATGGTAAAATGCAGAAATACCTGAGCAAACTCACTACAGCAGAACCTCATATGGGTTCATGGTGTATCCTAGAGGAAACGATTTGAGTGAACATGGAGGAAAATTCCTGACAGATAAAATCAAGGGTTGGTATGCGCCTATGATGGGATATATCAATTCCTCTATTTATTTAAAACATTTCTATCCTGTCCTTCATGATAAAAAAATCTCAGGACGGCTTACAAAACTTAAAATCAACAACAATAATAAAAGTACAATCAGTGATAGAGTTAAAAAAATAAATGGCAAAAAATGAGTAAATCACATTCATAAAGAAAAAATAAAAATAAATAAAAATATGACTATTAACTTAAACATCTAAAATCCCTTATTCTTAAAATGATGGTTAAATATAATGGTCTTCACCTGGCGCCAAAAAGAATATAAGCTTGATGCCCGGTGAACCTCTCTAGGGAGCGCATTCTACAGTCTGTGCGCCCCGCAGAGAAGGCTATCCTCCAGGTAGACATCCTCTTTACCTCCTTCAGGGAGGCTTCCCAGAGCAGGGCCTCTCCTGTGGATCTTAAGGGGTGTGAGAGCATATAAGGAAGGAGATGTTCAGGTATCCCAGTCACAAGCTGTTTAGGGCTTTATAGGTTAATACCAGCACCTTGAATTGGGCCCAGACTTCAGTTGGGAGCCAGTGTAGCTGGTAGAGGACCGGCGTTATGTGAGAATAATGACCAGCCCCCATCAGCAGCCTGGCAGCTCTATTTTGTACTAATTGAAGTATCCAGACCGTTTTCAAGGGCAGCCCCACATAGAGCCCATTACAGTAATCCAACTGGGAAGTTACCAGGGCATGTGTCACCATTGCTAGGCAGTGCTCATCCAGGTAAGGCTGCAGCTGATGGACCAGCCGAAGCTGGAGGAAAGCAATCCTCGCCACTGACATCACCTGAGCCTCCAGGGACAGCTCTGGGCAAGGAGCACTTCTAGGCCATGGACCCTGTTCTTCAGAGGGAGTGCAACCCCATCCAGCACAGGATCAAAATCACTTACCTGAAAGCCCAAACCACCCACTCATAGGACCTCCATCTTAACTGGATTGAGTCTCAGTTTTGAGTCTCTATGAGCCATGCAGCAGAACTTCTCAAGGTTGTCCAAAGCTTATTATATGCTGGCCCTAAGGATGCTGTGAATCCTTCAGAGTCCCACTGTGATATGGTTGCACTTCCAAGATAAGATCTCTTGCATTCTCCATTTCTTAGACTTCAGTGTTATAGCAGGTAAATCAGGTGAAGTATCTAGAATACAGCCTTGTACAGTTTTATTTAATCAGTTTCAATTGACCTCAGCATAACCTAAGTATTGGTTACAGTAAAAAAATGACTAGTTTCCTATACTTTATATTAATACCTTGCCAGGGTGTTTGGGTTTTTATTTAAGGTTTTTCCTACAACCATTTACAAAAATAGCAATCTGTAAGATTGATGTGCTTTGGTTTGAAGTTTTAATTCTTCTCGCTGTTTGACATGGGTTTGATTGTATTTCTGTTTGTTGCTTGGACTTATATATTACTTGGATCAAACATATCATTGTTTCTGACATAATTTTGAGGTGCCTGTAATCTTTGTCTTGTTAAAAAAAAAATCTGTAATAAAATTTTATGTTTTTTTAAAAAGAAGATTAATGGGAATATGTTTGTAGTTATCCTGGTGAAAACAAAAAATACTGAGAGGTTGGCCAGAAAATATGGGTTTGAGTTGGACTATATCTGGAACAAGCTTATAAAATGTAAAAAATAAGTGAACAAGGAATCAGTTATATTGCAAAATTCTGGAATCTCCACATCAGAAGAAACTGAAGAAGAAATTGTAAAAGAATTGATTCCAGTTCAGGGGATGATCTAAATTCTTTTGATCTTCCTTTAAATTAACGTTTAAAATATGATTAGTAATTCATGCAGTCCTTCATAAGAATTATAAAAATATATATAGTCATTTTGCAAGGCAAAATTGAATTTGGTGAAATCTGGTGTTCTGTACACCTCTTTTGAGCTATACAGTGCAACTAGATTGAATTGGTATATTCTCTGATCTGAAATACTCTTCTCTTCCCTCCCCTCAGAAGGACACTGCTAGTCATGACTTCCATAAAGGAGCAGGCAGCCATCAGCAGATTAATAAGTTTCCTACAAGAATGGGACAATGCTGGCAAAGTTACTCGCAGCCACATTCTGGAAAATTTCATCCTAGCCAACCAAGGCAAGACAGGTCCAGAACTGGAGATGGAATTCTCTCAGGGAGCCAGTTTGTTTCTGGCCCGCTTAACTGCCTGGCTCAGACTAACGTATCCACTTGTTTGGAGAGAGAGTGTTCACATAGAAGGAAAAGTCAGAAAAGAGAGCAAGTTTTTCTCATGGAAATTACCAAGATCAGATATAAATTTGTTTGACAAAATGAGCACAACTTTGAAATTTGTACACCAAGGGCAATTGTGCATGTGCTACAGTCGCAGAATTTACTAATCCAAAACAGTTTTTCCTCCTAAATCCTGCTTTAGTCAATCCATTCTTAATATTTAGAAGGCATGGGCTCCAAATATATTAAAATAAAAGCCTTAACAAACTTAAAATAGCTACATGTATGGAACATGCCTAGAGTACCAGTTGAAGTCCATTGGTATCTTCCTATCAGCTGCAAGTGGGTAAGTACAAGAGGTGCCATTTCCAGGAGAGTTTTAGCCCACCAGATTAGAGAAGAAAGGAATGATCAGCTGGCCTTTGTTGTAATATAATTGCATTATGAAAGGCACTGACAATAGAAAACTCTACTGTCTGGCTTGTGCTTCTGTATCTTTCTTGCCTAATGAACCTTTCAGCATCCAACTCCACTGCCTGGGGACAATCCTATTTACAAGCCAGCATGAATGAAGCACTGAAGCTGCCAAAGACCCCAGTTGTGTAAAGAGACTGATAGTTAACATGTGTTAAGAAATGACTGAAGTGATTTTATATGATGTTGCAAAAAAAGTTTCCAAGCGATCAAGATTTTTGCTTTGTTCTTCAATTTTTTTTGCAGCCAGCGGTACCTTATTGAATTCTTGGAAATTGGTGGCATCCTCACACTGCTGGAAATACTTGGACTCTCTCAACTGAAAGAAGAGGACAAAAGAGAATCCATAAAGCTTCTTCAATTAGTAGCAAACTCTGGCAGGAAGTTCAAAGAGCTTATTTGTGAAAGCTATGGTAGGCAAATTATGACGGATGAGATATACTGCCAAATGTTAAGCAAGGAAGTTTTCTTACCTCACAGTTTTCCCACAGAGCTGAGCTCATTCTTTCCCATCCCAGTTAATCCACTGATGGAGAAAAGTTTCTTTTGTGTCTTGTTAAATATTCTGTTCAGGGAACACCTTTCACTGGTCCAACCTCCAGTTAGAAAAGAATATCAAAGTCTTTGATCTTCACAAGAATCTGACTTTAGAGAGATTTCTTATTTCAGAATGTAGCAATCATAATGTTGATTCCTATAGAGTAAGCTGAGTAGTCACCTTTGAAACTGTTGCACTTATTACCAACTGCATCCTTGACTGAAGAAAGATGAAGTATTTCAACTGTTAAAAGATTAATAAAACATACAGAGCATTAAAAACAAATATTGATAAGCTCTTGCCTATACAGCTGCTAGGGATGTAGATTTGCATCTGGATCTTCATATTAGAATCCTAATTAAACCTGGTATAATTGATTGAATGTGGCTAACAATACTGAAATGGATATTTGCTATGAACTGGGCCTCTTGTTCTATCCCAGTTCAGAAGGCCTACAGCAGTTTTTCCAAAAAGTTAATAGGGCTTGCAATTTAAGGCATAATCTTTATAATCTAATTCATCTACACTGTGCATATCTGCCTCTATTGTTACTCAGAGAGAAGTCCATCTGAGTTCAATTGAGCTTATTCCCAAACAGGTAGGCATAATACATGTCTAAAGATTGCAACTTGACACTCACACAATCTTAAAAGCAAGGTCTGATTAAATAAAAATGGAATAAGGTAGCTTCTTAGATGATGCTGTGATGTATACCATTTGGCCCAAAGTCAAAGTAATTTGACTAACATTTAAAAACTGTTTGAATATTATAAAAACAAAACAGAGATTATGAAGTTAGCATTGTAACAATGCATTACTTGAGAATATGCATTGCACTGGTTGAAGAGCGAGGTTTGCCAAATATGCATTAACTTATGCAATAAATAGGTACCCCACTGCTAAGAATAACTCTTTGTTTTCGAGTCCTTTTATCAACTTTTGAGAAAGCTGTTTTCCATATTCTATTCATCCATTTTTGTATCAATAGTCCAGAAGATTTTCAGTTTAATGGAGTCTCAAACCAGTAGTTGTAAACATGGTGGCAATCAAGTCTTTACGTACAAAGTGTGCATTCTCATCTTTGCAAATTGGAAAATAAGAGTGGAGTGCACAATTTTAATTCACTGCTCAGTGAAGGAAAGAACATTCCCAAAAATTTACAACCACTGGATATAATTGCTACATATGTAGCAGAAGCTAATGTGACCATATGCCCTCCAGCATAATACTGAAAAGAGATTTGTTGTGCTTGTGTATTTTCCTTGTGGTGATGTGCCACTAGTGAAGTACCTTTGTAATATACTGATGTTTTCCCTTATTTGTGCTAAAATTGTGCAAAGAGGCAGAGTAGACCAGAGTCAGGACCATTCATGTTCCATGATAGTTGTGATCGGATGTGCTTCCCATACAAATTTTAACACTGATGAATTTATTTTAATAATTTATTAGAGACTAGACCTTTCATGGGACCACAGTGGGCTAAGTATCCATTTTCAAAAATCAGTAGCTCTCATGCATTAGCTTCTTTGGTGTTTTAGCAACGTGGATGATATAGTTATTACATTTATATCCTGCTTTTCTTCCTCTTGCAAGGAACCCAAGTGATTTTGTAGCCAGGATTTCCTCGCCCCTCTTAGACATGTCTCTAGGAAAGGGAGGGAGATAGCTGACCCCTTACAAAAAAATTTTCTAACATGGAGAAATTGATCTGCCTCAAACTCGGGAATTATGCTGGTTCATCTACTTCTACAAAGTTGGGGTAGTCTAATACTGAGTGCAGGATCGGGGAGAAAAGTAGCCCATGAGTTACAAATGTTGAGTGTTGCTTTGTAGAAGGTTTTTCGACCTCCTCTGTTGCAGCCATTGTGAGTCTCCTAAAAGAAAGTGCTTGCTTAAAGGGAAGCCCCATTTTTATAGAGGCAATATTGCCCATAAAGGATAGCTTCATATTAGCCTGTTAATTTATACTTCATCCATTTTATAACATTTGTGTAGTTTCATGGAACTAACAAGTCCTTTACTATTTGAACACCCAGATATTCAAGGCAGAAGTGTTTCAAAGTTAGCTGGCATATATTTTGAACTTTCTTTTGTGTTCATAGGGGTATCAAGGTCAGTTTATCATCATTTATTTTAAGACAATATGGTTCTAGAAAGTGGCCAACATTTAAGTACTGGCATAGCTGTTTTGGGACTGGAAAGGAATGGAAGGTCATCAACTGCAAAAAGATTAATCAAGTAGGGTAATGATGAATTGTTTATATTAGGAATTCTATAGCAACAGCAAAAAGAAGAGGGAAGAATAGGTACCCCTTTTTTGACCCCCTATGAAGTTGTTTAAGTAGAGAGTCTATTTTATTTTCCTCTGAGGCAGTGTAGAGCTGGGCCACTACTGCCTGGGTTTTAAAGCATCTAAGACCAACAGAAACCCAGGATTTTGTAAAGTTGCTATGATGACAGTGTTTGCCGCATTGGCTAGCTTTATCTGATGGCCTGACATACTCTCCATTTGTTCGATTATAGATGCAGTAGGTGCTGAATTAATCCACCACACACTCATGAAAGTGAAGACTGAGATGTTCCATGGGGAATTTATATGCTTTGGTATTTTAACCTCTAGCACTTCACAAAGTCTGCATGCTTCTGCAGTCTTTGAGGCTATCATGGCTTTTCTGCTATCAGTCTGAAAGGGAAACCCAACCTGTAATGCACTCCAACTTCTATCGGGGGCTTTATAAAGGGCTTCAGCAGTTTCTGCTTGCCAAGTGTTTCAGGAGCAAGGTCCTGAAATATTTGATTGTGGATGCCTGTATGTTCCAGTATCAGAGTTTGTTCAGGGTCTACATAGCTTGAAGTTTCCAGAGATAACTTACAAAGAGGTTCATAATATCCCTTGATTGGGATATTATGTTGGGATGAGCCCCCAGAACCTACTGTGTTAATCACTATTCAACTCTGTTAAATGTAAGTCTAGACAGATTATAGCAGACTGAGTCACAAGACATATGATCATCTCTCCCTCATACAGTCCCGCCAAGCTACCACTTAGACACTCTGGAGGGGCTGTCAAAACGGATTGTGACACCAGCTTGCCATCAAAAAATTAAGGGCAAAATAGCTGCAGCAAGCTGGAAATGAGTGTGTGCATGCGTGTGTGTGTGTGTGTGTGTGTGTGTGTGTGTGTGTGTGTGCGCGCGCACGCGCGCACACACGCACACACACACACACACACACTGGGCAGGAGGCAAGTCAGTCCTGCTTCAGTGTCCCATGGCATACCTACAGGAGGAGGGAGAGAATGAACCAAATAATTTGTCAATGACCTGGAGGTGGGGGTGACCATTCTGCTGATCATATTCGCAGATGATACTAAAATGGGGGTGATGGCCACAACTGAGGAGCAGGTAGTCAGGATCCAGAATGATCTGGACAGACTATGGAAGTGGGCAGGGGATAACAGGATAAGTGCAAGGGCTTGCACTTGGGGCATAGGAATAGGTGTCATAAGTACAGGTTAGGGGACAAGGGGCTGGAGAGCAGCAATTGTGAAAGGGATCTCAGTGTACTGGTCAGCTGCAGGCTAAATGTGAGTCAGCAGTGTGTTGCAGCGGTCAAGAGCATGGACACTACCCGTGGTTGCATAGCCAGAAGCGTGGCTTCTAGATTGAGAGAGGATTACTGCCACTCTGTATTTATATATATATATATATATATATATATATATATATATATATATATATAATATTATATATAATAGCAATTTATATCCTGCCTTTTTCCTACAAAGGGCTCAAGGCAGCTTATATCATTCTCCTCCTCCATCTTATCTCCACAACAACAGCCCTGTGAGGTAGGTTGGGCTGAGAGTCTGTGACTGGCCCAAAGTCACCCAGTTGGCTCCATGGCTGAGCAGGGACTAGAACCCAGGTCATCTGAGTCCCAGTCCCATGCTCTTAACCACTACACCACACTGGCTCTCTGTATGACTCTTGTGCGCCCGCAACTGGAATATTGTGTTCAGTTCTGGGCTCCACATTACAGGAAGGATATAGCCAGGTTGGAATTGGTGCACAAGGATGGTGGCCAGATTTCAGGGAAAGCCGTATGGGCCAGCTGAAAACAGGTCAGACTAGATGGCCTGGGAGACCCCTTCTGACTACTTTGTTTCTATGTTTCTATGTAACTTAGTGTCTTGGCAAACTGAATTTTGAAGTTTCATGCTCTCATAGCATTGTAACTGGTAGAAAGGAGAGAACTGCTTCAAATTTGGAAGATGAGCAGGAAAATAATATGGATGAAGCAGCACCCCGTGTCAAACCCTGATTGCCATTATAAAATTAACAAGCGGGACCTGTAAAACAATGATTCTGGATAGCCTTCCTTCTAAAAGGAATGTTCCTGTTCAAGATGTTAGCCACCCATTATCTCCAAGCAGGGAATTCCACTCTAGATTTATCATTTATTTGTTCGTTTGGTTGGAATTCTTATATGCCGCCCCATTCACATAAGTCTCAGGGTGGCTTCCAACAGATAAATAAATATCAGTACAAATACATAAAAAGCTGGAAACATCCTGGCATAAATTATAAAATCAATAAATAAAATCAGCAATTAAAATAATGTTTAAATAAAAGGGTCTTGGCCTGGCGCCGAAAAACAAATAACGACGCCAGGCGGACCTTTCTGGGGAGCACATTCCATAAGTGGGGCGCCACCGCAGAGAAGGCCCTCCTCTGGGTACTCACCCTCCTAATATCTTTCACGAAGGGTTCCCGGAGAAGGGCTTCTGCCGCCGATCTCAGGAGGCGGGAGGGCAGATACGGACGCAGGCGCTCCTTTAGATAGCCAGGTCCCAAGCCGTTAAGGGCTTTATAGGTTATCACCAGCACCTTGAATTGGGTCTGGACTTCGATGGGGAGCCAGTGAAGCTGACGGAGGACTGGGGTTATATGAGAACAACACCCAGTCCCCGTCAGCAACCTGGCAGCTCTGTTTTGCACCGTCTTCAAGGGCAGCCCCACGTAGAGCGCATTACAGAAGTCTAGTTGGGAAGCAGCCAATGCATGTGTCACTGTCGCCAGGCAGTGCAAACCTTGTGCAAACCTTGTGCTTCCCCTAAGCATGCTAATGTGTTGCTGTTTCTCAGTCTCCTCCTTTTCAGCTACAAATCACCAGCAGTGGACTGAATAGCCAGCATGTTTAAACAGGAATGCCCATTTTTACTTACAAGGATTGTATCCTATGACAATCCTAATTAAAACAGTTCAATTGAAATAAATGGTATTTAACACTGGTTAAATGAAAAAAAATGTTTCTATTAAAACGCTCATAATGTTCAGTGAGCTAAAATGCTCATATGTGACTTTTTTGAGCCTGGTTGTTCAGAATGTTTTTCCTACACAGGTGTGCGATCAATTGCAGAGTTTTTGGCTATGTCCAAGGCAGAAGAGACTCAAGAACAAGTGCAGATTCTTCTGGATGCTCTAGGCCATGGCAACCCCAAATACCAAAATCAGGTTTACAAAGGCCTGATTGCTCTTTTGAGGTGCACTTCCCCCAAAGCCCAGCAACTATCTCTGCAAACTCTTAGAACAATACAGGTAAGGGAGGAAGGGGGAGGAAATATATGCATGTGCATTTCCAACTTGAAATTTATATTTGATTATTGTTCTTTATGTGAGTTCAGCTATAATACTTGTGTAAGATTTTTTCGCTAGGATCATTTATTTCTCACATACATACTTCTCATATTTTGCCTCATGTTTACATTCTGTTTTCCCCCAGTGCAATACTTGGTCCTTGTTGTTTCTACTCTGTTTTAAAACTGAGTTTGAGGAATATAGCAGACAAATGCTCATTTTTAAAGTTCTGTGGATGCAGGAGGTAACCCCCAACCAATGTCTTTTATGTCCCTTTGCATATTCGCACATCTTTTCAATTATTTCCAAATAAGTCTTGTCTTCATCACAGATTGTATATACTAGTCCTCCCCATGCTGACTAGGAATGCTGGTAGTTGCAGTTCAACAGATCTGGAGGTCACCAGGTTGGATATGGCTGGTATTAGTATGCTAAATATGTAAAATATGAAGTATTTCAAGAGGTATTTCAGTATTTATATTGACAATACATAGCTGAGCAGGGGATTGTATTCCATTCTCCATGTCAGTATAACCTGTCATCTGCTGGACTCTGCAGATTTGCTCTGAAGATATTATATAGCCAGAATCTCCTTGTGATCTCTTGTTCGTGGCTGATATTTTCCAAGGTCACTGGAGTGCTCCAGCAGGGATATTTACAGAATACTCTTCAGGGAATAATATTTTGTTTTTGTTCCTTTGCTTTAACAGACAATTGTGGGGAAAGCCCATCCAAGCATTGTGGACTCTGTACTGGGTGTGCTTCGGTCTATGCATTTGGAGGTACGGTATGAAGGTAAGAGGCTTCACTCCACTTTTGATGCTCACCTTTCAACCTGGGCCAAAGAGAATAAAAGTATACTGAACAATGAAAATCAGTGCTTGAATAAAAAACACATTGTGTAAATCTAAGATCTGTCAGAGGGAAGGCCCTCTGATGGTTGCTAAGCATGAAAAAGCAAAGCTTATGAAAGGTACAGCATAAGACAGTTTTTCCATATAAAGATGACTTAGTTCACTACTCCAAGGAGAACTGATGTTTGCACTGTCCATGGGCTACACTGCATGGTGATTCACTTTGGTATTTTTCTTCTGTCAGCAATTCAACTGATCAAGGACCTGATGGCCTATGATGTACGACCAGCATTGCTTAAGGGATTGGTTGCATTGTTAAAACCATCAAGACAGGAGACAGCCAAAATGCAAGCCAAAATCCTGGAAGGTGAGGTCTTTAAACACTGATCTAGGCCTGCTTGCAGAAAGGAGGTTCTCAACTCTATATCTTCCCCCCATTCCTGGAGAAACATGGATGAATGTGCATTTTTAGTGAGATGTGGAGAAGAGCCTACCCTAGTACTACCACCAGCATCTCAACATAAATTATCCTATTTAAATGTATAGCCTGTTTTTTAATCAATAGTCCAACCTCTTACCTCATTCTCTGACAATGAAGACCCCTGTCACAAGTGGGCATGAGGATTAAGAACCCACTGATGCAAAAGAGCAGAAATTCTTCACCACCACTGATTTCAGAAATAAGAACAGGAAAGCTAGAACCAGACCTTTATATTTTTCAAAGTAGATTACAAGATTCCCTGCATATAAGTAAAGGAGCCAAAGTACCTGCCTAACTTGTGAAACAGCAACTGGAAGATAGTGGGCTAAAACAGACACTGCTTGCAGACAGGTGCAGAATGTACAGGAATAGTCTATTTGAGAACCTTAATTTTGCTTCAGATCTTTTTGGATAATGTTTTAGGTCAAAAGCTAAGGCTTTGGAACAGATATGACAGTATACCTTATTCTAATATTATTTCCTGTGTTCAGAAGCAGGAATATTACACCTGGAGTCCTTACCAGCATATATTCAGCAAGCTGCTGCAGCCAAAGCAATTGGGTAAGAGTTCATGATGGGTTAAGTAATTGTTAACACACTGGACACATTTGCATGTCACACCAATCAGCCACAGTGGGTTTGTTATCCTGTGAACAAATGGTAGTGTACCTAACAAATGATTGGGTTATTCCTTCCCTCCTCCTGTAGGTATGCCATGGGACACTGCAGCAGGACTGACATGCCTCCTGCCCAGCACACACACACACACCTCATTTCCAGCTTGCTGTGGCTTTTTTGCCCTTAATTTTTTGAAGGTGAAACCCAGCTGTCAAGCTGGTGTCACAATCCTTGTTTTGACAACTCCTCCAGAGTGTCCAAGTGGTAGCTTGGAGGGCTGTCTGTTGTTAACAGTGGATTCTTTTCTTACTTTTTGAGACCCACAAATGCATGCTAATAATTGCACACTTATTTTTTAATTTTTTACAACGCAAGTCTGAAAATGAACAGCCTCAGCTGAGTAATCTCCAGGGAGATACCTGCTGCCAAGGTGCAGCAATTACAGCCCTGGGTATTGAATCCAGAGACGCCGTATGGCCCCTTTGGCTTAGTTTGACAGCTGCCAAAGGTAAGCTTACAAGCCAAACCAAATGGTTGAATGATTTGTGTTCTCAAGGGATGGGGTGATATTTACAAATCCCTTGTGAGAAGGTGTGTGTGCGTGTACTCCATGGTCCTAAGGGATACTTTGTCACTTTTCTACTTGGCTCCGAGAAGCTTCTAGAAGCTTAGGAACATGAGAAAGGGCAAGCCATGCCTTTTTAGGGGAGTTGTCAGGGGTTTTCAGGGATATAGCAGGGACATTGTTCCATTTGGCTGTGGACCAGCTGCATGCAGGAGTGAAAAGCATCACAAATAAATAAATCTAAGCAGCACAAATAAAGGAATAACAACTCAGTAGCCCAAGAGGCATGCTCAATGTAAAGCACATAGCTTTATATATTGGACCAAATAAATCAGTTTCTCTCCGTATACAAAATTTGATCTGTTGAAATAGGGCTTCCAACAATAGTTCTAGATTCATAATGATCTCCATGGAAATATTTAGTAAAAGGTGAAATATGTATGCAATTGGGAAAGAAACTAGAATGAAAAAATCGTGTTTTGCAGCAACTTAAGTGACACGTCCTAATGCTACATCTTTATATTACAATTCCTTCATCATGTATTAGTCCACATACAGGTTTTAGAGATGCAGGTCATTGATATTATGGAAAAAATATCCTTCCTATATCTATCAGCCAATCACCAGTGAGTCTAGTAACAAGACTAGTTGTTCTTTTCTTCTGCCTTCAACTTTCTCTAGCATTATTGGCTTTTTCAGCAAGTCTTGCTTTCTCACGAAGTGCACTATGTAGGACAGCTTCATTTTTTTTCAAGTTCTGCTTCTACAGAAAGTTGTGACTTGTTCATCTTTCTGTTGGTACTTTTCTTATATTATTGGCTGGTTCTGGTCACTATATATTATTGACACACAGGCTTTAGCAGGTACATTGGAGGCAGAAATTCAACAGTATAGTAATTAAAAAAGTGAAACCTATTGACTCACTGTCAGGCAATTGTTGAAGACATAAAGTAATATAGATACATTTCTGGTGGTGGGGAGGGGCAACCAATCCTTGGAACGCTCTCTGCCATAAGCAACCTGATTCACTCTCTTTCCTGGCACTGATTTGACCAATGTTTACCTTGCAAGAATTCTAGCCCAAGATTCAAGAGAAGTGGCTGAGGAACTGATATTCTTGAGAGTGGTGCATGGCCTCCTCTGTGCCATGGGCAACAAAGATCACACCAACTGCCAGAGGCAGGCCAGCATCACACTAGAGGTGAGTAGCTTTGCAAGCAGCAATGAACTGGGTGTGGGTGTCTTGTTACCTCTTGAAAGCTGTTCAATTAATGAAGCTGCTGTGGGTGGACCAAACCTAAGGAAGAGGTAGAAGAGTGAAGCTAAAAAGGAAATCAGGCTATGGTAAGAGTGGTGAGCCCATGCTTGATAAGGGTGTAATTTTTAATAGAGCAGAATTGTCTCTATATTTAGTCCAAAATGTACACCTCTGCAGAACTGTATTTTCACCACAGAACTTTTCACTGATGGCTTCAGGTGGGCAGGGAGCACTGGAGAAGGTTCATGGAGCTCCCTCCCAACCCTTTAAAGTCTCGGAAAGAAAAGTACAAAATTGGGAATACTAATGTAACCAATCCAAATAACAAATTCTAGATTTTTGGAGTTTTCCAGACCTGCCTGCTAGATGGCACACAAGCAGCATTATGCCTTTTTACTAAGGACTGACTGGTATCTCTGCAGTATTTTGTGCAGATGTTCATAGTGGTGGAGCATCATGTAAAGAAAGCCATGGGAGAAAAATTGTTCCAGCTGTTCATGGTAAGTTATCTGCCCTTTCTACTGCACTTGCCTGATTGAGACTCTTACCATCTGAGATACACATTTTAATTTCCAAAGTGACAGTGAACATTCAAGTTAAAATAAAATTTCAAAACAATGGTTTTGGAGTTCAGGTATTCTCCACTGCCCTAAATCTATAAAGTGGACTGTATTTTATTCATCAGTACAGCTGAGTCAGGCACGTGCCATCCTAAAGCCTGATTAAGAGGTCTAGAGTTCAGATTGAGTGATGTTATCTGACTATTTTATTGGGGGAACTATTTTATCCACCATCTGTTTTTAAGCTGCCTCTGATCTGTAAGACCATCTGTCCTCTCAAAGAGCAGGGCCACTGTGCTGTAGAAGTGCACTTGCTTTGCATGTGAAAGGTCCCAGAGTCAATTCTGCCATCTCCTAGGAACTTTTGGAAAGTCAATGTAGACAATACTGAGCTGCATGGACCAGTGGTCTGACTCTTGTGTTCCTGTCCCATGACTAGATAGGAAATATATGGACAGCAAATATGTTTAAAGGCTTTAGAAGTGCAGATATATTACATGTAGACTAAATTATCCCTTTTTGTTGATATACTCAATATAAAAAAATGATGGAGCAGGATTCTGCCCTGCAGAAGTCATGTTGATTCTTCCTTGTATTTTTACATGTTTTAACAATTACCTTTATTTGAATTTGTTGTTGGGATGTTGCCTTTTTCTAAAAAACGATTTAGGTATTAGTCTAAGTCTACATTCAAGAATGTGTTAAACTCTCCCCCATCCCACTTCAGCAATCTTTTTCCGTTCAGTTCTATTCTGTTCTGTTAACCATTTGTCTCCTTGGCTAGTTTCTTACTTCTGATAAAAATTAAGAAGTTTTATTATTATTTTTAAAATTTGTCTTATTTGCTTTGCCACAGTATGCATTTCATTTCATTTTTTTATTTGAAAGAAGATTCTTTGCCTTTTTAGTTTCCTCAAATCTTTCCATTAAACATACCAGCATGCTCGTTGAGTTGTTAACTGCTGTTCCTAGCCTGTGGTACATATTTCATCTGAAACTATCTACCCTCTGTTTTGGTTGGAGACAGGCATGAGAAGAATAGATAGCAGCAGTACTATATTGCTTAAATGATCTGGTATTTATAACCATAGCAATTCTGCAAGAGATTTGCACTCTGCTTAAAAGGGTAGCAAAGCCAATGCCAATAGGTCCTTCTCTTTTGCTGGAGGTGGTATTTGTATAGATTTTCTTTATGCACATTTCTTTATTACACATTAAGATAACCAGTCTAAATTTCTATCCCAAAACCAAAATATAGCAGTATCACCAACTACATTATCAGAATGTTCTATGCAAAAGACGAGACTATATCTGAGTTATTCCTATGAGCCTGCCTGAGTTTTAAGATCTTTTGGGAAGGTCCTTATTTAGAAAATGACCACCAACAGAAGGATGTTCAGTCAGGGTATAAGAGGAGGTCTTCTTGGGTACCACTCTCAGGCTTGGAAACTCCTTACTGATCAAAGCTAGGTTCATGTTTCTGTGTTGCTATTCATAAGCAGGCAAAGGCATCTTTATTTAGACAAACTGTCTCTAATGATTATAGATTATAAGCTGTCCCAAGACATATATGGGGTCGAAAGGGGTAGATGGGGTTGAAAGGTTTTAGATAGCTAGATGGTTAGAAGAATGATGGGAATACGATATCTTGGGTTTTGTGGAAGACCAGAACTACTTTTGGAATAATGAGATATCAGAAAGAAGCACCACCTTGTCCCTATGACACTGTCCTGTCCTATGAAAGGTGTGGTAGAGTACCACACTGGTTTTATGAGCCAACATAGTGGCTACAAGAAATACCACCTTCCAGGAAACAAGATGTACAGTGCTTGGGACTCGAGGTTTGAACAGTTTTCTGGTCACTGCTTTTAAAATGATAGAGAGGCTCCAGAAACTACTGAGGGGTATATCCACAAGAAGACTTCTTTCTTCTTGTGAGGAACACAAGGTGGCCTACATAATCCTCCTCCACCCCATTTTTATCCTCATAACCACCACCCAGTGAGGTGGGTTAGGCTGAGAGTGAGCAACTGGCCCAAAGACACCCAGTGAACTTCATGGCTGAATGGGAACCAGAACCCAGATCCCCCATCAAATATCTTAACCTTCACACCATACTGGCTCTCAAAAGGGCAGAAGTGGATTGATTGGTGTTAAGTAAAAAGAATGAGATCTGGCATTTACCAAAAGTGTCATACAGTCAGTCAAAGCATTTGAAGGTCTGGGCATTGAATGCAGCTCTGGTCTTGGGGAGGCAGTTCAAGACCCAAGGCAATAGAAAGTAGTCTCGTCAAGGCTGTGAAACAAGCCTGTCCTGGCCACCAAAGGGCTATTAGAGAGCAGTTCATGGAACCCAACTAAATTTTCACTAGGATGCTTGTGAGAAGTGAAAATGGAGGGAAAAGGTAGAAGAGATCTAATGTCCAGTGAGGAAAGAAGACATTCCCTGTTCCTGTCCTGATGCAGAATGCCTGGCAGACCTTGTTCTGCTCCATCAGCACCTGTAATGCCTGAGCCCTGTCCAGTGGCAGTAAAACCAAGCTTGTGTAGCATCTAGAATCATGGCAATGTTCAGGAGAACCATCAACAGTTGCAAAAGTGACTTTGCAAAGTTCACATAGAGTCCTAGGTTAGCTAGGAGAGAGTGGGAGGGAGATGGTAGAATTCAAATGTTCTGTTGACAAGTAGACTGTCATATAGGTATGAGTATACTTGAATGCCCTGAGCAGAAAGATGAGCAGAAGTGAGGACCATACAGTTCATGAAGATTCAAGGAGCTGTGAAAGATCAAAGGGGAAGACTTAGGACTGGTAGCCTTCCAGTTCCATGTGAAAACAAAGCACTAGGTCTGTCAGTGGATACCTATACAGAAGTATGCATCCTTGAGGTCAATTAACATAAATCAGTCAACTTTGTTTAGGGCAGGAAAGAATGTTTCTCTCTCAGGTCCAGAAACAGTCAGAGACTGCCATCCTGTTTTAGTACTGTAAAATATCAGGAGTAAAAGCCCTGCTAACAGAGACAGTATAGAGCACATTAAATAGCCCCTTTGAGTAGAAGGAGACTTCCAATATGAGCATCATAGATGCAGCCATAGATCGAATTCCTGAAAAGGTGAAGGTGGCACTAGACTTGATTCTGTAACCATTTTGTAGAATGGATAAGTCCCAAGAATCTATCATGATCCAGGGCCAACTCAGCAAAAACAGGAAAAGGCAAACTTCAAAAAGGGAGGTGATAGATTGGCAATCACTTATAGGAGAGTCAAGTGTTGCCATTTTTCAGCAGATTCCTCTTTTCATCAATAAGTGAGCTGCCCGTTTGTAGGGTAGGACTGTTATAATACCAAAACCTGCTACTGTTTGCAAAATGGTCAGTCAAGTTGTTGTGACAGAAAAGAGGACCGCTAGTAAACCAGTGAAGCCCATGGTATGATTGGGTTAGTGCTAACTGAGCAATTTGCATCTTCTAACCTGCCATTTATGCCCTGTGAATTGAGTTCATTGCCTCCTGTTTTCAAACTGAAAAAGACTGGATCTGTTAAAGGATAAGTCCAGTATCCTGGAGTGAGCTTTTGTACCAAAATCTGTCTGCTAATGAGCCGAAGTAACTTGCTGGTATGAGAGCTTCATGGTCTCTGTTTGAAAAACCCTAGCTAACCCACTTTGATCATGAGAGAGGTACTTGAACAAGGCACTCATCTTTTCCCATAGAAACAGCTAGTACTGAGATAGGGTTGCTTGGAAGTTTGCTACATGAAGTGCAGATGAAGAGTAGATTTTGTATCCCATTGTGTCCCATTGGTGACTGACCTTGTCTACAGATGATGACTACTTCAACGAGAGAAGATTGAACTATGCAGTTTCGTGAAGGATGCATGACCTCTGTATAGGTTCTCTAGTGGCCTTGAGGTCTGGCCCAATGAGGATAGTGTTTTCCAAGATTGGTACACACTCTGAAGAAGAATGGAGAGAAATGAGATTGCAAATGGGGCTGAAATCTTTGCAGAGATTATATCCAACACTATGCCATTCAGTCATTGTATGGGTTACTCAGGTTCTATCCCTATTATTTATTAAATTTGTTTGCAAGCCACCCCTTAGCATCGTGCCATTCTCAGTGTCTGTTCCAAAAAATAGTGCATGTCTTCAAGATGGGGAAGCAGGACATTTACTCCAACTGGAGCATCCAGAGAGGAAGCTGAAGGTACTAGAGAGGCAGACATCACATAATCAGAACACTAATTTTCTTCAGTAAAATGCAGTTCAGTGTTCCAGTGAGAAGTGTGTCTAGGTAGCTATGGGAGCTAACAAGCCCATCATGCGTTGAGCAATATAGGGCTTTAATGGGATACACACCAGCAGTGTGGGCAAGCTTCAATAATACGGGTAGAGAGTAATAGTTTACTGCCACACCGAACATATTTGCAAAAGGGAGCCTTCAGAGTCATATGAGAGCCCTTGTGACAAACACGATCCTCAATCATATAAAAAGAAAACAAAAAATGGAATAACAAAGAATAAATTGATGAATGAAGAAGAAAACGGAATAAGAAAGAAGTGATGAGAAAAACCTCAGCACAATAAGGATTGCTATCTCTGAGACTAGAAGCCGCTCCTGAGGTTACCATAACAACAGCTGAAGTACTGAGAGAGTACAGGAACCTGTTGCTGACATGCATGGTAGATGATAGAGGGTGAGGTTCCTGCCAAAAATTCTTCCGCTTTGAAATCTTTCCACACAGGCACACGTCCCATTTTTGTGATGCATAAAGAACCACTATTTTAATACATATATAATATCAGCAGGGTCAACTATGAAAGTTTTGTCAGATCCTTGAAATTTGAACTTCTGGGTAATAAGCAAGCTTATAGCATAACCTATTTTAAGATCAAAGGATAAATAAAGTATCTAGAAAAAGAATTTGAACTGTCATTTCCTAGCCTCTTATTGCTCAGTAATTATCCCAGAATTGGCTAAGTACACCAACAAAATGCTATTTTTGTTATCTTCTGTTACTGTGTGAAATATAGTGACTGAAGGGCTGCAAGAGAAGTTGAATCAACTCATGACTCAAGAAGCACAGATTTATCTTGCCAAATTATTGCTAGTCTGTATGTTACAGTGCTGTAGAGGTTGTGGCAACCAAAACCCATGCTTGAAAACCATGATGATTCATATATTCTTGTTCATAGTACAGTTGTATGCTGTTTTATATACATAAAATCACTGGGATAAGTTGTCTGGAGTTTGCTGCCACTTGTTTTATGGAATGTTTTAATTAAGTCTTAGTTTTAATCTGCATTTTATCATTATTGAACAGCTGTTTTGGGGGGAATATGTAGGATATATGTGTAGTATTTAAAAATAATTAGGATGGTCCTGTTTCAGAGACAGATGCTAAGAAATCATGCCCTTTCTTTCAGGCAAGCTACTGAGTCTCACCCCTTTTCTTTGCTTTAGCAAGATGCTACAAACTTGTATCTAAAGATGGATGCTGTGCAGGCTGATATCCTGTCCACCAATATAGTCAATATTCCAGCAGAATTTTTGGCTCAAGGAAAAATGGAATTCACAGGTGTGTTTCTAATAATTCTAGAGAGTGTAGATACTTGCATAATGCTAAGAAAGATATAAATGAGGAAATAATATCTTGTGTTTCACTTCAAGGAAGGAATGAGAAAGAGTTATGATTTAGGTCTAACTGAAAATTCAGAACTGTGTTAAGAAGTCACTACACGTTCACTACAAGTCCTGCAAGTTCACTAGGGGGGGGAAATCAGATTACCATCTTGTATATTTTACTTCAAATACGTAAGACTTACTCGGTCAAATGCCAATTAGTTGATACCTCAAAAGGATGTAGTCACAATTGTTTGAGCAGAAACAGGCCTTTATCTAGTATAACTTAGCTACAGTCATCTACTAATTTTTTAACCATTCTAGTGCACTTACATATGCAGAGTGCTTTCCAGTTCTCATTTCCCTTTTATTGTCTCAACAACCTTGTGACTGAGGATAAGTTATTGAACTTGCTCAGACACTGTACTCATGTCCTATACTGGCTTTCATAAGGAAAGTTTGTGGATTAAAACCACCCTACCTCCATTACACTCAGACTATTGGGCACCCTTTTTCACTGAGTACACTGCAGGAAAACATGCTTCTTCTCTGGAATCTAGTTTTCTTAACCCTCCACCCCCAACAACACTATTCCAGCTGGTGAGGAGCACATGCTGAGCTCATAGACAAGCCCACTCCTCAGCATCAGCAAGACTGTGGTGCAGCACTGCTGGAGTCTACAGCTTGCTCAGCTACTTGAAGCCCCTTTTGGGACATGAGAGGGCAGCAGACACTGGCAGCAGTGCCATACATTGCCTCCCCACGCCCAAGTTTAGGGCTTGAGGGGGTTGGCTTGCAGCAATTGAGAAACTCCTTGGGCACTTGGGAAGCTATCATCAGTGCTCACCTGAAGCCACTTGGCAAGAGCAGTGGCAAGAGCAGAACAAGAACGCTTGCTCTTGCCAAGCAATTTCCTTGTGGTGGGGCTTGCCCTCCTCCACTGGATTGGGTTATCTGTGTTCAGACCATGTGGCAAGCCACCCTTAGAAAAGCATCCCAGGTTGAAGCCGTGGTAGCTTAGTGTGACATATAAACCCACTCTAAAAGACTTTACAATATCCATGTGTATGTATGACAATGGGTTAGTGGTATGGCCAGTGGTATGCCTGTGGAAATCTGCTAGAGCAACAGCATTTTTCTCCCTTTTTGCTCTGCACTTCACACCCTTGCCTGAAAATCTGCTTTGGAGAATTTCACAGCCCTCCAAAGCAACTTTTTAGGGTGCATTGGAGTATGGAAGAGAATAACCCTGCAGAATCAACATCATTGGATCCAACCCAGTATCCAAAACAGGTCATCACACCTGTTGCTGAAATTTGCTTGCTTGCATTTCTTTACCCTGTACCTCTCTACTTTTCTTTCCCTAGACACAAAGCCAAGTCCTGAAGAGGAATTGCAAACTGAAGACAGTGAAATAACTCCTCAGCCTTCTATTGACTAATCCATTCCAAATACTGGGATAATTGTTGATTTTCATCTTGTTCCTGTTTTTTTGTCCCTTTCATTTATTATTCCTTTCCAGGACCTTCTATCCATCCTATGAGAAACAAATGGAAGGTGCACAGAACTGTAAACACAGCACATACTTGGCACTTGTATGAGGCCCAAACACCTTGCAAGAAATGACTCCTAGTCTCATTCACCATTTCTATTCCCATTCCTGAAAATCCACCTAACGCTAACTTCAATAAAATATACCCAATGGCTATTACAGTGCAGTTGAATCAACCTGTCTTATACCAAAACCTCAGCCTAACCTGTATTACAGGTTTATGAAGACAAATATGGAAAAACCTCTTGTATCTTTGCCTTGAGCTCCTAAGAAGAGAAAGCATGCTAATATTATAAATAAAAATTGTACTGGTACTTAAAATCATATTTCACTCCAAATTAAAGTTTTAATATGCTGGTTTACTTGCCCAAACACTCAAATTAATGAACACACGCCCTTCTGGTACTTTCTCCTGTAAAATAAGCACTACAGAACACATACTTAACTAAGAATAAGTAGATCCAGCCCTAATGTAGCCAAGCCTAAACATTTACTATGGACTTTATTAAATAATTTCCACAGAAATTTATAAAAAAGTGGAATGTTAACACTATCTGGAAAGAATCCAAAGTATTAACAATCATTCTTTTGCAGCACTACTGAGAAAGCAGCAATAGGTTATCTAGTTAGGAAGATTGCATTTTACACTTAAAACTGATGCCCTTAAATTGTTAAGAGTGGCTGCCTATGCAGGCTTTTAAAGTAACCCTGCTGTTTTAAACCAATCAAGGATATATGCTTAAATGCATTTGAGTTCTTACATGTCTAGTTCTGTAAAAAATTTGGCTGCCCATTTCCAAAAATGGGTGTTTTAATGCAGAGGGTACTGTGTGTGCCAAGTAATCAGTTCCACCTAACTTTATAGAGATAGTCGGCGGTGTTAGAGCTGAATTTTATCTCAGCTGCTTCCCCCAATCCCCAGCTGTGTTCTGAAACATGCTATATAATTATAGCATCACTATTGCCACTTCCGTTACTTTTGTCTACTAATCTGCACATTTTAAAATAGCCAAACATTCATTCCCAAGCACATGAATGCACTTTCTAATCCCCACATGTAAATATTCATATTCCTGATACAGACAGATCTGGTAGTTTTCTGATGCTAAGACCCAATACATGGGCAGAGCAATCCTATGAACAAAAAGTCCATTGCAAAGAACCCCTTCCTAACCCCATGCCAGCTTTATTTTTTTTGGCCCTTACACATGCTTTGTGGTTTCAGGAAGAAGAAAAATAACTAGAGCAGCTGCAGGTCTGGCACATTGGAGAAATGCAAAATCTTTGAATTCTGTCAATATAACGCCTTTCAGCTCATACTCCTATTAAGGTAATGATGGCAATGGAGGTGCAACAGAAAGTTTTATGCTCCAGTAACAGACCTCCTCTTTCTGCAGATATCTTTCCCTAAGGTCTGAAATATCCAGCCTCTAGCCAAGAGCTTATCTTGCTCCCTTAGTGTCAATGTCTGGTGCTGCCTGGGGAAAATGGGAGTTTTAGTCTAACATACCTGAACAGCATCAGGTTGGGGAAAACTGTTCAACATATATACAGAGTATTTCTCCATCATGTGGGTAAGCTTGAAAACTACATCTGGTAACATTATTACATTGCACTATTCCTATTTACAATGTAATAATAATAATATATGCATTCTTCCATCTCATTATGTATCTTCCACTCGAATTGCATAGAATTTATCAAGCTACTGTAGGAGTTAGACCTGCTTTTTTTCTTTTTTTTAAAGCAGGAAATTGCTGGGCTGGGACTGACAGCCTTTCAAAAGCCTATATATGCTTCACATTCACTCTATAGCAGGGAGGCTAGGGAATAAAAGCAAGGACAAAGAAAGAGAAGTTCTTGGATAATTATAATGCAAGCAAGTTTCCTTCACCCCATATCTTGGCTAGAGAAAGAGTAAAGTGTTACTGATTGCACATAAATGCTGCTAAGAAAAGTCTTCCTGCAGGAAAAAATATCTAGTTGATTAACAATATGTTTTCACCAGAAGTAGTATTCCTGCTGACATTCTCCACAATGATATAGGTTCCAGAATGTATCATTTACAGACCTGCAGAAAAAGCTACAATGCCCTTGCAAGGCAGAACTTAAATGAATTTAGAAATATTTATTTATTATTTAAAACAGCTTAAACTTCTGTTTTCCTCAATATTTAAGAAATATTAATACAACAGCAATTCACTAGATTGCACTGAAGTGTAATATTGAAAAATATTTAGCCAAAGATTTTATGTACACTAGAAAAAGATTTATGTACACATGCTTGCAAGTGACACTAGTTCACCTTTCCTTCTATAGCATAAAACACCAAAAAAAGAGGGCAGCAGTCCTAGAATGGCTACATTCTGGCAGTGTACGGACCTCTCAAAACTGAGAGGATGAACCTTTTGCTTGCATTTAAAATGCAGTAACCAAAGAAGTGACAGACAAACAGGGAAAGCAAAAGATTCATTTAAGAATTGGGTAACTATTGAAGCCGCCTCTTATTCAGATGTTTGCTGGCTTGCTCTTCCATCTGCATGGCAAGGGATAGTTCTTCCAGTGTGTCTGTACAAGAGGAGAAAGACAGAAAAAAGTGAGTCAGCATAAGATTAATAAAGCAGAAAACAATTCAGAAAGGAGAAACCCAATCCATTCTAGAAGAGAAAGAGAATGCATAAACCATCATTACTTGGAACATTCTGCTTTTACACAGTCTCAGGAATGCATTTCAACTTTTCCATTTTTATATACTTTCAGGTCATTCTAATAAGTGACCTGCAAAAAGTAACTGAAATAAAGTCCCTAGGCCAGTTCTTTACTCCACTTCCATCTCAAGAAAAGTGGTCCCATGAAATCAAAACATGGAAGAAATCTATTCAGTGTGTCAACTTGCCACTAGGTTAAGAGAATTACAACATTAACTGGGCCAGTACAAGATAAGGATGAGAAAACATTCCTCCTTGTACCTGCCACAAATACTATGCAGCTAGCCTAACTCTTTGCAACCTTTGGGAAAAGGCAACAGACATCCGAACATCCTAAGATTATTGTCAGCTGTTAGCATTGCAAATGTAACTATGACTTACTATTCAACTGTTTTCATCAAATTCTAATCAGATACTTGTACTTCCCTTACAAAAGATGACCTGGATTTAAATTCAGTGACCTCATTATTACAACACAAAAAGCCCAGGAGATGTGTTGGCATGTAGTATAAACTTGGATGGATGGCCTCACTGTGGGATGTGAGCACCGGTGCCTTGCTATGCTTATTTGAATCACAGGCAGTGCCAGTTGCCCCACCAATGCCCAGGCAATATTGTGGGCCAACAAGTACTGGCTCACTCTCCACTGCAACGGAGAACTGTTTTGCTAGCTACAATTCTTGTGTGATCACAGGATCTTAGCATCACATGAAAACCCACCCAATGAATTAAAAGTCTAATAAACTTGAGCATGACAAACTCAAGAAGATAGTCTTTAAACCTCTTTGTTACTCACTCCCCTACACTCCTTCAACATCCCCTCAATTTGGCACAAGACCATAAACTGCATCTCTTGATCACCTTCTTCCACTCTTCTGCCCCTTTAGAACAAAGGCAAGAACCATATTGTTTTATTTCAAATCCTTGCACTTCACCTTTTATAAATACACAAAGTAATTTCTGGACCATCCTCGCCTCATCTTACCTTCTCCAAAGCCCTTACCATTAGTCACTGTAAAACAGCAGTTCTCACCCCACCCTTTTCCATCTTGTGTAACTAATGTAAAGCTCCTGCATCACTTGCATATAGTGCTAACCACACAATGGACCAAGTGTTAGTATCATAGCAGAATAGCCTGTCACAGCAAAATTGGAAGGTCAATACCAAGGTACTTTCTAGTATCTAGTACTTTCACTTCTGTACTACTTTCTATGCCAAGTTAGTGAAATGCACCCGCCATGTACCTTTCAGACTGAAGAAGCTTTCGGAACCTTCATTAATGAAGCATTGGGCTTGGTGCACAAATGCCTCCATATCATATTCTGGTTGTTCTGCCATGTCCAGGAGACCATTACAGTCATTCATTCTCTGGATGCAGAAGGGAAGAGGGTTATGGAGTTGGGTTGAGTTTTTCATGAAAAGTGGGTTTCACAAACATTTACAGAATAGGGAAGTTACTTGAAAGACTGGCTAACATTTGCATTAAGACCTTGTTGGGCACTACTTGATCTATAATACCACTTCAGAATTACAACCAATTATTTTCTTATTTTCCCACTTTCCCAACAATATACAGCAGTAAACAAAGTCCAATAAGAAGGTTTGATTGTCACCTATGAAGACATACCTCCTTAATATCCTTAAGCTCTTCTATTGCCTTCTCTTCGAGTTCACTAATCCGGGTCAGAGCTTTACGGAAACTGGATAGATGAGGAGACATCTCATCTTCAGATAACTGCAGTTCACAAGGGGAAGTATTAGCACTCTACCAGGTTCTATCTCCCAAAAGACCTTGGTTCCAGCAATACACATGCATACCTCAAGAAGGTGGTCCAACCTTTCCTCATTGATACACAGTTCTTCATTTTCAGTTTCCATAGAATTCTGCCTCTCGCTAGTTGTTCCGTTGTGGGGGAGCTCCTTCACTCTGAGAACAGAACAGAGGGCTTGCATATAGAAGCCATCATTGGCAAAGCAATCACTTAATGACCTACTACATACCTCAGATGAAAGGAGCTTGACTAATGTCTGTTTCACCCTGTATGATTTGCTGTCAGTTACATACAGACAGACATGCCACACCCCATTCCTCTGGCAGTAGACCCACACTGATCATTATTTTTAACACAAAACCTGTTTGATGGATGGAAGAATGGAATCAGGGTTTCCTTCCCACATTCAGAAGGTTGTCTTTATTAGAACTTTTGTCAAATTGATTTTAAGTAGAAATATTCCCAGTGTTCTGCAGGGCAGATACTGGCTGTGGCAGCTACTTAATGAAGCAAAAAACAATGGGACTATTCACACATAACATGAATGATTACTCCACAGTTACCTTTCTTAGTTTGTATCCTGTGTTCACACATTCAAGAGATAACTCTTCATGAGTAGTCTCCATTCACCATCAGCTAGGACTCGAGCCCAGCAGCATGACTCTGCCTTTCCCCCAGTGGCTTGCACACTCCCCTAAGTGTGTTCTTCATCAGCCACTGCTCCCCCTCCCATTCCATAAAGCCCCATCTACTTATTAGAGTAGCACAGCAGCTCCAAACTACCAAGCAGCAGCACCACTCCAAGCTGCCTCCACAGTTGCTGCTGGAGGTGCTCCCTGTCCTCCCTCCCAGTGTACATTCATGAATGCCTCGTCACCACACCACCACAATGTCCTCTGACTGGTCAATCACCCATCTAACATTTTGCCTGGTCAATCGCCTGCCTACCCACCACTGCCCAGCTGCCCACCTACTGGCTGGGTTGATTGCCTCATGTGCTGCCTGGCCAATCACGGAGATGTTCCGCTTGCACATCATTGCAAGCACCCACCCTTCATGCAAATGCTCACACACTATCCCCATGTCCCCACCTCTCATAAGGGATATGGAGACAGCACATCTGAAGGGCAGATGCTCATGAGGTGACAACACAATGCCACCATGGAAGATGGCCAGGCAGCTCATGGCAACCCAGCTAGGAGGTGGGTAGGCAGATGGCACACAAGATGGGCAATTGGCCAGGTGGTAGACATGGAGGTGGCACAGTGACTGGACATAAGCACCAGGAGGGAGGACAAGGAATATGGGGGCAGCCAGTCAGTGCCCTGTGAGCAAAAAACTTAGCCATTGCTATGCTAGCAGGTATTGCAATCTGTGTTTCTCCCTCTAAAGCAGGGGCCTCAAACTCAGCTTACCTGGGGGCCACTGGAAGTAGAGTCTGGGTGAGGCTCATGTGCTGCCTGGCCAATCACGGAGATGTCCCGCTTGCACATCATTGCAAGCACCCACCCTTCATGCAAATGCTCACACACTATCCCCATGTCCCCACCTCTCATAAGGGATATGGAGACAGCACATCTGAAGGGCAGATGCGGTGGTGGTGGGCTGCTCATCCCGCGGCTGGCCCGGGCGCCGCCGGTGCTTTGAAGGCCGCAGGGCCCCTCCCCCGTGCCCTGCAGGCCGCAAGTTTGAGACCCCTGCTCTAAAGCAATATCAGCCTCACCAGTGTCTCTTCACTTAATGATCTTTATTGTTACACAAGAGTCTCTGAGCCTACACAAAGTGGAGTGTTGAACCCTTTCTACCATTCATTTCCTGAAGCTCTCTTTATGAGGTCTTCTGTGCTTCAACCACCCCCCCCGGGGGGGGGGGGGGAGGCACACTGAAAACAGGCACCTGTCTACTCCTTCCATTGTGCCCCTAATTGGACTTTCCTCCAGTAATGATGGCAAGCAACTGGGTCTAACTCTTCAGGGGACAGGAGTTCTCCACTGGAGAGACTTCATGTTTCAATATCTACTTGCCCAAGCTGTAATCCCGCAACCTTCCCATGGCCAGGTTGACTGGTCTCCCTGCCCGCTCCCTGCCTAATCTCCCCCACTACTACCTCCTGTTGGGTCTCAGGAGCTTGAACCACAGCTGGAATCTTGAGCCTTTTCAAAAACAGTCTCATCTTTGAAATTGGGATCTGAATCATCAGTACAACCAGCACAGGACGCTTGACAGAACCTGCACACATGACAACAGGGTAGCTGGAGCAGTCGCTCCTGCCACTGAACTCCTGGTCACAACGGGGAAACTGCAGAAAAGCACTGCAGCTAGCTTCACATATAACAAGAAGCAATGCTGAAACCTTGGAACAAACCATTGCTTCTCTGTGGTGGTTCATGCCATGTTTCAGCATGCTTTTGATATTTATACATAACAACATGCCTTTCCTGCCATGGCATATCATTGTGTGTGAATACAGCCATTGACTAGAATCTGCTCCCTGATATTAGGTAGACATGAGGCTTTCGTGACAGGACAGCATATAAATACTTTAAATAATAAATAAATAAATGATATCTAGCATTTTAAAAAAATCAATCAGTCAGTCAGTCAGAAGACCACTTTATGAACAAGGAAAAGAAAAAGTCAATTTTTGTATCAAAAGCATTAAAGTTACTTAAGCCTGAGGATATTTGGAAATGGGAATCATGCCAATATTTTTTCATCCACTTTCATCCATCCACTCAATCAAGACTGTTTGTCTTATATGAACAACAGTTCAACCCAGCATTATGAAGGAATTTTGTAAGTGTGAAAATGACTCACCTATCAGCGTATCGCAGGGTATTTAAGGTGTATTCGCAGGAATTCATGCATGGAGAAATCATTGCAATCTGAAAGCAAAAACATTTAAGCAAACTGAATTCCCTTTTTTTTTTTTTTTTGGTCTTCTAAACAGCTGCAGTCACTTCCAACTACCTTGACTGTACTGCTATCTATTCTGCTTCCCTGACGAAATTAGGGAGAATATTTACTTAGAATGTAGGCTCTACTGAAATTCACTGGCCTTTTCCCATCTTAACACAAGGGACAGAGGGCTCTGGGGGATTTTCCAGCTGGTATATATTGACACTCCTGTCAAATCCCAGGTCACACTGTGGAATATGGAGATGGCCCAGGCAGTTGACATGATCAGCACAGCTCATCCAGCTCCTTGGTATATGCCAGAACTAAGGATGATGAAGCAAGCGGGAGGATGGCTAGCGCTCAGGTGGATGAGAGCTTGGGATGAATCTGACCAAACATGTCTTTAAGCTCATTATCAAGTCTATTCCAACACTGTGTTCTCGCAGTACCATCCAGCAGAGCGGTTTGTGGATTTTACACTCTGGCCCAAAAAAGAGGTTTTGAACCCTCACTAGCCCATTGTGATGAATCTGTTTGACACTTTGAGGACAAAGTCACTCAGATTCCTCATACACCAAAGTTAGCCCAAAGCACCATTTTGTCCAGTTTTGTTGCATTAAGTTCCAGCTATTGCAGCCTGAGGATGCAGACAAAATGCTTGGTCAAGTTTGGCCTACCACCTGAATGCTCAACCCTTGCCCATCATGGTTAATTGGAAGATCTAAGGAGAAGGTTCACACCTGGGTCCAGGAGGCTATAAACACCTCTTTGAGAGAGGAAGTGGTGCCAGGCCCTTTAATGAAGGCTGTGATTACACCACTACTAAAAAGGCCTAACCTGGAACCAAGGGATGTGAATAATTATTGACCAATTAAACACCTTGCCCAGGAAGGGGATGCTGGTAAGTGGGTGGTGGCCAAGCAGCTCCAGACACTGTGGGATGTAATGGATTTTCTAGATCCATTTCAGTCATGTTTCAGGCCTGGCTTTGGAATGGAAACTGCATTTGGATGACCTTTGCCAGGAGAGAGAGAAAGCGGGAGTGCGACCCTGATTATTCTCCTCGACCTCTCAGCAGCTTTCAATACCATCAACCACAGTATCCTTATAGATTGGCCAGGTTAGGAGTAGGTGGCACTGCTTTGTGGTGACTCCACTCCTCCGCGGCTGTCCAATTCCAGAAGGCGGCATTGGAGGATTGTTGCACTGCACCATGGCAACTTTGCTAAAGAGTTCCACAGGGCTCCATTCTATCCTCCATGCTATTTACTATCTACATAAAACCACTGGGAGAAGTCATCCATAGGCATGGGCTGAAGTGTCAACAATATACAGTATACAACAATATACAATAACACTCAGCTCTACCTCTCCTTTTCACTCAATCCAGGGGAGGCAGTGAAAACTGTCTGAACTCAGTAGTGGACTGGATAAGGGGCAATAAGCTGAAGCTCAATCCAGATAAGACAGAGATGCTGCTGGTGGGTAGACAGTCTGTCCAGTTAGAAAATCTTCATCCTGTCCTGGACAGGGTTGCACTCTCCCTAAAGGACAAGGTTCACAGTCTGGAGGTGCTCCTGGATTCAGAATTCTCTCGAGTCACAAGTGGACTGACCTTCCTACTGCATCCCTATCTGGACAAATCCATGTTCCAGTAACCTCTCACCTGGATTATTGCAGTGTGCTCTACAGGGGGCTGCCTTTAAAACAGTGCAAAAACTCCAACTGGTTCAAAACAAGGCACCACAACTGATAACGAGGATTGCTCCATAAAATCACATCATGCCAGTCATCTTTCAGGTGCACTGGCTACCTGTTGAATTCCAGGCCCCATTCAAAATTCTGATGTTAACATTTGAACTAATTTAAATGACTTTAGGCCAGACTATTTGAAAAAACACCTTTTTTTTTGTATGTTCCTAACCTGGTCCCTAAGAGTCTTCTCTGGGAAAGTAGGAAGATAGTGGTGACACCGGAGTGACAGGAAAGGTGCCTTCTCTGTGGTTGCACCCCATCAAGGAAGTGCACCTGGAACTATCACTGCTTTCTTTTTGGCACTAGGTGAACACTTTTTTATTTTTTATTTACCTGAAGTATTAAAGAACAGATTAATTTTTAATATTGTTTTTATCTTAACTGCTATGCCATGTATTTATTTTATTCTATCACCATGTTGCCAGTTTTATGTTTTTGGTTTTTGATTGTCTTTAATGTTTTGTAATTGCTTATTTAATAATTATAAGTTTTGCTTTTAAACTGCCCAGAGAGCCCTGCAGGCTATGGGGCAGTGTAAAAATATAATAAAATAAAGCACTCCAAGAGCAGCTGTTTAAACAACAGTATGTGTTTAGCTGTTTGCTGATATTTTCTCTGCATCCAGAGGTACAGGTTAGTGGAACAGTGCATCAGAATATAAGATCTCCAATTTTTTTCAGCCGTTCTATACCAGACAAAAGTGACAATCATCTTGATTCAGATACACTGGATAACTTCAATTTTTTATTTGATCTTTTTTACACTTTTATTACACTTTACTTTTTGGTTCTGTTCTAGTAAAAATGAAAATTTCTCAAGTGCAACAAAATTTAGTGATCACAAGGTCTTATATTTCACTTACCATACATGTTCTGGAATTTGTTCCAATGAAGGAATCCCTCAGCACCTGGGTAAGTTTGCTCTCCCGAAAAGGTGTATGTTGTTTATTCTGGCCTAGAGCCCGGATACATTCCTAGCAGTGGGTAGGGGAGAAAGGACAGCCATATTTGAAGACTGGCTAGAGCTTAGACCTATATGATCATGGCTATATATCCTGTATTATGACTAGTGCTATTAAATATATTCATAAATGATCCGGAATTAGGAGTAAGCAGTGAAATGACCAAGCTTGCTGATGTCACCAGACAATTTAGCATGGTTACATCCAAAGGGATCTCTGAAAACTGGGGAAATGGGCAGCAAAATGGCAAATGCAGTCCAATGTAAGCAAGTGTAAAGTAATGCACACTAGGGAAAGAATTCCCAACTTCAAATATAAGTGGATAGATTCTGGGCTAGCACTGACTGAATAAAGAATGATCTTGAGATTGTGGTGAACAGCTCAGTGAAAATGTTCATCTAGTGAACAGCTGCTGTGAAAAAGCCAAGCTCCATGTTAGGCATAATTAGGAAATGGACTGAACATAAAGCTGCCAAAATCTTCAGTCAAATAACCCTTAGAATATTGTGTACAATTCTGGTTACCACGCCTGAAAAAGGACACTGAGTTGGAAAAAGTGCAGAGAAGGGCTACTGAAATGATCAAGGGGTTGGAGCCACTCTGCTATGAAGAACAGTTACAACTATAATAATTTGACTTCAAGAAAAAAGCAAACAAGGGGAGGTGTTCAAATGTATGCACGGTGTAGAAAAATATCTCCCTTTCCCATAATACTAGAACCTGTGGTCATCCTATGAAGCTGATTCAGGACAGATAAAAGTTCTTCTTCTAGGAGTGCCTAGTTAAACTATGGAATTCACAGGAAGTAGCAATTGCTACCAATTTGGACAGCCTGGACAAATTCATAGAGTAGGCTATCAATGGCTACTAGTCTTGTTGGCTATGTGCTACCTCCATTATCAGACGCAGTATCCCTACATAGACCAGCTGCAGAGGAACTTAGGCAAGCAAAACTCTTGTACCCATCCTGCTTGAAGAATCTGGTGAATGAACCACTGGTCTGACCCACAATGATATTTATGTTCTTACAAACATACACATTTTAAAATTACCCTTCAGCCAATTACTTCTGTGGAAAGAGCAGAACTGAAAAATGTTCCAGTGTTTTAAAGGATTCCTACCACTTCTGCACCAGTCTCCTCATGTGTCATGTATTTTTTCAGGGCAGTTTCATGTTGTTAAATGCTTCTTCATTTTTACTACATTTTAACATATTCTTTCCAACAATATTTCCATTTATCAACTGTATTTCTTCAGTTTTCTTCAGTTTTTCACACTCTAGTAATACCATATGCTAGTCTTCCTGTGCTTTCACATATTGCCTTGATGCAAAGTAACTAAATGGTTAACAAGCTTCATGGAAATACTTCCAGCTTACCAAGATCAGAGGAAATGAAGTACTACTAATCTTTAAAACATAAAACAAAAATAAAACAAACTAAACACAGCCTTACTGTCAATTTTCCTTCAGTTTGTTAGTGGAGAATGTTACTCTTAGAGGGCAAATAAATATAAGTAAATACGTCTAAGTCTGGTCCAGGCCCAACCAGGAGCCAACTGTGCATATCTTAATTTTTAGTCTCTGCATTGGCAACTGAGCACAAGGGTTTGTTGGGGCTTGCCTCAAAGGAATAACTTATAGAAATGTCTATCCTATATTTAGTCCATGTAAGGGTAGCACAATGACCCTTATAATTATAAAACATAATTAAACAAAGACAGGTATGGGGTTTTTTCATGTAAAATACAGCATTGAAAACTTAGCTGCTCCACATCGCTGCTTTCAACAAACTATGGGTTATTTGAAGCCTGATTAACCCACAAAAATCCATGCTACCCAGCTTTGAACAACATGACAAACCATAGCAACCCACCCACCAGGGACTGAATAATTAAAATATGTGCCAGCATGCGCCATAACCCACTATATCTTAAATAGCATAGATCATGCAAACACAGGCAATCAACCATGATTTCAGCCTAGGTTAACAATCCTGTGTTTCTGCCCATACTCTACTTTGGTAATAATCAGCTGTTCTAGCCAACATGACCATGTCCAGCCCTAGTATGACGGAGCTGCATTACTCTGTCCTAGAGCAGGGGGTAGACAGAAGGCAGTTCCACATGAAATGGTAGATCTTTGCATTAATTTGCAGATTAGCAAGAATGCCTGACCACCAAATATTTGACCATAAATGCAAGGGGATGACTACTATCCCTGCCAAATTTAGCAGCTGAAGAAATCTTGTGGAATAATTAGGAATGGATTTCTATGAGAAAGGCAAAAGCTGTATCCAATTCTTTTTACTGAAATCAAATTTCTTGCTTCAGAATTCTTTAATTCTAAGTGTATACACTAGGCTCCAAGTGTTGTAGCTCAGGGTTTTAGTAAATAAAAAAGATCCCAAGAGTCTGAAGTCTGCCTGTCCCTGTTCAACAGTACATACACAGCCCATGTATATATTTGGTTTGACCATGCATATAATTCTAGCAGCAGACAGCAACATAATGTTAGAGAGGCAGGCCTGTCATTATACCATCAAGACCCAAAGCCCTCCTGCTTTTGTCCCGGGAGCCACAACATCTTGTTACTGATGCCATCTGTGCTCTAGTATACCTTGAGTGCCAGCAAGCTTTTATTTATTTCTGCTGCTTCCATGCGGGTCTGCCGATCAGCACTAGATGTATCAGCACCTCTTTCATTCCCAGCTAAATCCACCAAAGAGAACTTGCCATGCAGTTTTCCTTTTCGGCGCAAAATGATTTGAAAGCAAGCATGGGAGCGTGATGAGCTAGAATTTGCAAATGTTTGCCCAGATGTCCTACAAAGAAAGAATAGTCATTGGTTAATGTATTAGTAGACTTAAGGAAGTTTTGGCCTGTTTCCTGGACAACAAATTGTTCATTATCACCAAAACTCACCTCCCACAAAAGACAAAGTGCTACCATTGACCTCATTCTACTTCTGAATGTAGAATGTCCCTGAACTGAGGTGAGGGACAAATCTGCTCCTCCTCCAGCTTTAAAGCCTGGTATGCTCCCTAAGCACAGAGGGTAAAATAGCTCTGATGTGAAGTGCTGTGGATGAGCAACTGACAAAAATACATTGGCTTCCCTCTGCCTTGGGTCCACATTGTTTACCATAATCTGGCTCCCCTGTTGTCATGGTACAGGGAGGGGAGCAAAATATAGGAACTCTGAATAGCAACTGTGCTGAATTAGAAATACCAAAATAGCTTGTCTATCTATTATATTCCAATTAGTGTCAACTTCCTAATGTTAATGTTTAATATATCAAGTGAGAAACTAATGTCTGCAAAAGACTGTAAGGGTTCTATCCAGTGTCTGTATAACTTAGGTCCCATATATTTCAGTAAGTCTACTCTAAATAGAGCATTAGATGTGCTACCCTAAAAGTTCAGTTTTTGGAGGGTACAACATCAATGACTGAAAAGTTTCCTCATGACCCCAAGTAACTGACCCCTGACTCTCCATATCTATCCAAGAATCTCTTCCTCTTGCAACTGCTTTATGTAGCATCAAGAAACCTACCAAAGTTTCAAAAGCTGTATAGAATGCTAGTCTATTTAGTATAAACAATTATACATTTAGAATGTGCAAGTGGGTTTTGCTCCTTAGCACAGCAATTTTCATGACATTCCAGAACATTTGAGTTATGGATAGTGCCCACCCTGCCTTCCATGTTGTCTAATATTTGATACAGCAGGAAGTAGATGATACAGTGTTTCACAGTAGCTAAGAAGGCTGGACTGGGACTCAGGAAATCTGGGTTCTAGCCCCCCCTCAGCCATTGTTGTAAGCCGCCCCAAGGCTTCGGCGAATGGGGCGGCATAAAAATGTTTTAATAAATAAAAAAATAAAATAAAATAAATGAAGCCCACAGGCTGACTTTGGGACAGTTACTACCTGTCAGTCACAACCAACTTCACAGGGTGGCTGTTGTGAGGATAAAATGGACAAAAGGAGAAGCCTGTACACTGCCTTGGGTTCCTTGCAAAGGCAAGAAAGATACAGTATGAATACAATGTACTAATAAGAACACCACAACAGTAACAGCTGCCCCTTCTCCCCAACAGTTATGGAGGGTTTTGAGAAATGCATTATAGAGAATGTGTGTCTGACACTAAGCCAGTTATGGCAAGCAAAGCAACTAACCTGCAGGCACTGCCTATCTCAATCATTCGGATAACATCTTCAGCACAATTCACTCTCATTTCCTGTAGGCCAACCACTTGGACCTGCTGTTTGCCATCCTCCAGGACACGCAGCTTTGCCTTTTTGTTTAAAAGGTCAAACAACTAGATAAGGAAAGAGAAAGAAGGACAAATAGTTGCAGGAAGGGCTGATACCATTAATTTAAATGCAGCATTTCTAGTATTTAGTTAAGCTGTTTAGCATGTATACAATACAAAACAAAACCTCCTGAAGGTCTCAAACACAAGTGTTTTCATTCAATAAGGGTACCTTATACTTAAACTATATGGATTTAAACATTATCCCAAACTAGGAAGTTTATTTTGAAGGATAGTCATTCCTAGAAAAAGTACAATTGGTTCCTAGAAAAACCAAAGCTTAGGATCACATTCTTTTGTTCATACCAAGTAAGGGGCAAATAACATCTTAATTTTTTTCCTGACTCTTACGGACACAATTACTTCAACATGGAAGGGGCAATATCCTCCTACTATGGAATACAAAGTCATTTGCTTGGCTTCCATTCTGCCCAATTTAATCTCACGTTCTAGTCAGCCTTTATCCTGAACTTTCCAATCCAAGAAAAATCGCAGAGTGTAACTCAGAGATGGGCAAACTGTGAGCAAAATATTAAAGTAAAAAAAGCACTCAAAGCTGCAAAATCAGAATTGTAGCTAATTTGTTACAAACAATTCAAGTTGACCATATTTCTCATGGACGGTTAAATGTGGAGAATTGATTGGATATTAAAATCAAGGGATTGACAGGTACACTTCAGAGACAGTTCTGGTAAGAGTTCACATCTCTCTGCAGAAAACCTGCATCATCTTAGGAATGTTCACCTAATTTTCACCTAATTTGAATTAGAGATAATAATATTAATAGTATGTAACTTAAGGTATAAGAGTAATGGGTCACTTCTGGCCCTTCAGATCTTTTTTCTTACAGCTCCCATCATCCTTAAACGTTGACTAAGACTGATGAAAACTATAGGCCAATGCGTACAGATAGCCAAGAAGCCTTTCTTCTCATAAGGACACCTTCTTCCCAGTATTTACAAGCCTGATTTGGTTCGCCCAAATTTCCAACATGAAACCATGCATCTTTATGTCAATACTCTGCCCTAAACATGACTCAGCCTTTCTTTCCTAACATCAGACAATAAAACTGTGATAGAACTGTGCTGCCAAACCTTAGTTCTATTGGCTAAGAGACTAGGACTAAAACAACTAGAACATGTAACATCAGCAACTATTCCATTACCTTAGCCAAGGGAGAAATGTGTTAGTCCAATATTCTCTACTACTACTGTATTTTATACAAAAATAAAGATACACTAATTCCTCTCCAGCATTCTCAACAAATACAGATACACACACACACACTTCTTCCCCAACCTCCTTAAAGGCAGCATTTAAATAAAAATTTCAAATGACTAATATATATATATATGTATAGCCACACCTTTCCATTATATATTTCAAAGAAAGTCACATAGACTTCCAGACCTTGAGCCTTGTACCGTGCCTGGTTCTGAAGAAGAAAGACATCCTGTGCTGGAGAAAGTTACAAGACAAACGTTTATCAATATTAGTTTTTAATATTTATATGCCACCTAACCCCACCACAGCAATGTATAAGAATTCAAAACTTTGCATTATTAACATACTTTTAAAAATCTAATGGAGGCTAGGTTTAATAGATGGACCTTGATCTCTTTTTTCTTTTTAAGTCAAGAGAATGAGGACTAAATGGAACTCGGAGTTCATTCTGCAAACTGGGAACTCAATAGGAGGTAAGACCTCTCACATGTACTTGTCAGGTAGTCCTGAGCAAGCTGCCATATTCCGAGATAGGCTTCTTCTCCAGATCTTAATTATTGAACAGGTTCATGGAAGAAGTGGTTACTTGGTGTTGTGTTTTATGGTCATTTTTAGATGCTTTTGCATGACTTGTGATAAACCAAAGTACTGGAAACATTTGCTGTTGACATTCACTGATAATACACTATTTGGATGAAAGTTTAAACAGAAAGATAGGGTGGGGTTGACTTAGACTGGGATGTGTAGAAATCTATCTTTCTTTATAGCAGTGGGGAGTGATATGAGGCCTGTGGCCTGCATGTAGCCCTTCATGACTATTTGTTTGGCCCCCACTGCTTTTCCCACCAACAAAATCATGCTGCTGTGCCTTTCATTCTGTTTCTGTTCTTCTACAGAACTGCCAATCAAATCCTGTATCTGTCTTATTTCCTTCCCTTCTTTCCTTTATGTCTCTGTGTGGGATCTACATGGTTTCCAATCTTCCTGTGATACTCAGGTATGTGTGTCACACTGGTCACTATGGCTCAGGAGAATACTCACCATCCTACCTCTCAACAGTGTTACTACTGAACCAGTAAGCTGATATATAAATGAGTAAATATGACAGAAACTAAAGGAAAGGTAGTGCTTGTGACTGAGAAAATTAAAGGGAATAATTTACATTGTACAAAAGTAACAACAATTAAAAAGAATATGACTTTCTACTGTTACACTAAGAAGTGCCATTAACTTGAAAAAGATGAGATACAGTGAAGTAACATTGTAAAGCAAATTAACTCATTTTAGAAAATATCAATTCCTTTTTGGCTTAGGCTCTGCACATTCTTTCTCAAGCTGTGCAGCCCGACTGGTTGCCTGACATGAAAATTAACATTTACCAACACAGAGGTTGCCCACCCTGCCTTATGGTTCATCTCTTTAAATGTTCAAATTAAGATAGTACATACATGCAAAAGCATATATTCCTTTGGAGGCCTTCTGTACCTTCCCAGAGAAATCTCCTCCCATGGTCTAGAGAGAGAACATATATCTATTAGGATATTTACAAATGGTCTTTCATCAAAATATGCATCAGGGTAGTGAATACATGGGTAATTAAAAATAAAATACAATCATGCAATAAGGCAGACATAAATGCATCAAATTGACTCACATGTTAAACTGCCCTGGCAAGCTGAAAAGCTGATTTAATCTGATATTGAAATGATTACAAGGCCAATGACCATTACAATCCTATGGGAAGGATGTCCCACAAACAAGGTAGGAAAGTGGAAAAGGTTCTATCCCTAGTTATCATACAAGTTGAAGCCACCTTGAGAAGAGCAGATTTTAACATATTAGAAGGCAAAATCTCTGCAGTTACAAAGGAACCTCATTTATCTTCAGCTGTGATTATTTGTAAACACGAAATTTTTAAAAACACATTTTTTAAAAACAGCAGAATTCAATCCATGATCATGCAGGAACATTCTTCACGTATCATATCATTTTTAAGAAATCACATAATTACACTAGCTCTGAATATGCAGATAAATGCAGTTACAGTGCTTGGGTTTGCAAGTCTCAATCAGAAGTTTCTTAACATCATGAAACACATGTGCTAGACACTAACATGGTATCACAATTAATACAGCACTATCCTTGGATAGGGTAGTAGAAACTTAACAAGTAAGTCTGAGCAATTATGAATATTCCTATCTGAGTTTTACTTGCTTCTTGAGTTGCCAGGACTACACTAACTATGAAAGTGGGGCAGGCCTCTGGTTCAAATATACCACCCCTACTAGTACACTACTACTGCTCTACTTACTACCAAAGGGTGGGTCACACACACCCCACTGGCAGCCCCTGCTGCCCTCCCCAATTTTTTTTAATGGTTTCCGTAGCCACTACAGAGCACCATGTTTGTTAATTTTAGCTTGGACATGAGCCAAATTTAGCCCTGTAGTACTACAGGGTGGCTTGCTGCCAAATATCAAGCAACCAGCTCTTTTAATTTTGGTGTCGGAGCCCGTGATAAGGGGGAAAAGGAAGGGGGAAAAGGCCCTCAGAACTCTGGGGCTTGCCCATCCCTCCATTACAGAGAAACTTGAGCAGCCTGGTTTTTTTATTCTAATGCAGATTTCCCAGAAGCTGGAAGTTGGCGAAGGGAGGGCACATATAGGTCATCTGGTCTCTTGGAGGCCATGATGGACTGAACAGTGGTAACAGTGGTATGCTAAAAGGCCAAAAATCTTCAGATAAACCTTCAGAAATGATTTAAACTGCTTCAGTTCAATCTAGGTTATAACACAGTTTAGGAAGATCAAAGAGCAGAATAAGACATCACTGCTTTGCACAAGAGGATTTTCTCCCATTCTTCTCTCTCCTCATACCCCTTAGAGAACTGTTCTGGGAACATCACCATCCACCATCTAGAGCAGATTTTGAGAAGAAATTGTCCCTTTCCTTCTGGTTCCTCTGAAAAAGGCAGTTCATCAACAGAAAAACTTCGCTGGGTTTGTCTGGATAACTCTGAAGGATAGAGGAAAGATGACACTCACGTGAGTTTTTCCACTCCCAGTCTGTCCATAAGCAAAACAAGTAGCCATTCCTCCCTCAAAGATGGTCTGTACAAGTGGCCTAGCAGTGAACCTGGGCAAAAATAAGGACATCAGTGGTACTACAATAATTACAGTACAAATACAATCAGAGCTGAAATTCACATAAAACCCAACTATAAAGTTAAAAAACCCTCCAATTTAAACTTAAATAGTGTCAATAAACACCAAGTATGCTAAACAAGCTCAAAAGTTATAGAAATGCACATCACCACAACTACATTCTAGATGGAGGAATATAGTAATTTCAGCAGAAACTCAGGCACTAACTTTTTAACTTTAGGGAACAATTCTATTATCCTTGGGAGAGCAACTGAGATGCGAGGTGATGTTACAGACATCTGTCACTCCTGCGGGGTGGGGGAGAAATCCTCCACCAGAAGTTTCCCCAGAGCAGCAATGAAAAAAATCTGCTGCTATCACTAGTATTTTGTTGCCCAGTACCAGAGTTACTGCTGACACTGGGCCAGAAACAGGGTGTCATGGGAGCATGTTAAGTAGGCCATGGATTTGCTTGTTGTGGAGGCTTACACAACTGTGCGTTGTGTAAACCATGGGCTGTTCTATCAGGCTACAAGGCAACAGCAAGAATAGTTTTTTAAAAACCGAACCAGCCAACCAATTAAAAAACAGCCTCTTTATATGCTGGTACTGCAGTATCACACAGTCATTTGGGACACAGGCAGGGGACAGATAAAGGAGGAGGAAAACAATCCAGGGACTAAAAGTACAAATAATCATTTGTTTAATCATCTGCAGGACAAATCTTGGGTAGGGTAACAATGAGCAGTAGCCCACTGGCAGATACAAAGACACAAACTTCTCAAACACAGTGTCTGCTTCGTGAAACACCTGAAAGGGTTAAAATCAATTCATTGGCACTGCATGCAGGAAGCATCAGATTGGTCTTCGGTGCCTAGTGTCATTACAAATTGTTCCCACTCTGCACGGCTCACTGCCACTAGAAAGAAAAACATGCATTACCAATAAACCATTTCATTAGAAGCTTTTTCATCAAATGAGTAGTCGAAGCAAAAATGCTGGTTTTCGAGATATTTTGTCAGATCCACCTTCACCTTTGGTTCATGTACTAGGATGCTGTTCTTGTTGACAACAGTGATTATATCACATTCCCTTTTTCCAAGTTCTGTTTAGGAGAAAAATACAATTGTTTGTATCTTGAAATAAACATTCAAAATCATGGCAACTTGAATAAGGATTGTGAATGTCATGCATAACTACTGCTGCAAGAATTGAATGCTTTAGCACAGAATTTTGACAGGAGAAATTGCAGTATTGCTGAGAAGCAGAAAGGAACCATCAAAGGAGAATACCATCTGGCAGAACTGTGCTGAAAAAAGGACTTACAATTAGTGGAAGTTGTTGACAAGTTGTACCTCCTCTGTGATGGAGCCTCAGGAGGTTTTGCAAAAGATATCCACCTATTCCTCCCTAATTTGATCTTACTGCTTGACATTTTAATGGTTTTTTAAAAGCCATTTTCTGCAGTGATGGAATTTCAACTACTAAAATCTACCCTAATCTATTCCCAGCATGAGAACTATCATTGGATTGATCTAACAATTGCTAAACCCTGTATATGTCATCTTACCTTGCTTATTTAAGGGCCTTTTCCTCACGCAGACACAAATTCTGTGCTCTTCTATCTTTAAAAAATACAATAAAATCAACAAAGCATTAAGACCAAAAAGTTCAGGCAACCTTATTTCTCAATCCATATGTACAAGATAAAACCACTTGAAGGCATCATTGAGCTGACAGAGAACTGATGAAAAACCCAACACATGATCTGGGACAAATGACATAGCCAGGCAGGGTGTGGGCGGGATCACCAGGGACTTTGAGGTCTTGGGGAAGAAACTCAGGGACCTAAAAGCCCAAGTGCCCTTCTCATCTATTTTACCGGTTTGGGGATTTGGGCCAGGCAGGGAAAGGAAGGTCGCCAAGGTGAACAACTGGCTTAGGGTGTGGTGCCAGAAGGAACGCTTTGGGTTCCTCGAGCATGGCACCTGGTTTCTTGCCAATGGACTTCTGGCAAGGAACAGGTTGCACCTCACGAGGATGGGGAAAAGGTCCTTCGGAAATGCTCTAGCAAACTTTGTCCAGAAGACTTTAAACTGAGCCGGGGGGGGTTGCCCCCCCCCAGAAATTTGTCCGCACAGGACAAGTGATGGGAGAGGATCAGGGCTCCGGAACCAGGGTGTTAGAGGTACTGCAGGGGCTGACAGGACTCCTAGAAAGAGGGGGCTAGTATCAGGGAAGATGGGAGGAAGGAGGAGGCTGGGGATTCCAAAGAAAGGAAGCTGTGGGAAGGAGTTGAGAAACATGTGCACAAATGCTAGGAGCATGGGTAATAAGCAGGAAGAGCTTGAAGCTCTCCTGGGAATAGGAGGGTATGACCTGGTGGGGATCATGGAAACTTGGTGGGATGAAAGACAAGACTGGAATGTAAACAGAGGGGTATCACCTGTTTAAAAAGGACAGGAAGGGAAAGAGGGATGGGGGCGTAGTGTTATATGTCAGGGATATATATGTCAGAATGCAGTGAGATAGAATGCAGTGCAGATGGGGATCTGGTAGAGGCAGTCTGGGTGAAACTAAGGGGTTTAGACAGAGAGAGGGACCTGACAGTGGGAGTATATTATTGCCCTCCAGGTCAACTTGAGATCCTGGACGATGTCCTGACAGATCAGATTGTAAGGCTATCTCGGGGACGAACACAGTAATTATGGGAGATTTCAATCTCCCAGATATTACTAGGGGGACTCACTCAGCGGTGACAGCCAGGTCACGTTGCTTCCTAGACACTATAGTGGGAGGGATTTTCACACAGAGGGTTCGAAAGGCGACGGGGAGGGGCATCCTTGATTTGGTTTTGACCAACAGGGAGGAGCTGAAAGATGAGTTACAGATTAGGGAAGCTCTAGATGCCAGTGGTCACTCCATCCCTTGCTTTGAAATCAGGGGAATAGGGACGGGCAGCAGGTAGAGCACTAGAAGCTGGGACTTCAAGAGGGCCAACTTTGGCCAACTGAAGGTCAGACCGGGAAGAGTATCCTGGGATAAGTTAGTGAAAGGCGTGGATGGCACTCAAAAGGATGGTTTTGAAGATGCAAGCCTTGACGATACCTCTAGTTAGTAAGGTGGGGAGGCAAACAAGAGTGCCACCATGGATGCAAAAAGAGGTGGTTAGACGGATTAGACACAAGAGGAACCTCAGTAGGAAATGGGTACTGGGGCAAACAGACAAAAGGGTATACCAGGAGGAGGAGGCCCATTGCAGAAGGATTCTTCGCAAGGCTAAGGCTGATTACGAGCCGAGACTTGCAAAGAATATCAAGATCAACAAAAAGGGCTTCGATCAACATGTAAATAGCAAGAGGAAGGGGAGACAAGTAGTGGGACCACTTAATAAGGAGGAAGAGGATCCAGTGACAGATGTGAGGGAACAGGTGCTAAATGACTATTTTGCCTCTATATTCTCCCCAAAGTAGGATGAGGGAGATCCTTATGGGAGATTAGATGAGGCCAGGGACTTAGGGGCACAAATTAGAGTCACCCCCCCCCAGAAGTCGAGGGGCTCCTCAGGGCACTGGATGTTACAAAGGCACCAGGCCCTGATGGATTACACCCGAGAGTACTTTGAGAGTTGGCAGGGGTTCTCTCAAACCCGTTGGCCTCCATTTTTGAGGCCTTGTAGAGAACAGGTGAAGTTCCAGAGGACTGGAGGGTGGCATCAGTGATCCCAAAAAAAAAAAGGTAGAAGGGACATGCGGAATTACAAACCAGTTAGTTTATGTCCATTGTAGGAAAAACAATGGAAAGCCTCATAATAGCGAGAGATCTAGTGATGCTAGATAGGAAAGGGAGGCTGGAGGCCATACAACATGGCTTCTGCAATAACAGGTCCTGCCAGACAAAACTTGTGAATTCTATGACAAGGTTTCCAGGTGGCTAGACAGAGGGGATGCAGTGAATGTGGTTTACTTGGATTTCACTTTGACAAAGTGCCCCATGATATCCTGGTTGAGAAATTGAGGAGTTTTGTGATAGACCAATGCACTGCCTGATGGGTTAGGGCATGGCTGACTGACCAAAAGCAGAGGATAACCATTAGTGGGGAATCATCAGGATGGTGGCCAGTGATAAGTGGGGTCCCCCAGGGCCTCTCCTGTTTAATCTTTTCATCAACGACATGGAAGAAGGGGTGAACAGTCAGCTGATCAAATTCACAGACGATACTAAAACCGGGGCAGTGGCCACAACTGAGGAGCAGGCACTCCAGATCCAAAAGGATCTGGACAGACTATGTAAGTGGGCAGGAGACAACAGTATGGTATTCAGTGTGGATAAGTGCAAGGTCTTACCCTTGGGGCATAGGAATGGGTGTCATAAGTACAGGTTAGGGGACAAGTAACTGGAGAGCAGCACTTGTGAAAGGGACCTTGGGGTGCTGGTTGACTGCAGGCTAAACATGAGCCAGCAGTGTGATGTGGTGGTCAAGAGGGCGAATGCTACCCTTGGATGCATAGCCAGAACTGTGGCTTCTAGATCGAGAAAGATATTACTACCACTCTATATGACTCTGATGTGCCCGGAACAGGTGTATTGTGCTCAGTTTTGAGCCCCTCATTACAGGAAGGATATAGCCAGGTTAGAGTTAGTGCAGTGTAGGGCCACACTGGTGGCCGGTTTGCAGGAGAAGCCGTATGAGGCACGACTGAGGGAACTGGGTCTTTTCAGGCTGGGGAAGAGGAGACTCTGAGGGAATCTGTTGGCAACATACAGGTATGTGAGGGGGGTGGCACACAGAGGTGGGTAGAGGTGTTCTTCCCTGCAGAGGAGGGCAGGACATGCTCCATTGGAGTAAAGCTCAGGGAACCAAGGTCCAGTTTGGATGCCAGGAAGTACTTCTTGACAGTTAGGACCCTGAGGGTATGGAATGGGCTTCTATGGGAGATGATTGAGGCCCCATCAGTGAGGGTGTTCAAGGATAGGTTATACATGCACATGGTAGGCATGCCGTGAGTGGAGCCTGCTAGAACCAGGGGTCAGACTAGATGGCCCAGGAGGCCCCCTTCTGACTTGCTCTGTTTCTATGATGCAAAGACCTCAAAATAAAGATGGTCTTGCTGCAATAGCAAGGAGTTTACCATCAGTTCAAGCTCAGAGATTTTTCATTACTTTATGTTATCCACTCCTATTAAAATGGCATCAGACTTCATGTGTAGTCTTGTTCTCAAATTTTTCATTATGTGAATTTGAGGAACATGGAATATGCTACAACCTAACAAAAAGTTTTAGCAAGTGAATCTTATAACTCATATTAAGGGTATAAATTAAGCATATTCTCATTGCTGTAGTTTACATGACTGAACTTATTTAAAATATTTCTAGCCCGTCCTACATGGAAATTGTCCCAGGACTGCTTATAACAACAAATAAACATACATAACCAAAAAACAAAATGCGACTGTAAATATTAAAACCAGTTATAATTCCTTAATCCTTAAAATAATGAGTGAATAGAAAGGTTTTTACCTGGCACCAAAAAGAATATAAAGTCGGCGCCAGGCAAATCTCTCTGGGGAGTGCATTCCACAGAGCGCATTTTATGTGGACAAAGCAGACAAATCCATATTCTCATGTGTTTTCTGAAACTTTAATTCCTAAGAGGTTACAAAACTCTTCTCTTTGGATTAGTCATGTATGAATATACCTCATACTTTGATATTCAAAAGCATATTCAGAATTAATAACACATTAGATTTTCACAGACAATAGCCATGATATTTTAGATAGTATTCTTCTATACTAGAGCTGTTTATGCCTCATGCTTTACTTGATGCCATTGCTTGACCTTTCAGGACATACAATCAATATATTAAGTTGATTTCAATAATTCCCAAAAATATATTAAGAGTTCAGATGATGTTCATTCTCTCAAATAATTTAAGTCATTTGGTTCTTGATGTTTATAGATGCTTCTCTCTGCTGTATCTTTAAATACAGGCTGCATACACTAAGAGCTCTATTTATTTGAAAATGACAACTAAAGTAAATATTTTGATAATATGGCAGAAATATGTAATTTCTACATATTTACTTACTGGATCATTCATTGATATTGACTGGCAAGTAATACTGGCTCTATATTCTTTGACCATCCGAGCAAACTCCCAGTTTGGACAACTACTGTCAAATTCCTGTAGCACAAAGGCATAATTAGTAATTTCTCTCCCAAGTGTGTGTAGCAACAGTTAGAAAACAAAGTACACAGAAGATGGAAAGGATCTTAAGGCAACCACCCCACCACATCTTTCATTATGTATATATTCTGTTGTTAGAGCTCCAGTACATTTTACACCCAAAATACATCTCATTATACTTTATTTTGGATTGGGAGACAGGTTCTCTGAGGTGTTTAGTTCTGGCTAGGTGCTTTCCATTATGTTGGTCCGATTGTAGATCTTGATCTTCAAAAATGCTATGCTGGGTAATAATCCTGCTTTCTTGATGAGCTTAAGCAAACAAGTCTACACAGACAGCTTTTTGTAGGTCTAACAAAGCCCTTTCATAAATATAGCAAATACAAATCTGGAAGTTTAATGTTTACATTCAATGCTTTTAAGGTTGCAAAAGCAAAACTAATTCATGGCATGCTAAGAGAATTGTATATCTTATTTTAGACTATACAGAAAATAATCTGTACAACTAAATTGTTCATGTTACTTAAAATACCAATAGCATTCAGCTACTAAGAATATTATTAAAAAATGAACTGTCACATCTTTACCTGTGCCCGCTTGTTCCTTATTTCAGAGAACTGGGCTCTTTTCTCTTCTCTCTTATTTTTCATTTTTTCCATTTCTTTCACAATGTTAGATTTTCTCCGAGCTAGAGGAAGCCAGAGTGACATTAACAGTTCAGAAATGCAACAACTCACATACCAATTCAATTTCTATTCAGGGCCTTCTGAAGAGGCAACCCTAAACAATTCAAGAAATTACCATTTAATTGGTACTAAATAAAATAGCTGTAATATAGTTTTTAAGATTGAAGAGCTCAAGATTCCAGTCTGCCTAGAAGTCAGCCTCTTTGGCTGGAAGCTTTGCCCATCATTAATAGATATACAAATTGACTGTGGTTACTTGACAGTAAGCAGAGGACATTCTGTACATGCTAGGATGTATTTGTAACATTTATTTCAGAAATGAAACTTTTTATTCAAACCTGGATGCAGTCTTGAAGCTCATCTCAAAGTAAGCTTTAGTCCACATACTCCCAAGAAATGCACCCACTTAGTCAAGAAAATTACAGTTGAAAGCCCTCAGAAAGACTGAACAGAATTTTGAAAAGATGGCAAACATTCTTCTACCTTGAATTGGAGCAGACACAATTCTCAGAGACTGTGGAGGTTCTTCTGTCACTCCATTACCATTTGCTTGTACATTACATCTACCTATAGAACAGCTGCTCCGAGATCGAGCAACTGTTGGAACAGGAAACCAGGAGTCAAAAATCACTTGAACTAAGACAACATAGAAAGAGATGGTTTGGAGCACCTAACTCAAAGGGAGAAAACTGACTGGGTTTGTACATAATGCTAAACCTCAGTGAAAACCACTGTGGCATGGCTTCTCTTGCAGGAACCCATCCACAGTGGAACAGCATGGTAAGTACACTCTATGTCACCATGGACAATGGTCTGGTCTATGGTTTCCATGCTTCACCATAGTTCAAGTGAACCCAGATACAGTGTTTTAGCATGGTTTCCACACTACACTAGAGTCCTGAAGAAAGAGCAGCTGTTGCTGGGGGAGACACTCCAGACTACATTTTCTGCTGTAGCCTAGTAGCAGGCTCCGGGCTAGATCTGCCTAACAGAGGCACCAGCTCCAGCCATGCTCCAATTGACCACTTCACCCTCCCATTCACCTCTGCCACTGTTAGAGCACCCAGCATCTCGATTCAAGCTAGCATGTAGTGGAATGCTATAGGGGGTGGGGAATAGCATGTGGGCACCAGCACAAAGGACAGCTTGATTTATTAACATCAGGCATGCTTCTCTCATTCAGGCATAGGCATCCTTTCCCTGCCCCCAATCCCCATGATGCTGCAGAAATAAATACGAGTTTTGCAACAGGGGTTTGCTTCTTGTGAGGAGGACTGGCTATGAGCTAGGTCGGGGTGAAGGTAAATGCCAGATGAAGCCATTCAGAGCAGCCTAGCACAGAAAAGGGGGTGCCAGGATGAGATGACTCCACTCTTAACAGCTCAGGCAGAGGCAGGGGCAAGGAGCTTCTGAGGGTACAGTGCAGGGCACTGGATAAGGGTAGCTGTGGCTATGGCACAGGAGGGGGCAGGGGAGGACAAAGCCTGAATGTACTGATGCCCTCTGCATGCCTGGATACAGGGGCGAGATGGCTCCTTCCAGTATGTGTGAGTCCTGCACAAGAGGAGCGTGGAGGGGTGTATGTGGGTGAATATGCCCATACACTGGCATCAAGTGTGGCAGCACAAGAGTTCTCCTCTAGTGCTACTCTACTGAATAAGCTTTAGCTAAGCAGAAAACAAAAAACAGAAATAGCTGACTATGGGCATATCAGGGGAGTGTGAAAGAGAGGCAGGCACAGAAAGCAGGAGCAGTTTAGTCTGGGATTGAACTTCAGCCACAGGGACTGATGGAGGTATCAGGAAGAATGAGGAGAAACCATGCAAGTATGGACCACACAATAGTCTCAACCCAAAAACTAGGTAAAAAGTCATGCTGTGCAGTAACTGCATGGCATGCCTTAGCATTATGTGAGAATACAGCCAATGTCTTAGTACTACAGACTTTTACCCAGGCTGCTACAGGTTGCTACATGCAGTGACAAATCCAGACCAGAATATAAATATTTTAAATTACTTGTGTTTCTCAAGATAATTGTCTAATTCACATTTGCCTGTCCTAAGAGGAAAATACTGATTAGCCAGGTAATTAATAGGTAAACAGCTGTACTTCAGCAGCCTGATTCTGCAATCTGATGGACATTCTTCAAAATGTACTTGTGACTGCGCTTTTAATTCTGCCTAGAATTACCAGGATCTTCCAAAAACTATGCCTGAGCCTCCAAGAGACTACAAGCAGCAGGATGCATCTTGGATTTTCTGGAACACATCTAGTCAAAGGCAGAGTTGCTACGGACCACAAATTTTGGAAGAATGAGCTATCAAGGCCAACATTTGTGGACTCCCCAGCATAAGCTTCACTTCAGTGTCTCTACCAGCAGGAAACATACGCACTACTCACCAGAATCAAGATTAATGTCGCACCATTGGACTAAAGACATTCCACACCAATTAAAATGATAGCATGGAATTGGGGTATAAGATTGTTGATAAGTGCAGTCCATGTAATGTTTTATTCACAAAATTGTACTTTCAGAGGATAGAATAAGGTTTATGCTGAAATGCCAGCCCAGCTTTTGAGAATTTAGATGGCCTTACAAAAATGTGGCTTTACAAGATCCTTTAATGCACAAAAGAGAGTGGTATCCTGCTCCTATGGCTTTGTGTGCAAGATAGGTATAAGGTATTGTACACATTCCAACTCACCGGGAAGGGCAGAATGGCTTCGTGGTGGTGCAGAAGCAGGTGGTTCTACTTCCATATCATTCTCCAGAGGGTTGTTCTGTGATTCTGCTATGGCAGACATTTTGCTAGCTTGTAATCGCAATGCTAAGGAAGCAAGGAAAAACGTTGTTAATGGTCAGCTCAACAGCATTCAGCAGAGTTTACTTTTAAAATGTGCATATGTCAGTGTGTGAATCAGTAAAAAATACTTTTTAAACCTGTTGAAAGTTTTGGAATAAAACAGGACAAGATATCATTTTAGTAAAACTCATTTTTAAGAGAGTGAATAATAGGGTAGATGGGAGTGTTCCAGATGCCAAATATTTCAGTTACAACAAAGTTCTACCTACAAATATAGCATTCAGCCCTTATAGTATTCAATAGTTGTGGTAATCACAACTAAAGGCAGTTTAAAATCCTTAGAATTACTAATAAAATTCAGCACACTCATCAGAACAGGAAATCACCTTATCAATTTAAACATTTGTCTACAAAAATCCAAAAACAGTACCATGCAATATTTGGCAATATTAAAAAACCAGTGGGAGAACGTTGCAGCCTCTCAGGATGCCATTACTAACCTTATAATGGCCATCATATATCAAAGGTTAGTTAGATTAGACCATGGGCCCTCAAACTATGGCCCATGGGCCGCATCTGGCCCATCAAGCCCATTTATCTACCCCGCCTTTTAATTATGCGAGCCCAGGGGCGACTGGTCCCATGCCCCCCCACCGCCACTGCCTTGCCGCGCCCACCGCCTCCACCTTTCAACTTGGTCCCCTGTTGAAAAAGTTTGAGGATCCCTGGATTAGACCAAAAGCTGACAAGTTAGATTTAATAAGAAGGGTCAATTCTATTGTCAAAGACTTGGACCAGGATCAAGGATTTTGACCTGCGTTGTCAGCAACAATGTTTTGAGAATGGCCAAGTACTATTACCATGACTGCTACTGTCAGTATTTTCTGCATTTAATTTCCTTCTGATCTAATGGTTTATAATTCTACCCATCCTACATGTGCTGTATGCATACCAGAAAATTCACAATACTCCATGCAAACCTATAATACATGAACGCTTGTGCCAGAATACATTGGTTAGTTTTAAAGATGCAACAAAAGTCTTTGTGTTTGTTGTAGTAGACTACTGCAACAAACTAATAGTTAATACTAATAGCTACTCCGGATTAGTCTTAGTTCAAGACTTTATTCTGGTAACAATGAGAGAACAGACTTGGAAGGCTATTCTCATATTTGTAGGTATTCATACTTGTTCAAGAAAGCGCTAAAACAAATACTGAATGCTCTCAGACACTAATATATAATCTCTTACACATACTAACAATGGCATGTTTCTGCAATTTAATATAAGGGAAAGGACTTAGAGAACTAATGTGCAATGTAAAAGCAGTAATATACTGCTAGTACTTTATTTGAACATTTTATGCCAAAGAAAATGTTTCACTTGGAAGTTTTATTTCCGCCAACAAGGAACAATATACAACTCTGCATCATTTTCCATATTCCAGCCCTTATGAATTCAACAAAATTATAGAATCCTAAATAAGAATGTTCACCCATACTATGACGCTCCTGCTGCCTCAGATTTCATGGATAAATATCAATTTACAGATGGGATGCTGAGAAGAGCCCCAGGCATAAAACAGGCTTATCCCACTTAAGCTAAGCTTAGAAATGACCGTACAGAACTTCTGTAAAGAGACAACAGGTACAGAATCAGAATGTATAGTATATTTACTAGGGCTCACATGCCTTATCTGAGTAAACTGAGTAAAGCTGCTTTTTACCTTCTCTTGGAGCTGGAATTTTTGAGAGAGTTGATCTGCGATTTTGCCTCTAAAGTTAAAAAAAAAAAAAAGTGTTCCAATGTAAATGAACAGCAAAAAAGGCCTCACTTCAGATACAGTATTCCTAAAGTTACTAATCCTCCGCTTCTGAATAAAGCTAAGGACAAAAATAGGAAGAATATTATTGTTGTAAATAAGCTTCCAAAAGTTACTAGTCTGCAAGTTACCTGCAAAAGGCTTCTAAAATGCTGGCTGTTGAAAGGGAAGTGGAAGAAGTTCCTTTAAGCAGGCTAATAATTTTTAATTTCCATTTAGAAAACAGAAAAATGGATCAGTGAAATTTGCCAGATTTGTTGTTGTTCGTCGCGAAGTCGTGTCCGACCCATCGTGACCCCATGGACAACATTCCTCCAGGCCTTCCTGTCCTCCACCATCCCCCGGAGTCCACTTAAGCTCACACTGACTGCTTCAATGACTCCATCTAGCCACCTCATCCTCTGCCGTCCCCTTCTTCTTTTGCCATCTATTGTTCCCAGCATTAGGCTCTTCTCCAGAGAGTCCTTCCTTCTCATTAGGTGGCCAAAGTATTTGAGTTTCATCTTCAGGATCTGGCCTTCTAAAGAGCAGTCAGGGTTGATCTCCTTTAGGACTGACCGGTTAGATCGCCTTGCGGTCCAAGGGACTCGCAGGAGTCTCCTCCAGCACAACAGTTCAAAGGCCTCAATCCTTTGGCGCTCAGCCTTCCTTAAGGTCCAGCTTTCACAGCCATACATTGCAACTGGGAAAACCATAGCCTTGACTATACACACTTTTGTTGGCAGGGTGATGTCTCTGCTTTTTAGTATGTTGCCTAGATTTGCCATAGCTTTCCTCCCCAGGAGCAAGCGTCTTTTAATTTCTTGGCTGCAGTCCCCATCTGCGGTGAGATCTTGGAGCCCAGGAAAATAAAATCTGTCACTACCTCCATTTCTTCCCCATCTATTTGCCAGGAAGTGAGAGGACTGGATGCCATGATCTTAGTTTTCTTAATGTTGAGTTTCAAGCCAACTTTTGCACTCTCCTCCTTCACCCGCATCAAGAGGCTCTTTAGTTCCTCTTCACTTTCTGCCATTAGAGTGGTATCATCTGCATATCTGAGGTTGTTGATATTTCTCCCAGCAATCTTAATTCCAACTGGTGATTCATCTAGCCCCGCCTTTCTCATGATGTGCTCTGCATATAAGTTAAATAGGCAGGGCGACAGTATACAGCCTTGCCGAACTCCTTTCTCAATTTTGAACCAATCAGTGGTTCCGTGTCCAGTTCTCACTGTTGCTTCTTGACCCGCATATCGGTTTCTCAAGATTGCCAGATTTAATAAGTGTCAAAAGCTACAAGAAAAGTTTCAACATGAACTATTATAAAACAGCATATTTCAAATTATAAAGTTCCAAGAATAAAAACAAGAGAATTGCAAAAAAAAAAAAAAAAAAAAAGCAAATGGAAGTGCATACAGCACATCAAACTTTCTCAACGTGATATTCTTCTCTACATTATGCTAATAGTGGGAGTTTAAAGAAGTTATTAGTTGTTGGGGCACAACATGAGCAATCGAAGATTTCTCATGCCTCTGGCAGGATGGCCCATATGAACATACCATGAAGAACACAATATGAAGTTTTTTTCCTTTTCTCCCCAAGGGAACTTTCAAATGCAGACAAAAAGCAAGCCTAGCAATTGTGAAATGCAAAGATAGAATAACCATAACTGGACTGCAGTGAAGAAGCAAGAGACAATAGTATGAAGGAAAGTAGGACACAGTCATGGGAAGGGTTACCCAATGGGAATGCCGGGCAGTCAAGAAAAACTGCACCTGACAATATTTTCTCTTCCAAGTCCAGGGAAGTTCAGTTTGTCTTTCCACATAATCCTCCTGGCTTTAGCCTGTCACCATATTCTTAGACCAGGGATCCCAGTCCAGAGAGCTGGAAGTAACTAGAAGGCTCTGTTCCCTTCCCCTATCTCTTCTCCCTCAATAAGTAATAATTTGTACAGTCCTCCCAACTTTTGTAATTTTGCCCTATTCTAAATAGTTGGAATAACTCTAAGGCTTACTGGAAGTACAAACTTCAGTTTGTATAAATTATGTGCTTTACAAAAACAATAATGCGCTTAATTTTTGGCTCTACCCAAGTCCCAGCTCAGCACTCTTTAACTGTTACATAACAGTGGCTCTCATATGCATATATAAAGCATCAAGTAGTACTTTTAGAGGACAACAAACTTATTCTTTCTTGAAACAGAAATTATCTCCAGAAAAGTGAGTAGAGATACTTGCAGTGTTGTAGATTATTTAGTTCTCAACCCCCTGCATATATGGCTATTTACTTCGTATAGCATGGGGATTAACAAAAAAAAAAAAAAACTTTGTACTTCAGACATCAATACAGCAGCTATCAGAAAACAGCAACCATTTAAAACCTGTAAAAAGACCTCATTAAATTTGGAAGCATGATTAAAATCTCAACAGTTCAGGAAATCAAGAAAGTATCAGAGGAATACTTTCACAATCACCTACCTGTGTGGTTACATTTTCCCGAAAAGGAAGGGAACCAACAACTGTAGTTGTAAACAGTTCTGGGTTTATTTCTACCACATCATCAAAGTCGATCTGCAAGGAGAAAAAATGCACAAAAATCTAAGCCAAATTTAAGCATCAGTCTCACATATTAATGCATCCAAATTAATTTTGGGAGCAGAGAGAATGACAGCTGCTATGTGCTGATATCTGAGATGCTTATTAAAACAAGCTGTCCAGTAATAGTACACAAACCATATAGTTCCATGGATGGCACTTTATTCCAGAAGACACTGACAAAACCCATTGGTCACAAATACTTTAATCTCTAGTAGCTAATTTTAGTACATCCTAATCAAGGCAGCTGATGTCTGCTGTAAGAATATACTATTTGCTAAGCAAGTTACTACTTATTGAAACAAACTAACAAAGATCGACACTTCCAAAAGTGATGTGTTTACCTTATAATCCAGTTTCAGTTAGTCTATGCAGCTGACTGCACACTCTTACTTTTGTGCATGCCCAGAAGTAGTGAGTAAGTCATGTCCCTTCAGTTCACCTGTTTCACCTTGGGATGACATCATAATCCTATTGCTAGTGCTGCAGTATTCTAACAGCCATTTTCCTGAGGTGTAAACAGACCCCATGATAGATACATACATATATGACCCTCGGACTCAGCTCAGCCATTCACCTCTTAAATACACCATACTGTACTAGGAAAAATGACCTCTTACTCATTTTTGTACAAGAATAGATTTGTTTGCATGTACTGTATTATGTGAAAGGTTAACACATATCACTCAATACACTGTGTTTAACTCATGCATTGTATATTATAGAGCATGCAACTTAATCATAACTCTGTATACTCACAAGTTAAGCCAAACTGACCTCAGAAGATTTTACAACTAAATGAATTAGAATTATGCAACATTATAAGCCAAAGAGCCCAACTGCTTTTAGGACTCTTTTCACAGAAAGCGTTATTTGCCAGGTTAGAAAGTGACCATAGTCTGTTGGACAACTATCAGTGAGCTACCTAGTTATTCTTGCCACCTCATTGTTCTTCTAAACTATCAGTCTCATCCAGCAGGACAGTTCATTTGTTCTTGAACAAAAATGTACACACAGGATCACTTAAAATAGACTAGATATGCCTTGTTACAGGTCTCAAGACTCAACACTCGCTTTGTGCATGAAATCTACAAAGACAGTGAGATCCTACTATGAAAACAAAAAAGTCAGTTTGCAATTTGTGGGAACTCCCACAAAGATGAATAATTAGTGAGGGGAAGCTCTCCCAAATATGAAATGGGAAAGGAATTAACTCCCGATAATCTTTAGCCATATGCAAGCCAATTTAGATTTGGAATCTTGTTACTAACTCTGCACAGATTATTGGGTGCATTAAAAGGTAGTGGCTGTCATGTTTTCTGTTGCAGTTTTAAATGAAGAGTTTGATTCAAAATTAGAAGGATCTGATTAAGAAAAGGATCACATTCAGAAATGCTGCACTGTTGGCAATTTGTTTGTCTTGTTTCACAGCAGTCAGGGGAAGCTACTAATCCTTCTTCCTTTCAACAGAGCTAAACTTGGAAAAAAGCAGCTGAATCACCCCCACTTCCAAAATATTGCTTGATAAGAGGGGGGCAAATATGCACAAAGAAATGGCATGCCTGACATTCTCTCCTAGCCATCACAAATGAGAAGGGAGGAAGAATACACCATGAGAGACAATTCTCAACTAAGATCACCTATAAGGTTATGATTAACAAGCAAGGTACTCTCATCAGCCCTTCCCTGCATCAAAGCTGCCACAGAAGAAGTGCAAGAGCTTGTGGGTATGTCACTGATCCCGGATGCTCCGTTGAACTCTGAACTATCACATACTTTGAATACCATGCCTTAGGATCCTACTTGGAAATGTACTTCTGAACTTTAAGCCTATTTTTAAAGTCTGCTTGGCTCATCTGATTTAACTTGAATTTGGGTTCACAGAGAAACCTGATTTATGGACTCTGAAGGGCTTGTGTTTGTTGCCTACAGTAATAAAGGAGTTCACCATTTCTTTTTATACATTTTGGTTGCTATTATCATGAAGCAATCAGGTCTGACAGTGGAAAATAATTTAATCCATTTAAGTAATCAAGTGCTTATACTTTAGAAATGCAAAGCCCCACTGAATTCAGTGAAACTGATTCCCAGGTACACATACACAGGATTGCAGCTGAATGCACTAGCAGAAAATATGAATGCCTTTCCAATTCTCACCTCCTTCCCTTTGATACTGTCATTTTCAATCCATTCTACTGTTAAAGTCATTTGCTCCAAACTCACTGTCTTGATAGTTGCTCCATGGATTGCCCCTGAATAAAAGAAAATATTTAATTATGCCATTAGAGAAAAAAGCTAATTTTGTCAAGTCAAGAAACAGAGGAGAAAGATACTTTGAAAAGAAGGCATAGCAAGTATTCTTTCTTCCAGATTCTTTCCTTTAAAATCTTGATAGATCACAATGAGCCTTTATGAGCCTGCTCATTGTGATCTCGTAGCACATTCTACAAACCACCAGGGTGAAGTTTAACTGGGGAAGTTCAAGTAATGTTTTCAGACATGGAAAGTGAGCCCTTTCATGAAAATCCCCTACAATAGCTGATACTTCCAGATAATACCAGTTTCCTTAGAAACACAGCTACCAAACACAGGGTGACAACTGTATCCAGTGCCTAAAGATCATTTTAGAAGTTGTCTGTAAAGAATCTTTCAAGTCATTTTATGGCCATATTAACTTTCCACATCCCTGCAAACTGAAAGAAAAAATTCTCTGGCATAATTATCTGATGTGAACTGTTCTGCAACATGCTAATGAATAAATCTCATTTATTTGGTGATGGTTGCCAACACAGCAGGGCAAAAGTGTGATAACTGAATCTGCCCATTCTCTTTTTAGTTTGACTTCATTTCATTTGATTATTTTCTTCCTGAAATAGCACTCTATTCCAACTACCAGTTATTGTCAGATTGGAGAGCTGATGAGAAAAGTCCATTCTGTCCTCAAAGGACCAAACTTAACGGTTGCCCATAGGTGAACTAAACACTGGATTGTGATTGCTTCAGGTTTGTGTGCAGATTATAGGAATTTATTATAAATCAATTTGAGGAGCATTCCATCTGACAGATCTAGATCTTTTAAATACACATTAAAACTAAAGGAAAGCAATGCATAGCAAAACCAAATTATTCTGTAAAATAGTTGCCCTAGTTAGCTTCCAGAACAAAGTCTTATTAATGGCTTACAAAACTCTAAATAGAATGGGAGTTGCTTAATTAAGGGCTCCATCTCACCGTGCAAGCCTAACTGCTTATTATGGTCTTTTGAGACAAAGTCACCTCCCCAAAGGACATTGCACATCTTCCAACACAACTTGGTATTCTATTACCTCAAAACAAGATGTTATTTGCTATTGTCATAAATTACTTCCGGTTTCTGATTTCAGAGAAAAGGCTGAAAAAGGGTATTGCCTGAGGCTGGAGAAAGAATAGCAACAAAATTTTAAAAACGTATGAAAAAAGATCTTCTGAGCCAGTTCCACTGGATGGGAAAGCTCAAGCAAGACTTCCCTATAGTAGCTACTATTATGAAATTCTCCAGTAAAGAGCCAGTGTGGTGCAGTGGTTAAGAGTGCTGGGCAATCAGACAATCTGGATTCTAGTCCCCACTCAACCATGGATCTCAGTGGGTGAACTTTGGGCCAAACACAGACTCTCAGCCTAAGCTACCTTATAGGGCAGTCGTTGTGAGGGCAAGAGGAGAAAGATGATTGTGTAAGAAAGGAAGGGGAAAAAGGGAGAATAAATAAAATAACGCAGACAATCAGAAAAAGTACCTGTCAAGCAATAAAGTCACTGCTCCTTTGTTTTTCTAAAAGCACTAACTGGTGTGGTATAATTAATTTTGGTTACACAATCCACAGTAGCCGCTGCCAGAGCAAACAGCACTAAACTAGACGGGTCAGTGGCCCTTTAAGAGGGCTTCGTACGAGACCCACGGGGAGGAGAGGGCGGCGTTTATGAAGAATGTCAATTTCAAAAAGAAGCACATACAGCTTTTAGCGAGAACTGGAAAAACATGCGAATGTTGCGTTCTGACACCTTAACAGTTTCCTCCTCGAGAATTCAAGAGCCCTGAAGAAACGGGAAGACGGGAAGAAAAAGAAGAGAGTGAGGTCTACAGTTAAGGCTTAAGCGCTTCCTTGCAAAATGTTGGTTCTATCTGGACTCCACTGCACTCCAAAATAGCTGAAAGCAAACACAGCGCGTGTGCATTAGCCTCACGGAAAGCGGAAAGAGAGATTCCAGGGCAGATAGCGTTTTTTGCTAGTTACTTGATCTTTACTCACCATTGCTACGCTGAATATTAATCAATACTCCAGGCTGAAGACAGTTGTAAACGCTTGAATCCATACTACCAGAAAATCTCCCTTGATAGCAATAAAAAAGCCCCTCTCATTCACCTTCGAAACCGGTATTACACTAGGGCATGGAACCAACGGCCGCCGTTTAAACAGAGCGCGCCGCGAAGCTTGCCGGGAAATTACGCCAGAGGACGTACACCCTGGCAGAACTACACCTCCCAACATGCTATGCAACACACGCCCCAGCTCTATTTTTTCCTATTTACTTGAGAACTACATTTCCCAGAATGTCATGCAAGCTACAATGGCTTAGACCTAAATATATGCGTGTGCTGTTGTTAGACTTCAACTCCCATCGGCCCTAGCCAACATGAGTCACTGTGAGGCTTGTTAGGGATTGCAGTAAAACAATTGGGAGGGGGCGGGGTCTGCGGGCGGCCACGAATCGTTCAGAACTGTTTTGTAAGATTAAAATGAAAAAGCCTAGAATGGTGTGGTTGTTTATGTAAAATATATACATATACATATAATATACTGATTACAGATTTCTCTCAGTTCATAAAAGACGTAGCAGTGGTGCAGGTGTAGTTGCACTGGAGAGAACCAAGATGGAAAATCTTAGCAACCTGTCATGACTCTTCTTGCTTATATAAACATCCAAAGCATACAGAGACCACGTATTTCTGTACCTACAAATCAACCTCATTTTGATAACAGCCAAAACAAAGCCTCTCTTACAAAGTCCTAGGTATTACTTATCCCAGTTCAGGTGAACTGCAAATATAAACAGTCAGCTACTGCCATGGTGATGATGCCAGCCACTCTGAATTACTTTGCTATATTACTTTTACAGTTGGGCTCCACCCCTCAGTTACCAGCATAGCAACTGGAAGTTCCAAATACCAGTGAACTCCTTGCCGGCAAGGAAGAGCAAGTGACCAGTACCCACCAAATAAATACTCTTATCTGCTCCTCAAAATGACAGATCTGGTGGTTCTCCACTGTCCCAGCTGTGAAATGGGATTTCATTCCAGGAGACTGCTAGACAAACACATGGAAAAATTCTGCATTGGAGGAGAAACTACAACCACATACCGGAACGGGCATGCATCACATAAGGGAAAAGAGCCTAAGAAAACTGAGACACCAAACAAAACGGTAAAGGAAGTACCTTTTGTTGGACTCTAGATTTTGCCCATTGATTCCAGCATAGCATACATGATAATGATAGGGGGGAGAAAGTTAAGTAGGTCAGTTTTAATCACTGCATGAATAGCTACGATATAACGCTTGTCCAGACATACAAAAACAAAATCATGGAATAGTAGAGTTGGAAGGGTGCAAGAAGGTTGTCAGGGCCAACCCTATGTCCAGTGCAGGATCCCAAGTCAAACCATCTTAGATGGCTGTCCAGTTGGATCCTGAAGACCTGTAATGTGGGAGAGCCCATAATCTTCCTATGTGTTTGGTTCCTTTGTCATATTGCTCTAACAATAAGCCAGTCTTTTTCCTATGTTCTGAATATGTGCACATACAGCAGAAGAAAATGGCTGTCAGGTAAGCAGCAGAAGGGTTTGCTTTTCACTGACCCTCCCACACTTTGTATGTGCAATGCCTACTCATATCAGAATATGCATAAATATGTCATTGTCCCACATACAAAGAAAAATACAATGTACAAACATAACCACTAAGTCAAATATTAAAATAGTATATTCAACCTTATTACTTACCTTTTAGTATACTGGAAAGCAGCTTCTTGTTTTGTTCCTGTTTATCATAACTATGTCCCTAGTAGGTCTACCGAAATGTGGGAAATTGTACTCCTGTTTAAAGGAGATTCTTCTCCACCCCCTTCTTTTCATGCCAGGCCAAAATCTATCAATGGATTAATGTGGGCCTATTTTGGGACACAGAGCTACTTCTGCAAAGTATCCTGGGGTACCAGTCTAGCCTTATTGCCTCTAAAGGGTCAGAAAATGATGAGGCCTTACTGAGGGGAAAGGGTTTTCATAAAAGCAGCATGTGTACTCCTTTGTGTCAGGGATACAGCATGGTGGTATTGTGCTTTTCCAGGAAAAAAAAGCAGTTTAAAATGTTTAGTAGTATAAAATGCCATAAGCATCTGTTAGGGGAAATGTTATGCTGCTCATGAGCTATGATATCATGGACACCATCCAGAAGGTGCCCTTGATATTTATATAACTAATTTCCTTAGCACTTCCAGCATCCGTTGGAGGCATTAGCAAGGCATCACACCATGTTGATTTGCAGCACACTCCCTCATTTGTGCACAAAGTTTTGCATTTCCTTTTAGGGAATTTTTTTTTCTGCAGCACAAGTACTACCTTGAAGAAAACCATGATTCTTGGGCAAGAACTCAGCAACAGTTATGAAATGGCTGTATTTTTAAAATTGTGAATCTGCTGATTTGAGGAATTCCTATTTTGTTTGTGGATATTTTCCTTCTTTTCATTTAATATTACTCTTTGTGGGAGATGCCTAGGTTCCTCTCACAAATTCTGTAATTTCTTCTCACAAAATACTTCCTTGGAAAGTAGAGATGTAGTAGAGATGAAAGCAGAGAAACTTTGCAGCTGTTCCCTTGAAGGAATTCCTATAGACACTCCATCTCAGCCACACTATTATTTTCCTGAAACTCGCCCATTTGTTTGTTTGTTTGTTTGTTTTCTCTACTGGCTGGTGGTTTCTGTTGAATGATATCATCAGTTACATGCCTGGAAATCAAAGAGGCATCCCTTCAGACACTTGGAAGATGAGGAACTCAAGCAACAGGAACACCACTGCAGAAGTTTTGACCATACAGGAAATGTTCCAGAGAGTCCAGCTTTGAAAAAATTGACTGAAGAGGTACTACAGGAAAACAAGAATTTTGCAGTCCGAAATTCCTGTTTTCTTTATAATTAGCTTGTGTACCCCACAGGTGATCCACATACCGCTGCCTCATAAACCTATAACACAGTGTTTAGGGTGCTTCCAGATGAGGATTTCTTAGTGGGACCAGACAACATTGTCTTCCATTCATAGCCCTCCCACTGCATCTTCCATCTTCTTTCTTACTGGGAAAACACATGCTTAAGGAGAAAAGCTGGAATAGCTCCTAGTGCCTTTTGAGCTTTGATAATGGGGAGCTTCTGCCTGGGAGCACCTTAAGTCTTCAGCCTCAATTAAATTGTGGGCTGAGTGGGTCTCTAAAAATATGTTTTCTTCTGGATCTTGGAAAGTAAATTCATACTTCTCTAGGAGAATTAACTCTTAGGCATCGAATCAGATTTTTACTCTTTTACAAACTCCGGTGTGCTTAAGCAAATCACGTGTGCTCCAATTCTGAGCTTGAAAATAAGCCGGCAGCCTTACTGAAGTACACAACTAAATAAATTCTTCCCTTTCACAGTTCCACAAGCTGCGAATGTCACTGGAAGACACACTCCCTTCATTCAGGACCTCCCAGAAAGAGGTAAAACAGTGATATAGGACCTTTAAAATTCTGCAGTGGATTTAAGGCAACTGAAAAACCTACATTTATAAGGAAAGAATCTGAGCTTAGGAAGACAAAGCAAAGCATGAATTTCTATTTGCCTGTATGATTATTGTAATGTTTTTCTGTATTGTCCTCTTCCTCTCTTACAATTCTATTGGTTCTTCCTGAGGAATTCCTGCCATCTGTCATTTTCCCACTGGCACCTTCTTTCATCCTCTGGAACATTCAAACTTATTCTTCTTCCTCTACTCCAGCACTAATGGGAAAAATGAAGGAAGTAGTAAAGTGAGGAAAGGGCCTTGCACAGATGGACTGCAATGCTACAGTGATATGATAAATTCTACAAGTGCTTTGATAAATCAGTGGAAGGTGATTATATTTCTATAGCTGTAAGGACAGGGGTGAGAATCATTTTGTGGGGAAGTGAAAAATAGACATACCATACAGCAAATAGATAAACCAAAGATCTCTGTTCTTTGGCTTGTCACTGATGATAGCCAGCAGTTCAAGTGTTGAACTGTGGACCTGGGAGATCTAGGTTCTAGTCCCCAGGCGCCATGCGGCTTACTGGGTGACTTTGGGGCAGTTGCAGAATCTCAGCCTAACATACCTCACCGAATTGTTGTGAGGATAAGCTAAAGAAAAGAACTTTGAAAGCTGTCGTGGGTTCCTTGCAAATAGAAGAAATACTTCTCTCTAGTTGTTAGTGTTGTATCCTGTCCTTCCATCCAAAAAACATAGCAGAATAATACCATTACAACAACACTGCAGAATGTAATAATCACTATGTGATTTGTTCTATGAGCTTGGTAGATGAGTGAGGATTTAACTTAGGTTTACCACATTCAGGACCTTTAGCTACTACACAGTCTATGCTTGCCCCTCTTCTTCTGGAATTCAGAATTAGCTTGCCACATCCTATCTCTCAGGGTACCTTGCTCTGAAGCATTGTATCACTGGCTCTAAGACTAATGACTGTCTTGAACTTGTTGCCTTTCATTCACCCTTAGGATGGCAACAGCCACCAAATTCTCCACCAGAAGGAATACTGGCAGCGTCAGCAGCAAATGAAGGAAGCCCATGAACACCAGTTGGCTGATATCCAGACCAGGAACCAACACCTGCAGCAGCAGAAAGATGGTAAGAGAGAATTGGAGGGCACACTGAATTGCTGCCCTCCTGCAGTCCCCTCTCTTGCCTTGAGTTCAGGTTAAGGGAATGGCATGAATTGGAGAATTAAGCAGTGAGTAAAGGATGGACAAATAGCCTCTACCCAGAAGGAAATGTCTGAGAATAACATATAGGGCTCATCGTACCTCAAGTTCTAGAGACAAAGGGCTGGCCCAAGTCAGTGGTCCTGCTGGATGGGAATTTTGGGTGTTGCAGTCCAAACGCTTCTGAAGGCCACCAGGTTGAGGAAGGCTGCTGTAAAGAGAGCAGGAGGCAGCTAGATGGAGAAGCTGCCTGCACAAGCACTACTGGCAGGCTATTTGCGTTTAGGCTTCCCAGCTGCCATGGAATAAAAACAGGACTACTTCCCTTAAACAGCAGATAGCACAGGAAGCCTGTGCCTGGGCTGTATCTCATCAGAGACACTGCTTCTCCCTACAAAAACAACAACAGAAAATATGCATTCTCATATAAAATTGGCATTTCAGGGATGCACTTTCTAACTTAGCGTTCTCACTGATCTGTTGGTTTTACACATGTAAGAATCACAGGGTGCATACTAATCCACAAGGGATAATATATTCTTTAGGTTGATAGATCAGGGATCTGATAGAGGATGACAGAGTGGAAAATGGTGCATTTATATTCTAAACAAGAATGTGATTTAGAAAACATCTGAAAATTTGTTGATTTTGGCCTGGTGATCCAAGACAATGTGATCAATTTTGTATTTCTCCAGAGATCCATAAGCGCCTGTCAGAGCTGAAATTAGAGAATCCGGCTACAAGTCACATAGAACAGCTGCTAATGGAACTGAATATACAAGAGGGAAAGAATAAGCTAGCTTTGGATGCCCTGCAGGAACAGGTGGGACTTCTGCAGATAGCAGCAGAGAGTAGGTAAGTCTCCGAGGGAAACAGCTGTTGGCAATGGGCAGAGCCCCACTCAGGGTTCATGTGTCTGGGATGTAGGCCTTTGCTTATGAAGATGGTATGGGAACTATGTAAGTATAGGCATTCTATAAGGATCAAAGGTCAGATCATGGAGATACATCAAGTCATTCATAACTCGGCTCATGCTGTGCAGTGTGGGGGGCTTTTAAATACCTCCCTGTGCTTCCTTCTTCGGTTTCTTTTTAGAAGCAATCCGGAACCTCCCACCAAGATAAAGACAGAGGCTACTGAGGAGAAGGTGCAGAAAAAGGTCGCCTTCAAGTTTATGCCATTTCCAGCAGCTGTTGGACCCCTCTCTTCGGAAATACAGTGAGTTAGAATGGAGCTGCAAGGTTGAATGGGTCAACAGCAGTAAGATGAGATACTTTCTAAGGGAGGCTTTTATTATGCATGTGCCATTCCTCTCTTGTGGTAGTTAGGTAGTTTTAAATGCTTTAGACAATGCTGAATCCTCCAGGGCTTCTTCCATGTTTCTAAGCATTATTGCAAGTTTTTTTTTTTGATGGAGGAAAATTGGGCATAAAGAAAATGGTGGAAAAACGCTAGTGTAGATGCACGATTCCACTATGTCACAGTGTCACTTGGAGTTTATGAAGCAGAACATACTGAAAGGCAAAGAAGAAACCCACCCATGACCATAAATATCTAATAATCTTAAAATAGAAATGGACTTTGGTTAAAAGCCTCATTTAGAAACCCAGAGAATTAATATGAATGTTGATTGATTGCATTTTATTGCTTACTTCCTATGAAACTTGCTGCTAATGGTAAAGCATCTACTTTGCTTGGAGAAGTTCCCAAGTAAATACCCAACTCCTCAACAGATTTAATTACATGAGAGGCAAAAAACAAAAAATAAAACAAAACAAAAGACAACCTTTTCCTAGTTGACCAGCCAGTAGAAACAGTTGCCTTTCCTTCTTCATGGTCATGTAGTAGTTGCATGATATGCAAAAATTTAGCAAGTTCAGCTATCTTCATCTGTTAATCTTCATACCAGGAAAAATGGTACCTGTTGAATTTTAAGCATAAGGTGCAACTAATAAAGCCATGGAAATCCTGTCAAGGAAAACAGAATGTAGCAATACCACAAAAACTTTGATGATGCATTTTGATCTTTGTGCTAGAGGACCAGATAATAGCTAATGTAACATCAATTTTTTAAAAGGGGCCCAGTGGGCATTCAGGGAATTGCAGGCCAGTTAGCTTAACATCTGTCTTGAGTAATTTACTTGAAAGTGTTATTAAAGATAAAATCAGTAAGCAAATAGAGGGACAAGCCTTGATGAAAAAGAATCAACATGGCTTCTGCAAGAGTAAGTCATGTCTCACTAACCTTTTAGAATTCTTTGAGAGTGTCAGTAAGTACATGAACGGGCAACCCAGTAGACATTGTTTACTTGCACTTCCAAAAGGCATTTAACAAAGTCCCTCATCAAAGATTCCTGAGCAAGTTTGACAGTCATGGAATAAAATGAGTGGTGCCCTCATACGGATCAGTAACTGGTTAATGAACAGAAGGTAGTGAAGGGAGAGATATAACCAGTAGGCCCCATAGGTTTCTGTATTAGGACCAATGCTGTTCATCCTATTCATAAATGATTTGGAATTAGTGAAGTAGCCAAGTTTGCTGATGACACCAAACTATTTAGGGTGGTTTAAACCAAAAGGCATTGTGAGGAGCTCCAAAGGGATCTCTCTAAGCTGGGAGAGTGAACATTAAAACAGCAAATGCAGTTCATTGTAAGCAAGTGTAAAGTAATACAACTTCAAGTATAGGCTGATGGGATCTGAGCTAGCACTGGATAAACAAGAAAGGGATCTTGGGTTTGTGGTGAACAACCCCAAGATCCCTTTGAAATGAAAATGTCAACCCTGTGTGCAGATGCTGTGAAAAATCAAACTCTCCTGTAGGCTTAATTAGAAACTGAAAATAGAACTGTCAAGCTTGTACTCCCCTTATACAAATCTTTGCTACACCCTCACTTAGAGTATTGAGTACAGTTCTGGTTGCCACATCCAAGAAAGGACGTTACTGAATTGCGAAAAGTGTGGAGAAGGGCAACTAAAATAGTCAAGTGGTTTGAGCATCTCCTATACAAGGAGAATCTACAACAAGTGGGACTGTTTAGCTTAGAAAAAAGGGTAAGTACGGGAAGAAATGATGGAGGTGTTTAAATTATGCATGGTATAGAGGAAGTGAACAGCAAGATATTTCTCTTTCTCTCCCATAATACTAGAACCCAGAGGCATCCCTTGAAGCTGATTGTTGGGAGATTCAGGACAGATAAAAGGAAGTACTTCCTCACACAACCTATAGTTCTGCTATGGAATTCACTGCCACAGGAAGTAGTGATGTCCACCAATTGGATGGCTTTAAAACAGAATTGGACAAATAATGGAGGCGGATGCTATCAGTGGCTACTAGCATTGCTGGCTTTGTATAATCTCCATTATCAGAGGCAGTATGCCTGTGTACCCCAGTTTCTGAGAAGCTTGTACAGGCAGAGAGAGGTCTTGGACCCATCCTCCTTGAGGGAACTTGTGAACAGCTGGTTTGCCACTGCGTAAATGGAGTGCTGAACTTGATGGACCATGGTCTGATCTAGCATGGCCTTTCTTATGTTCTTATTTGTGTTTTCCTGAAGGACTTTGTACCTGGCTTATCTACAGGGTGGAGGCAGTGACCACAACATCCTCCATCAGATGTATGAGCTGCAAACAGAGGCCATAGCACTGGAGAAAGGTGGAGCAAGGCCTAAGCACAGGGGCACAAAGAAGAGTGAGCTATGTTCCTGATTGCCTTCTTCTTTCTAGGCTTGGATAGTATATTGTAGGGAAGCTACTTCTTCAGACTGTAGATATAGAATTCAGACATCACTCTTGAACTCCCTAAGGATCCCATTGTATGGGAACTTGCTTACTGGGAAGCAGCATCTTGCCAATGAAAGATCAGATATAATAAATTTATACATCTTCAGGATGCCACGGACTACATTTTGGTTATGGACATTCAGAAACCTTGTCAAATACTTATTTCCTCTGTCACCTTTCTAATAGTGCTTCCAGATTACTTTGCAATCACAGTGCTTCATTCATAGAATGTTATAGGAACTACAAACAAATTCATGTCTCATTCGTAGCCCTCCCTTGCATTGTTACTGTTTCTTATGAACTAGGAAAATACTTGTTAAGGGGGAAATTAATATGCTTTTTGAGTGTAAGCACTGAGAATCTTCCACCTAGAAGCATCCCAAGTCACTCTTGTTGCTCATTGGCTCTTCTTCTTTACGTTGCAGCACATGAAGGAAGTCCCAGCACATACCCACGGGGTTTGGATGCTGAACTCCTATCTATTGAGCTGGAGAATCAGCGACTGGAGGATGAAATATTTAAGTTGAAGATGCTAAAGGAAAGAAGGAAAATGGAAGGTGGTAGGATTTCTAGCCTATTTATTAAAGGCTAGTCAAAAATAAAGGCTAAAGAAACATGGAATTCATAATAGTCCACAACAGTGCAGGAACGGATTGTTACACCAGGCAGGCAGGCAGGAACCTCTGTAATCAAGAGCAATGGCATATAGTTTGAGCTATATAACACTTGAATGTGGTGCATTTTATTTTGGCAATTCAACCAGAAATGCAGAATGTTCCATAGTAGCATATGTGGACAGTGACTGCAGACCAGTTTGCTGAGTAGGGATGATGTCTGATAGTGTGAGGAAATCCTGAAAGATGGAAGAAATGGCTTGTGTGTTCTGCTGCATTGTGCTAGCTATGGTGTTTATCTGACCTAGGCATTATATTTCTGGGGTGGCAAAGAAGGTACTCATTATTTGGAATCCCTAACATACTGAGGTGGCCAGTTATAAAATATTGTTTCTTGAAATGCTTGGACATTTACACAGATGCTGTGTTCAGACAATACAGCAAGCCATGCCCAGCGGGTGGAGGTTACCATTATTGATCTGTCCTGTTTTCTGAACCCAGATATGGTATTTTACCATAGTAAGTTTCATTTTTAGAAACCATGTTAAGAAACAACAGCCAGGTTCATACATAACAATAAAGTATGGTGTTTTCTGCCATGTCGTCTGAACCCAGTCCAGGACTTACTGCATGATACATTTGGTCTCTGTGAAACCATACAATGAAGCAATGGCCTGTTGTATGGTTTCCATGCTTCACTATCACTTGTTTGGTCATATGAACCAGAAACAACATTTTCTTGCAGTTTTCATGTTTCTGGTATAGACCCTGGTGCAAAGAGCAGCTGCTGCTGTGGAGATGCTCCTGCCTGCAGTCTGCACTGTCCAGATCTGCCAAGAAATTGCTGCACTGGCTGCAGTTGTGCTCCACTTGGCTGCTGCATGCTCCCTCCCACCTCTGCCTTCTTGCTGCCTTCCAGATGCCTGCCCATGGCTTTGGAGTCCTCCAGCAGATGTGACCTTGGAGGAGGCCATATCTGGCACTCCTAGCTGGTTGCTACTGTTTTGTGAACACCGCTCGTGAGTGGCTCTGCTGTTGCTTCTCAGGCAGAAGCATCCGTGTCCTCTGTGCAAAGTCACCCCTCCATGAGAGGAGTGCATGGGCTGTGCATGGGGCATCCTCAACAGGGTGCTTGTCCTGAAAAGCCCATGTCCCCCGCTCTGTCTCCCCCCTTGACTTTGTGCCTGTGTTCCTTGAGACTGCCACAGCTGCAGAACAAACGCTTTCTCAGTGGTCAGCCTAGGAACTTTCCCTGGCAGATAAACACACATGCCCCTAAGGAAACTCTTCTTGGCAGGACATATTGCCTCTGTCCCTGGCAGGGGTGCCTGCGCTTCCCAGCAGAAGAGACACCAAGGATGATGTCTATTGCACCCTGACCCCAACTCCCTGACCACCTGCCTCTTTCCCAAAGCGCAGGACCCTCTCTGGAGATGAGCCAGTTGAGGGAGATGCTGTCCACTCTGCAGGAGGCTGTGCTCTACTTCTGGACCAGGAATGAAATGAGTTCCTTCTTCGACCTGTACAGCAGCCCTGAGGCACAGGAGTGCAAGCATACCATTCACCACTGCCACGCATGCCAGCCAGCCAGCCAGTGTCACCCAGCATAGCCTCTTGCCTTTGCTGGGCTCCATGTCCCAGTTTCCACTTATGTTTCTCCCTGCTTCCTGTAGCAGCCTGCCCAATGCCCCCCTGCATCGCCCAGTGGGAACTGCTGCAGCCAGCTTGGCAGACACGCCACCAACTGAGGGGGGTGAGGCAGTAGGAGTGTGCAGCAGAACTGGATGGCACTCCAGTCATCCAACCCCTGTGTGGGGGCCAATGAAGAAGAGGCAGGTAAGGTAGACAGGGAGGGAAGCAGCTTGGGATTGACTTTCAGGCACAGTGGCTGATGGGACGCATGCCAACAGTCAGAGGTCTGAGCAAGGAGGATGGAAACAATGATAAAGTAGAAACCACTAGATCATCTGTCAGGTAGATGATCGTAAAAAACTGCAAACCATGGTAACCACACAGGGTTGTTTGTTGTGTTGTGTGAATGCAGCCAGAGTCATGGCCCAGTGGTTTCACATTCAAGACCTATAGCCCCATTGTGGATGCCACTGCATCCTTTTGGAGACACAGCTGAAACCCTTTCCTTGCATTTTTCTGCCAGGCTAGGAAAGATGAAACACAACTTTAAACTGTCTTTGGTAAACAGCTTCAGGTAATAATAAACAGCTACCAATAAGTATGTTTCAGTCCTTGTTCCCCCTCTCCATGTTCTTTTCCTGCTACTGGCATGGGCAAGCTTCTTCGGTAGAAATGTCTTTGCTATAGCCCTCTCTATAACTGGGTATGATGGTCCCTTATTTACCTCCTCCCTTCTGTTCTTTGTTTCCACTAGGGCCTTCAGACACAGAGCTGACCAAGCTGCAACAGACACATATGGCGGAGGTGGCTCATCTGCATGCTGAGATCGGCAGGCTTAGAAATAACACTGAGGCGTTGAAGCCGCACTGGCCCAGAAAGGGGCCACCACCCATCCTGCCTCCTCCTGTAGCCCCCCCTCTGCCACCTCCTCCACCCCATCATCCTCATGGGCTAGCTGACCCTGCCTTTCTTGTTAGCAACATGGTGAGTGCCCTTTTTCTGGTGAGAATTCGGGATGGAACTGTGTAGAAGATCTGCTTAAATTTTTATCCTTTCCAGTTTTGGAGCTGTCATCCTGTAGAGGTGTTTTCCTTATATTTGCATGGCTTTGCATCATTCTCCATGAGCATGTAGTTAGGGGAAACTGGCAGAGCCAATGTCCTTCCTCACGTACCCCATGCACGGGGAATGGCAACAGTGAGGTGTTGCCTCATCAAACGTACATCTGATCCTGCTGTATTCCTTGGCTGTGCTTATAAAGCCTGAAGAATCCCACGTGCCTTAGTTTTTCAGCTAAGAGCTTATGAATTCACATTAACACTTTGGTAAATGTTTGCCACGGAAAAATCTTGCATATGTTTTTCTTGTTATAGCATTAAGTTAGATCCAGTACTTCTCTGTATTGGATGTGGCTGTGGAATCCCTGCTTTTTGAACTAGAGACTCTGTAGCTAGCTAAGATTTGGCTTCTGGCTTGCCATGGTAAATGCTTGGTATTGTGTCAAAATCACTTCCCCTAATGATTCTGTGCATTAAATCAGTTGGCCAGGAGGAGAAAAAATGCATGTATAGAATTTTTCTGTATGTACACGGACATCTGAATAAATTTTATGGTGCTGAGCTTCAGTGTTTCAGTATGTGTCTGCATTCTTAAAGTCTAGGAAACAAAACTTGAAAATTTTGGCTCACATGTGCAGGTCTTGATAGGACTGGAAAGGATGGATTCTGCAGGGCTAGCTATATGGTGGGAAAAAATGTACTCAGTGGTTCATGTTGTTTATTTGAACTTGTTAGGTTGTATTTCTAAGGAATATAATGTTTGCTAGAGGGAGCAAGCTTCATTACACTGTGTGAATTAACGCTTATCAAATTTCTGTCTGTTACAGGACTCAGTGGGATCATCTGCCCCAGCTGCAAACCAGTACTTTCTGGATCCCTCAGAGACCCTGGGACCAGCTCCATATGATCCAGCGTATGTCAGTTCTTCTCCTGTCCTAGATTCAGGGCATATATAGACTCTTGAAAGAAAGTTTAACTTTGGATTTCTTGCATGCAGTATTTGGCCTGACAGTCATGTGGGCATTGTCACATAAAATGAAGATGTTGATTCTTTCCCGGCCTTGTTACCATTTCTTCCAAGGGCATCAGCATAGCCTGGGAACAAGTCAGTTTGCACATCCCCAGATCCCAGCTGCTGCTGCCCAAGAAGCAGCAGTAGCTTTCTCCATGAACACAACAAACTCTCTTCTCTCTGCAGGTCTGGCTTTGTGATATTCTATGATTTTCTTTTGGGCCTGGATCCCAAATTTCACCATGTTTGCCTGGTCTCTAGTCTCTACCGTAATGGGCAAGAGCTGGGCAAGCGCACCCCACTGCCAGTTGTCTCCTCTGATATGGGGCAGTTCTCGCAGAGTATGATGGATGGACAAAAGGGGTGTTGTGCCATCTTAGCGACCAGGCAACCAGTCCCAAGGTGAGATTCAGTGGCTGTTTCCATGTTCTCTCTTTCCTTCTGCCTAGCATTTTAAAATGTATGTTCTGCTTATATACTCTAAAATAGTGCTCAACACAAATATGATGGCAGGTGTTAAAAGATACATTTCTAACCACACTGTGAAGGGGGCTCAACCAAATGTTTTCAGCACAAGAGAATGATGGACCAAAAGCATCTGCTACTGTGATTCTTTAATATCTCTGCAGCTCCAAAAGTGTCCCAAGTGGTGTTTCATGTTCTTCAGCTACCTATGCAGTTACTCTGGGTCTTTCAGTCCTCTTAGACAAGGCATGCAGAATGCAGGATGGCCAAATTCCATTTCAGATAAGTTTTCAGCAGCTGCATTACAGTGGTGAACAGGGCCCAAAGCAATGGGTGGGAACAAAGGGTCAGGACTAAAATTAAAAAAAAACCAGCATATTTTAAAGCTCTTACCAACTAACTTCTAACTAACTTTCAACTTTTTAAAATGAGGGCAGGGAAACTACAGAAAAGCTAGGTTATTGTTTCCTTTTAATTCTGTTAACTTCCCAGAGAGCCCTTTTGCCTTTGAGTGCTGTAAAATGTAATAAATAAACTAGAAAGCAATTGGTTGCTGGGGAAAATGATGGGCTGCATGGGTTAGAGATAAGGTCTCCCCATCTGAGGAAACCTGTGGGTTGAATTTGGCCTGAGGTTGTGCAGGCTTGTCTTTTTATGGTACTTGTTTTTTTGTGGAACCCTTTGAGAGCCTTAACCTAATCACTCTGGGAATTAATGTGACCTCTAGTTCCCCATTAAACCACTTCTCTCAGATCAGTTTCATAATTGTCAGATCTGGCCTCGTCTTAACTGGAAGGTGCTTTCACTAAATAATTGTAATCTAAAGAGCAGAGATCTGTGCCGCGACACATCATGAAACACACACACTCAAGGTGTGAGGGAGGAGAAAGAGAGGACGCTGGATCAAGATTTGTAGTGAAAGAGAAATAGCCAGGCTGGTGTGTTATACCCACTGTCTGTAATTGCTTTTCAGAGTTCTGCCTTCAGCTTCCATCACTCTGGTGACTGAACTTCAAGCTTCTGGGGGATTTGATGCTTATGGACTGGAGATCCAGAATCTAGTTCCTAGGGGATGGGCCAAAATCAACATTTTTGACCATCTGCACCAAGTGATGAGCGGACACTGGAAGATCCCTATTCGTGTGCTGCCCGTGAAACCCAACTTTACAGCAGAGCAGTTGAATGGGGTACCGCAGGTGAGGACCTTTAACAAGGATGCCAGAGCAGAGGCCCAGATCAAGCCTTTTATCCAGACAGTGCTTGCCTGTCCACCAGGAAAAGGCTGTGCTGCTGGTTCTCTCAGGAGGCTCGTGATGAACCATTAATGCAAAGCCCCTCCTCTCCACATTCATATTTATTTAGGATAACAGTGTACAATTTGAGACAGATTGCCTCCCAGTTATAATTCACATAACAAAAATACTATCAGGGTGACAACTGATTCCCAGAACATCTGATCCTTGCCCAAACCTCACCTTCAGTTATTTTTGCATTGGTTTTAATTCTAACAAAACTAGATCTTCTTTTATCTCACAGGCTGGAAAAGCAGAGCTTTACTTGCGACTGGTGAATGCACGAGATGCTGACATGCAGTCAATGGCTGAGATCTATCCTGGCAGTGCCCTCTTGTACAAATACCCCCCCACAGTAAGTAGAACTCCATGGCAGCTGTCACCCCCCCCCCCCATTTTTTTTCCTGTTTTTCGTTTCTCCCTGAATGAGGTTACATGGGTTAAAGTTTTGGCTGAATATCAGAAGAAACTTCTAACAGTGAGAGCTGCTCAGCAGTGCAGTAAATTGCCTTGGGTTGTGGTAGGTTCTGTTCCACTGGAGGTAGTTAAGTGGAGGCTGGATGGTCATCTGTCAGGGATGCTGCAGCTGAACCCTGAAGTACAGAGTCAGCACTGGGCCCATGGTTGGATTGGATGATCTCTGAAGCCCCTTCCAACACTATGATTCTATGAAGGTGAACTCTCATTGGGTGACATCTCTGAGCCTTATTAAGAATTGTAAGGAGCATTCAGAAAGTAGATTTGCCAGCTATGGTAGCAGCTATACCCCATGGCGGGCACCAGGGGTTGGCGTCACTGTAATACACTCTCCAGCAGGACTATCATTGATGGCACCAATGATCTCCTGCCTCTCTTCGTTATTTTCTTCATGATTGTCTTCCCTTTCTGAGTGAAGCAAGGAGTTTCTACTGCATAAACCTCCCTGAAATGAATAGCAACCACAAAAGGCCCTTTGGTTATTTTCAGTGGATTTTGCACCTAGTGTATTATAGTGGTTCTTGCAACTGGAGATATCAAGCTAGAGATCATGTCCCATGGTAATTTCCTGCAACAGAGGTTAATTTAACTCACCTCAAGCTAGGTGAAAATAGAGTTGTTGCTTTTTTCCTGTCATGGATCTTGTTCTTTCTATGCTTGCATGTCAAGGCAGAAATACAATAGGTGGAACATTCCCAACCATTAAAATGTTAACATGCTGGAAATGTCACCTGTTGAAGTTGTGCTTCTCTTCAAGCTGTTACAATAACAGGAGTGCTAAGTGTGTGTGTTTGTGGACAGAGGGGTGGCCATGGGGGAAGGGGGTAAATTGCTTTGATTAACCTTAGCTAATTATTCAATTGGACCACAGCAGGGTACCTTTGAATGCTATTACCATGATGTGGTATATCTCAAAGTGTTCTTAACAATTGGATGATCTGTTGCAAGTTCCCGTTCTTGAATGAACATTCTATCTCACTGTCCAAAGGAAGAGAGGTTAATGGAGTTGAGTTATAGGAGAAAGTATGGTATCAATATTGTGGTGAATTGAAACAAGATATACTGTAGAAATGTTAGTGGATGAACAGCAAAGCCTTGCAGCGAAGAGCACTTGAGACATAGCTATTGCCAGTAATCTTAGTCTACGTCAGAAAAACAACACATTGCAGCACATTGAGAGATAGAATCACAAGGACTGAGGTGTCGACTGCTCCCTTGTCCTACCTCACACGCTTCCCATGTACTTCCCTGCTCTCCATGTTACCCATCCCCTGTCTCTTTAATCATGTTGTGCTTTCTTCTCTCAAAATACAGGTGTCCAGGCACACAGCATCTCCTGCAGACTTCCCGCCAGCCCAGCGCTCTTTCCACCCTGCCCCCACCAACCTGTCCTTTTCTGTCTCTCCTTACACTGGCTTTGTTGACCCCCCTCCTAATCAGGAACAGCCTCTCCAACACAAATCTCATGAAAGGTGAGAAGGGAGGAAGATGGCCCACACCCTGTCCCCCAGCTCTAGGCTTTCCTCCTAATTAAAACAAATTGAATAGAAACACGTGTGTGTGTGTGTGTGTGTGTGTGTGTGTGTGTGTGTGTGTGTGTGAGAGAGAGAGAGAGAGAGAGAGAGAGAGAGAGAGAGAGAGAGAGAGGCAGGCAGGCAGGCAGGCAGGCAGGCAGGCAGGCAGGCAGGCAGGCAGGCAGGCAGGCAGGCAGGCAGGGAGAGAGGAGGGAACATCTATAGAGAAGAATAAGTCTGCAATTTTTCCTCTGCATCTTCTCATACCTGAGCCAAAAGCTGTTTGTAAGGGCCTGTGTGCATGTGGCTTTGGTGGTGGTGTGATTGGATGTGATGAATGAATACTTCCTATGCCAAACCATCCATCATCACAAAGAGTCCTTCTTCCTTGGGAACAACCAACAATGTGAACTCTGTGCTGGTAGGTCTGCACAAGACCACAATCAGCACTGGACCATGTTACCCAGCCTGGTGCTCTCCAGATATTTTAGACTACAACTCTCAGCAGAGGCAGACCACTGACCATGCTGGCAGAGTCTGATGGGAGTTGTAATCAGCAACATCTGTAGGGCACCATGTTGGGAAAGGGCACCTCACTTTATCAAGGGCTGTTAGCTAAAATTGAACCTTGAATGTTTAGAGGGGCTGTATGCCTCTGATTACCAGGTGTTGGGCACAGCCACCCTATTGTTTATTTCTACCACATGCCCTTTTTGTGTGTTGGAGGAGATGTAATAGAGATACCCCTTTTTATCAGTTTTAAAAAACATATAAAGATCCTGTATGATATCAAATTGCCTCCAGTTAATAGGTTTCTAATGAATGTTTTTTCCAAAGTAATTATCAAAATGTCTTTTAGCCTGGAAACCACTTGTTGGTATTGGAAAAAAATGTCTTGCAAAACTTCTTACATCCACAGTTGGAGAATAAATTTATTAGGACTGACCAAACTGCCAAAATATTTACCCTTTGTTCCTTTATTTTAATGTCTCCTTTCACAACTTCTGAAGGGATAAGTTGTACAAATCTAGAGTTTTGCAGCACTATATGGGGCACGTCTACTCAGAAGTAAGTCTCATTAAGGTCTCTGGGGTTTGGTCGTAGGAACATGGGTGTAGGATTTTAGTGTTAGACTTCATGGGATCTCCACTGGAAACTTTATAGCATTTGGGTGAGCAACATTTAATCTCAAGAAGTTGCTTTCAGTGACTATGGAGAAGGGTCTTGGTAACACTGGCAGAATTAGCCTTTTAAAGTACTTGAGCCCGTAGAAGCTAAGACTGGGGATCCTTCCCTAGGGTCTTGTTGGAAAAGGAAAATGGAAAATATTGGTCTTCACTCATTTACTGTGGAAACTATTGTCTCTCATGTCATGGTACCAGTAGTAGAGTAAGTAAATGGTCTCCTAGCTTAGCAACCGTTATAGTTGTAGAAGCATTAAGTATAATACCAAATTCTTGTTTTTCTTAATGTTTACTTCTCTTTGTGGGTATTTGTGCTATCTAAAACTGGTGTGAATGTGTAAGACAAGCCTTATTTTTTAACCATTACATTGTAGTGGTTTGAGCATTGGACTAGGACTTGGGAGGCTTGGCTTCAAGAATCCACTCAACCATGAAGCTCACTTTGTGACTTTGGGCCAGTCACTGACTCTCAGCCTAACCTACCTAAAAGGGTTGCTCTGAGGATAAAGTGAAGAGAATAAGGATCCTGTACTCTTTAGCATTCTTTGGAGGAAAAGGCAGAATATAAATATAATAAGTAATGTTTATAAAGAACGTAGCATTCTTTGGAACTTAAAAAGTGTGGTAATAAGAATACACTTGCTGGTTTTACATGTATACTCCTAGGCTCACCAGCTAGAGCAGGAGCAAAGGAGAGACAGGAATGAATCTGAAACATTCCTTTGTGAGTTGTATAACAGAAACAAGGTGCCTTCTTTCCTTGACTCACTGTGCTTCTCCATCTTTTCTTTTGTCTTTCATAGTGAACTGTGCTTTCTCTTATCTAAAATGGTTCTTCTTGTGCCTCTGACATTAGGTGCATGATTTCTTTTTATTGGAATATATGACATTCAGTTTCACTCCCATGGTTGTGCTGATGCTTTTCAGTGGCTGTTTTGTTTTCTGTGATTTTGTTCTAGAACTTTTGATGAAAAAGAGAGGCATGGCAGGGCCGTTCAGTCCATTTATATGGAGCAGGGGCATAGTAGCTGATCAGAAAGGGGTGGCAGGCTGATTCCATTCAGTTCTCTGTCATTCATTTTAGGGCTTCTCTACATGAGGCATTTATAGTGCTCTTGTGATCTTTCACTCATAGAGATGTGTGGGGCTTTTTCAGAACCTCTCCAGTATTTTCCAGCCCTTTTTTTGCAATTTTTTTCTTTTAGAGCAAGGAAAGTCTGATATTAAATTTTGAATCAGGATAAACCAAAACAAAAGCCACTTTTATTGCAAGAAATACTGCAGCTATATCACAGTATCACCTTGTGCTTGGTTAATCGAATATAGAAAAGCAGAGAAATACCAAACCTAGGGGGGAAAACCCATGTGAAGCACACTTTGTTCCTCTCCCAGTAAAAATGGAAGGAGCCCAAGTAAAGCAGTGAATTAAACCCCTCAGGTAGAAAAGCCCTTAGAATAATATCAATCATTAAACAAAAATGAATAATCTTCCATTTGTGAAGGTTTCCTTACTGTTTGGGCTGCATGTTGTGCAGCTGTCTAAGCAGTTTGCTAATTAAATCCATTGATGATTTACCAGATTTTGAAGAGAGATCTTTTATCTTTTTCTTCCTTTCTTATTGATCCTCTTTTACTTACCTGTCATGCCTCTATAATCAATTGCCTTTAACGTCCCTTCTTCTTTCTTCCCTAGCACCTTAGTGGGTACTATATTGGGTTTCTTAAAGAAACTCTTTTCTAGCTTGTAATCTGCTGTTATCAACAGTCTGTTTCCCACCCCACCCCTTTCTTCATTTCTCGATTACTCCCCTATGCTACTTCCCTGGCTGTGGCACTGGTAACTGCCAGAAACAAAGATCAAAGGCTTCTGCATGCCCTTCCAGGTAAAGAACCAAGTACAGTTTATTCTATATATCTGTGGGGAAATTGTCTGTTATTTCTCCCTGCACAGCCACTGCAACAAAGATAGGCAATGAGAAGCTTGCAATCCCTATGCAAAAGCTGTCTCTGTTGTGGTTGCAAATTACCATTCTAATGGCCAGAGAGAGCCACCTCACTTTGGCCCCAGACAAGCCCCCACACCTCAGCCCCCTGCACATTCTACAAACAGAACCCAGCAGTAGTGGCAATTGAACCTTTCTTCAAAGCTGGAGGCAGGACAGTGCCCACCACCAAACCTGAGGGCCCCAGGCTAACTTAAGGGATGCAGGGAAGGCCACATACTACAGTTCTGTCCTCTAACAACAGGGAATAGCCTGGGGCCTAAGGAGCAATAGCCTGGGCACTGCCACAGCCCACCCATCCTGCCTCTACTACCTGAAGGGCTTCCAGAAGAATAGCTCAAGAAGGGACGCTGCTCCAGAAGTAGCGAAGGTCACAGGAAAGGGGATGCTATAGCAATACTGGACCAATCAGGATGGGTGGATTTCTCTTTGCCTTTCCCTTAACACAGCTCTACTGCTTAATCTAGTAAGGTTCCTGTTCAGTGGGAAATCACCAGTTGCTGTCAGAAGAGAAGGATTCTGCATGCTGTTTCAAGGGAGGGGGACGACAAGGAATATGTTAATAAGCATCTAATTCTTTTAGGAAGGGTGAAACACAACCTCAGGCAGGGCATGCCAAGCCGCAGCAAGAAAGCCTCTTGGGGTTCATCCTTGATAGAGTGAAAGGCGCCCCACCGGGAGATGGAGCTATCCGGCTGACAGGTTATCACCAGAAAACTGGTCAGGTAGGGAACACATCTGTGCCTATATCATAAGAGTCGGTGCTACATACTGGCTGGTGTTGGACTAGGAACTTGGAGACCTGAGTTCAACGCTTACTCTTGCATGTCTGTGGGGAGTGGCAATAGATCGCATGCATTTTGTTTGCAGAAGGTCATGCGTTCAGTCTCTGGGAAATCACTGCAGGTAAGTATAGACCAGTTTTTCTACCCAAGTGCCTTCCAGCTGCTGTGGGAGTTGCCATCAGCCCCACCCTCTATGATCAATGGTTGGGAATGCCGGGAGCTCCTATGCAAAACAGGGGCGCAATCCTCAGGCCTGGGGGCCAAATCTGGCCTTCCAGGGGTCCTAGGTTGGCCCTTCAGGGATCTTCGGAAGACCTACCTCCCTTCCCCACACCATCAGGTTTCCCAGCCTATGTACTCCTTTTTCTGCTTTCTAAACGGTTGAAATGCCTCTCCTGGGGTTTAGTTACTGACTGTGAGATCTCTCACCTAAAACGTGCTGGTATTTTTGTATGTTGTCCCTGCCTCTCATCCTTTGAGCCCTGCCCATCCCTGAAACTGTAGTCCCTGTGAGCTTATTTGCCCCCTGGGCTGAAAGTGGTTCTGAGCCACTGGTCCAAAACAAATGGAGGATGGCAATTAGAGGAAGACTTATGTAGGCTACACTGAACTAGATAGACCAATAAAGCAGCTGTGGAATACACTCCACTCCATCTAACGTGGCTGAAGATGCCGCTCTAGGTTAGGAAGAAGTGTTTTCTTCTCACTTCACAGGATGGACCAGTTGGCAAGGATCTGTGAGCCATTCTAGTTCAGTTTGGCAAGTTTCTCTATACCCAAACTCATATGGCAAAGCCTCGTCTACAGCTAACAGGATCCTAGTTCATCAAGGAGATATGTCTGGATGAACTCAGTCATGATATCTGGATCCAGCTGTCTAGAAGCCCCAGCATGTACTAAAATTGCAGCATCCCTCTGTTAAAAAGCTTGCAAACCTTATTGTCCAGGTTATGATATGAGAAAAGCTGATAGAACCATCCTAGAATTTCT